CCCCCCCCCAATAAAACACACACAATGAATATGGAATGATCTATGTATGTCTACGAGTAAGCATGACATATACTTGAATAATTTATTGCATCATAACAGATGTCCTATTAAATATGCATAATGCTTTTCTTCTGCGTGTGTGTGTGAATGTTTCTCGGTGTGTGCAAGTGTTTGCTCACATAATATGTGTATGTTTGTTGGTTTGTTTGCGTTGATGTCATTAGGACACATAGTTGACCAGCTTGAGGCACATGACACACGTGATGACAACAAAGAGAAGCAAAATAGTTGGCCCATTGGAAGATAGATGCTGCTCAAGGGGGTGTGTGTTTTATCTAGGTTGCAGTATCTGGATCAGTGGGCCTCAAACTGTAGCAAGAGGAGCAGCGTGTGGACAGAATCGTAGCGGCACATTCCTAGGGATACAGTTCTAGAGACACAGACGTAGCGGCACAGTCATAGGGAAACACTCGTAGTGATACAATCCTAGGGACACAGTCGTATCAACATACTCCTAGGGACAAAGTCCTAGGGACACAGACGTAAGGATACAGTCGTCGGGACACATTTCTAGGGACACAGTCGTAGGGACACAGTCGTAGGGACTCAGTACTAAGGGTACAGTCTTGGGGGTCCAGTCCTAGGGACACACGCCTAAGAACACAGTACTAGGGACACAGTTCTATGGACACACTCATTGGAATACAGTACTAGGGACACACTCCTAGTTACACGGAACTAGTGGTACAGTCCTAAGGGACACACTCCTAGAGACACACTTCTATGGACACAGTACTAGGGACACACTCCTAGGAACACAGCACTAGGGACACATGCCTAGTTAAACAAGTATGACCGTAGTCGTCTAGAATCAGATAATGAACAAACAAGATTGGATCGGAAGGATTTCGTCTTAAGTTGAAATTAAGAGACTACCAAGAAATAAATGCTAAATGTTAATTTAAAGAAAACAACATGATTTCAACAGAATGAAACAAGCTCATTCAACAAAAGTAGCACAATTTAAATAGGTTGAAACATGCTCATTCAACAACAGTAGCACAATGTAAATAGGTTGAAACATGCTCATTCAAGAACAGTAGCACAATGTAAATAGGTTGAAACATGCTCATTCAACAACAGTAGCACAATGTAAATAGGTTGAAACATGCTCATTCAACAACAGTAGCACAATTTAAATAGGTTGAAACATGCTCATTCAACAACAGTAGCACAATTTAAATAGGTTGAAACATGCTCATTCAACAACAGTAGCACAATTTAAATAGGTTGAAACATGCTCATTCAACAACAGTAGCACAATTTAAATAGGTTGAAACATGCTCATTCAACAACAGTAGCACAATTTAAATAGGTTGAAACATGCTCATTCAACAACAGTAGCACAATTTAAATAGGTTGAAACATGCTCATTCAACAACAGTAGCACAATTTAAATAGGTTGAAACATGCTCATTCAACAACAGTAGCACAATTTAAATAGGTTGAAACATGCTCATTCAACAACAGTAGCACAATTTAAATAGGTTGAAACATGCTCATTCAACAACAGTAGCACAATTTAAATAGGTTGAAACATGCTCATTCAACAACAGTAGCACAATTTAAATAGGTTGAAACATGCTCATTCAACAACAGTAGCACAATTTAAATAGGTTGAAACATGCTCATTCAACAACAGTAGCACAATTTAAATAGGTTGAAACATGCTCATTCAACAACAGTAGCACAATTTAAATAGGTTGAAACATGCTCATTCAACAACAGTAGCACAATTTAAATAGGTTGAAACATGCTCATTCAACAACAGTAGCACAATTTAAATAGGTTGAAACATGCTCATTCAACAACAGTAGCACAATTTAAATAGGTTGAAACATGCTCATTCAACAACAGTAGCACAATTTAAATAGGTTGAAACATGCTCATTCAACAACAGTAGCACAATTTAAATAGGTTGAAACATGCTCATTCAACAACAGTAGCACAATTTAAATAGGTTGAAACATGCTCATTCAACAACAGTAGCACAATTTAAATAGGTTGAAACATGCTCATTCAACAACAGTAGCACAATTTAAATAGGTTGAAACATGCTCATTCAACAACAGTAGCACAATTTAAATAGGTTGAAACATGCTCATTCAACAACAGTAGCACAATTTAAATAGGTTGAAACATGCTCATTCAACAACAGTAGCTCAATTTAAATAGGTTGAAACATGCTCATTCAACAACAGTAGCACAATTTAAATAGGTTGAAACATGCTCATTCAACAACCTTAGCACAATTTAAATAGGTTGAAACATGCTCATTCAACAACAGTAGCACAATTTAAATATTTTGAAACATGCTCATTCAACAACAGTAGCTCAATTTAAATAGGTTGAAACATGCTCATTCAACAACAGTAGCACAATTTAAATAGGTTGAAACATGCTCATTCAACAACAGTAGCACAATTTAAATAGGTTGAAACATGCTCATTCAACAACAGTAGCACAATTTAAATAGGTTGAAACATGCTCATTCAACAACAGTAGCACAATTTAAATAGGTTGAAACATGCTCATTCAACAACAGTAGCACAATTTAAATAGGTTAAAACATGCTCATTCAACAACAGTAGCACAATTTAAATAGGTTGAAACATGCTCATTCAGCAACAGTAGCTCAATTTAAATAGGTTAAAACATGCTCATTCAACAACAGTAGCACAATTTAAATAGGTTGAAACATGCTCATTCAACAACAGTAGCACAATTTAAATAGGTTGAAACATGCTCATTCAGCAACAGTAGCACAATTTAAATAGGTTAAAACATGCTCATTCAACAACAGTAGCACAATTTAAATAGGTTGAAACATGCTCATTCAGCAACAGTAGCACAATTTAAATAGGTTAAAACATGCTCATTCAACAACAGTAGCACAATTTAAATAGGTTGAAACATGCTCATTCAACAACAGTAGCACAATTTAAATATTTTGAAACATGCTCATTCAACAACAGTAGCTCAATTTAAATAGGTTGAAACATGCTCATTCAGCAACAGTAGCTCAATTTAAATAGGTTAAAACATGCTCATTCAACAACAGTAGCACAATTTAAATAGGTTGAAACATGCTCATTCAGCAACAGTAGCTCAATTTAAATAGGTTAAAACATGCTCATTCAACAACAGTAGCACAATTTAAATAGGTTGAAACATGCTCATTCAACAACAGTAGCACAATTTAAATAGGTTGAAACATGCTCATTCAACAACAGTAGCACAATTTAAATAGGTTGAAACATGCTCATTCAACAACAGTAGCACAATTTAAATAGGTTGAAACATGCTCATTCAACAACAGTAGCACAATTTAAATAGGTTGAAACATGCTCATTCAACAAGAGTAGCACAATTTAAATATGTTGAAACATGCTCATTCAACAACAGTAACACAATTTTAATAGGTTCAAACATGCTCATTCAACAACAGCCGCTCAATTTCAATACAAAGACGATGTTATTTTAAGCGGTTTTAAATTTAAAACTATTTTCCAGTGGAAAAAAAAAGATGTACATGTTGTTAGATATATTGATATGGTGATTGCGTAAATGTTAGGAATAAGATGTATCCAAAAACAATCCACAGCACAGGCATGACATTTGTAAAGGATGTCATGTAAATTCCAGTGGATCGACCAATAAGGATAAGTGAAAATGGGTGAGTGTTGAACTCATGGTGAGAGAACATTCCAAGGAATCTGGGGAAAAACCTGATGACGAAGCCATTCTCGAATGGCTAAAGCCGACTGCAGTAGATGTGGAGCATACAACTATGTTTGGGATTCTAATGGAGGAAAAAAAAATCTGATCTTTAAATAATGCTCGTGGTTCATGTCAAATGTTTTTTTTGAAAAGATGGTCACGGCTCCTGCTTGTCGCTCCAAGTCTGTTGATTTGAGCTCAGATCTTAGCTTCCTATGGCTAGCAACACAGCTGATACTGTCAACGGTGTCACTTCTGCTCAACAAAATGGGCCGTCATAGTCTCCAAGAAAAAAAAAATTAGTAACGTATTATAGGAGCGTGAATGAGAGGAACGGAAAGAGGGGATAGAAACATAGAGTGGGCGCACTTTACTTGCGTGCCGTTTCGAGGCTCGTAAAGGTTCCAAAAGATCGTTGGCCACTCTTAACAAAATGCGCAGCTCCGTGCTTAAAATACATTACAAATGGGAGTCATAGAGAAAGTCCTCGAGAGAAATAACGTTTTAGAAGTGATTAACATCTAAACCCGGAAAAAAAAAGTGTGTGGGGGGGGGGGAAGGGGGAGGGGGGGGGTGATTGTAACATTTGCTTTGTTCGGAGACAACGTTTCCTTCTAACGCAACTACCAAATTCAGAACGTCGTGCAGGACATTTCTGCTCACAATCTTAATTCCGCGCATTGGGCTTGGATATAAAGGCCGGCTCGGAAATCATGTCCTCGAGACGCACTAATTAAGTGTAAATAGAATCATTGGGATATTTCATTGTATCTTTAATCTGAAATGAAGAAGCTGACCGCCGCTTGACCCCCGTTCCATTTCTGACAGTGTGTTAGGCCTGGTTTCGTCCACACACCGGCGATACATGTCTTAAAGGCAGTGCCTCTGTAGCCCTCTGTAACTCTCTATAGTATATACATTTTTTTTTTTGCAAAGACAGAAACGAGTGTTCTGAAAAAAAAAATCTTAAGTCGATCTAACATAGGGTAGATAAGGGGGGCATGGGGGGGGACAGATTCCCTGGGTGCCAGACTAGTTAGGGGCGCCAAATGTGCTTTGATATAATTTTATTGATGAAATTAATGGGTTGAGAGTCGAAAAAAAAAAAGGCTCTTTAAAATGAATCTTGTCCCCGGGCGCCAAACTTTGGAGCTGCGCCTCTGGAATCTTATACTTATCGTTACGCTTACTATAGATACGGCCACCGTATGCCAAGCTACGCCCACGTTCAGTGCAGATAAAAAAAATGTGTTGGGTCTGTTTATCTCTTGCTATCGATATGCTAGTGCAGATTAATCGCTATTTTTTCTTTAGCTAAACGATTTTTTTTTTCCTATTCGGCTTACATTGGAACATACTGTTATATCTGTTCATGAAGGATAATTGCTTGTGTGCTTATTTCGTTTCTAAATGAAGAGCTTTTCAAGGATTTAGGCTTTTTTTTTTTCAATTGCCGGATGACTGGTCCGTGTTTGTTTTAATTTATGCAAATCACTTAATTCTGGGATTGAGGTAAATCTTTTATTGTAATAAGATTATAATTCATTATTTTTTTTTCATACCATCCATGGCAAACTTTATGGTGGAGAATGTTAAAGGCATTGTCTTGGAAGAATTTCTTTTTTTTTTTCATTTTTCATTGTCACTGAATCTATAAATAATAATATAATAAACTAATGTATATGTTGCTTTGTCGTTGCTCCTCGTCAATTATTTTTGCTTTTGCCTCAAATCATTCTTTTCACGTTACACTCCCGTTCTTCTTCCTTTATTTGTTTGCTCATTGATTCACCAAAGAAGAAAGAAAAAACAACATTAATGGTATTCCTCTACACTTTCTACTTGTCCTAGTCGGAACAAGTTTGGTATGTCGAATTTTTACGCAGGGAAAGACTTAGCCGATTTAACCCATGGAACTGGTTAATTGAGGTAACACTGAAATCTCTGGGTTCAGGGCTGTGGTGGGGGTCATGGCTCGGGTTGGGGGGGGGGATGTGGGGAGGGTACAGCATGTGTGTGTACGCATTATGAAAATGATGATTCCATTCTTAAACGATTATAGAATATGCTTTGCGATATGATACACTTTATGAAATTCCTTATCATGATTTTGTCATTACATTTTTTACATTCCATGTGACAGCAGAACTTATGTAGACAATGACAGCCCTCGATTTTTAAAAGTCAAATTCTTTGCCTCATTTGTCTCCTTGGGTCAAAATCCTCTAGTCATGTGCCTCCATTGGTCAAATGCTTCTAATCATGTGTCTGTATTGCTCAAATATTCTTCTCATGTGTCTCCGTTGGTCAAAATCTTCTTGTCATGTGTCTCCATTGTTCAAATCTTCTTGTCATGTGTCTCCATTGTTCAAATCTTCTTGTCACGTGCCTCCATTGGCCAAAAATCGTCTCTTCATGTGTGTCCATTGGTCAAAAATCTTCTGGTCATGTGTCTCCATTCATTAAATTCTTCTTGTCATGTGTCTCCAATGGATAAAAATCGTCTCCTCATGTGTCTCCATTTGATCAAAATCTTCCTCACGAATTTTCTTTGGGTTACGATTCAATTCCATCAATTTCCCCACCCAATAAACAACCTCCTTGTGAATTTCAACCCTCTAGCTCCTGTTTATGAGGCAGGACTCTTTATCTTTGCATCATTTGGCTTAAAAGGTATAAACAAAATATCTTTGAAGAATTTTGCTTTACCTGTAGGAAAGATCTCTTACAGAATAAATACAATATCTTCATCCGTAGATCTGAAAGAATGAAGATTACAGAAATCGTATTCATCACCTTGGCGACGGCCTTGTCCTTGACGATGGGTCAGTTTGACACAGATTTTTGTTCTCAGCACATGGCGGGTACAGCGAATGACCCCAACCCACCACGTGAGTACTCAAAGATTTGAAAAGAAGAAGAAAAAAAAAAAGAAACTCTTCATATGTTTTTCTTTATTGTATATGAGTATTTATGACTGTATGGAAACCTATCATCCTCCTCATATCCCTTAGTCCGTGGACCGTTGGGGCGCCACAGATGACATGTGAACTATCCTCCTCAGTTCGTCTCTGTCTTCTTCAGGTCGCACAGCATCGCCTAGTTTCAGTCCCGTCCACTCTTTGATGTCACCCTCCAATCTTTTTCCTCCGTCTTCCTCTTCTTCTCCCTCCTCTCGTTGCGCCCTGCATAATTTCTTTGGAAACCTATAGACAATCCGATTTGAGTACTATAAGACTTAGTTAGTAATTTTTTATTTTTTTTAAAAGCAACGTTTGTCTTGTCGTGATATAACATAAACTACAATGATGTCTCGTGACTTTTTTCTGGGGGTTGCTCTATCCGTTTGTTAGTTTGTTTGTTGTCAAAAATCTTGCAACTCGACTTTAACCCACGTCCTGATCTCCCACTGATCTTAACAATAAGAACATTTTTTTTTTTGGCTTTTCTGGTTTTTTTTTTTGTTTTTTTTTTTTTTTTTTTAATTATACGACTGTAACAACTCTGAAGTTTTAGGTACATTCGTCTTATAATATTTTTTTTTAATTTTTAGCGCATTATTGGAAAAAACTTTTTTCTTGGGGTCAAAATTATATTGTTTAATGAAAAATTTACTTAGCTTGACCGAGAAAAAACAGGACACGAGGAAGGGGCAACAACTGCTGACGGGATACGGGAATATGTAAAAGGGAAATGTAAAATATAACTGTAAACAATAAAAAAAAATCATTTTTTTTAAAAGTCTTAAACAAGAATTAGTTCGCTTCTTTAAAAAAAAAAAAAAAAAAAAGCTTGAATTATATACAAATACACACAACATAATTTAAAAATATATATATATATATATATATACAAGTACACACAACATAATTTAAGAATATATATATATATATGCCATTAAATGATAGTATTTTTTAGATTTCTTTTTGTTCCCTCACGTACCCCAGTATATAATCTCACATTTAGACTATAACGTGTTAAATAATTCTCTACTGGGTACTATGTGTTGATTTTCCTAATTCTCATTGGGGATCGTCCATTAATTACGTCAACAGTTTTACACAATTTTTTACAACCCCCCCCCCCCTGGTCATTAACTGTCAAACTTTCAGTGTCCCCTTATTTAATTATGTCAACATTTTATAACCCATAGACTATAACGTGTTAAATAATTCTCTACTGGGTACTATGTGTTGATTTTCCTAATTCTCATTGGGGATCGTCCATTAATTACGTCAACAGTTTTACACAATTTTTTACTACCCCCCCACCCCCTGGTCATTAACTGTCAAACTTTCAGTGTCCCCTTATTTAATTATGTCAACATTTTATAACCCCCAACAACAACAACAAAAAAAGAATTATAATGTAAAAAAAATTATAAATACATTTTACTTTGTGCTCATCTATTTTAATGACACAGAATTGTAGGAAAATCATTTCATTACATGTTCAGTTAGTTAATCAAAAATTTAAAACGTTTTTTTTCGGAATTATACATATGATTATTGTCAGTAAAGCTGACAATTATAGTATAGTTTCAAGCTGCTATCATCTTTCATGGAGTAGCCAGGTGTTGCTCTATCGTAACAATGGGCATGAGGGACATCATTTGGGTAAGGCAGAGGGTGCATTTGCCCACTCCCCTGAATTTGCAGGTTTTATTTAAATTGCTATGTACTGTGGCGCCTCCAGTAATAAAAAGTTTTGGTTTTGCCCTTCTCTCACCCCCCCGCCCCCCCCACTGAAAAAATTACCTGATGGGCCTAGTCTATAGTAGTTGATTCATCAATCTCATCTTGCGGAACTGATATACCAGACAATTCAACATCATCCTCATCTAACCATTCACAATTAAAATTGAAGCATTGTCGGTGTGAGCAATAATTGCCATAAGCTCTCTCTCTCTCTCTCTGTCTCCTGGCAGCTAATTGGTCGAATCCTTGTTTGTTGAGGAGCAGGTGCTAATTTCTTATGCTGAAGAGGACACTGTCGGCAATAATTGCCATAAGCTGTCTCTCTCTCTGTCTCCTGGCAGCTAATTGTTCGGATCATTTTTTGTTGAGGAGCAGGTGCTAATTTCTTATGTTCAAGAGGACATTGTCGATGCTGTCACACATCCTTTTTTCAACATGACTTGTGATGCATAATAGATGTTACAGATTTTACAAATCCGTTCAAGCAGTGATGTTATATTATTGTTACTCGCTTTACATTCCCCTAGTTCTAAAACTATCGTATTCCTACTCTGACAATAGCATTTATCATGACTGCACAAGACACCTCAAAATTATATGACATAATTTACACTCATTAAAGTTTTTAAAATAATGTAATCACCGGCCAATTTTAATTTAATAGAGAAAACATGATTGTTGATGTCAGCTAATCTAAACCCCACTCCCTTACCCTTGTCAACAACTGTCAAACATTTCCGAACCCCCTCCACCCCCCTATTTTGTTGACATAATTAATAGATGGCCCCTTGACATGATTGCATTGTTTTAAAAAGCTTTATTTGTGTGGGGGGGGGGGGGGTATTTTTTTTTACCTTTCTTTTTTTTTTTTTTTTTTTGTTTTTTTTTTTTTTTTTTTTTTTTTTTTTTTTGTGGGGGGGTTTGGTTTTTTTTTTTTCTTTTGTTTTTTTTTTTTTTTTTTTTTTTTTTTTTTTTTTGTTGTTTTTTTTTTTTTTGGTGGGTGTTGTTTTTTTTTATTTAAAAAAAAAAAAAAAAAGATTACAAATTAGAGAATAAAATTTTTAAAAATACGGTTTTTCAGTTTAAACATTTCTTCTTTGGTTAACGCATTATGTGAATACATTATGTGGCTATTGCTCAAATATATGTGAACACATATGGCTACTGCTAAATATAACATATGTGAACACATATGGCTACTGCTCAAATATATGTGAACACATATGGCTACTGCTCATCTATATGTGAATACATGTGACTACTGCTCAAATATATATGTGAACACATATGGCTACTTCTCAAATATACGTGAACACATATGGCTACTGCTAAATATATATGTGAATACATGTGACTACTGCTAAAATATATGTAAATCCATATGGTTACCGCTCAAATATATGTGAATGCATATGGCTACCGCTCAAATATATGTGAATGCATATGGCTACCGCTCAAATATATGTGAATGCGTATGGCTACCGCTGAAATCGGGGCAGTGTTACTAAAACAATATCTTTGTGTCATTTCAATCTTCCCAACAGCTGATAGGCCAAGGTTTTTCGACAATTTTTTCGTCATGAGTGAAATAAAGTTGATGGGGGTTCAGGTTGTTGAGAATGTGGAAGAATTCTATTCCCAGGTAGGTCCAGCACATTCCCCCCCCCCCCTTTTTCTCTCATCTCGGATAGGTCACATGGGGGGGGGGGGGGTTTATTTTAACTAATTTTTTTTAAATTTTTTCTCATCTCTGGTAGGTCAAATGGGGGGGGGGGGGGGTATTAATTTAACTAATTATTTTTAAAATTAATAATTATTATTATTTTGTTCAAATCTTTATGAGTTCAAGTTTTTATTTTTTTATATATATTTTCATTTACGTTTTAAAATATAAATGATAAATGCTGGAAATCTCCTCCAAAGAACACGTCCATGTCAGTTCAAAAGACTTTTGTAAAAATCTTGCCCAGAACAAAAAAAATATATATTTTTGCGTGTCAATTCACCCTCTCCGTGTCAATTCACCCTCTCCGTGTCAATTCACCTCTCCGTGTCAATTCACCCTCTCCGTGTCAATCCTTCCTCTCCGTCTTAATCCAACATCCACCATGTCAATCCACCATCACCGTGTCAGTCCAATATCCACCATGTCAATCCACCCTCTCCGTGTCAGTCCAACATCCACCATGTCAATCCAACCTCTCCGTGTCAATCCAACATCCACCATGCCAATCCACCATATCCGTTTCAACCCAACATCCACCATGTCAATCCACCCTCTCCGTGCCAATCAACCATCCACCATGTCAATCCACCCTCTCCGTGCCAATCCACCATCCACCATGTCAATCCACCCTCTCCGTGCCGATCCACCATCCACCATGCCAATCCAACCTATTCCATGTCCGGGGATGGGACCAGTTCCGGGGCCGCCACTTCACCGCCACCAATTCATCGCCGTCGATCCGCCGCCGCCGTTTTTATCGCCACCGCGTTTCGACGACAAAGGTATCGAAATGATATAAAAAGAAAAGTGATGATATAGTTTTTAGAAGTGATTAAAATATGATCAACATTCAAGAACGCCGATTTTCAGAACGCTGCCAAACCGAAAAGTTGGTTACCCCAAGTCCCCTTGTTTTTTTTTTTTTTTTTTTTTATATAAATTTTTTTTGTCGTTAACGATCTGCTTGGCATTGAGCATTTGGTAAGAAAAAAAAAAAAAAAAAAAAAAAACACCAGGAAATAATTCCGATCCCTTTCTCACAATTCCTCTATCTTTAAGAGACTGCTACGTCTCTGGGTAATCAGAAGTGTGCGGCTTTCGCCATCGCACGCGTGCGAAACTCCCGGCAGCGAAATGGCCGACAGTGAATTGCTATAGATCCTTACATCCTCGGAATCCATCCTCCTCCATGTCAATCCAACCTCCTGCGTGTCAATCCAACCTCCTCCATGTCAATCCAACCCCCTCCATGTCAATCCACCCTCCAACATGTCAATCCAACCTCCTCAAATGTCAATCCAACCCATATTATGTGTCAGTCCAACAGAATCGGTTTCAACCCAAACCCATCCACGTCAATGCAACTCACTTGGTATGAATACAAACCCGTCATCCAAGCGCTTTGACTGTCTTATTTTACTACAAACCCTGATGGACGTCTTATTTTACTACAAACCCTGATGGCCGTCTTATTTTTTTACAAACCCTAACGGATGTCTTATTTTGCTACAAACCCTTATGGCCGTTTTATTTTGCTACAAACCCTTATGGCTTTCTTATTTTTGCTACAAACCTTATAGCTGTCATATTTTGCTACAAATATTAAAGGCTGTCTTATCGTACTAAAACCCTAATGGCTGTCTTATTTTGCTACAAACCCCATGGCTATCTTATTTTGCTACAATCTTTAATTAATGGCTGTCTTATTTTGCTATTAAATGTAACTTGGGTTAGTTTCTCTGGGCCTTAAGTTCAAATCTTCCCATTACAAGTTCTGTGTAATTCCGCTTGTCCTGTCAGGTATCATTTGTGACTAAATATCTTTAATTTATATAAATTTATAGTTTTAAATAAGCCGCAGAAGCGTAGCTAGAGTGCTTGGCGCCCAGGGACAAGATTCATTTTAAAATGCCCCCCCTCCCTTTCTTCCTTTTTTCAACTCTCAAACCTATTATTTTCATCAATAAAATAATATGAAAGCGCATTTTTTTGCCCATAACTACTCTGGCGCCCTGAGACATCTGTCCCAACTCTGCCCCCCTTAGCTACGCCTCTGATAAAGCTGGGCTTTACTTAACAATGCTGGCCTTCTTTTAGAGACCCAGAACATGCCAATTAATGTTAGTTTTTTTAGAAAGATTTGAAAATGCCAAGTAACGCCAGCTTTTGAGAAAGATTGCAATAGACCTTGAAAGAACCAATTTACTTTGACTTGGTTTAGCAAGCTTAAAATTAATAAAACAGCTTTGATCCTAAACAGAAATTCAACCAATTAAAATTTAACCTATTAATATTTTTATCTATCATGGACAAGCTAAGATTTAGCCAATCAATATTTATCTCTCATCGACAAGCTAATATTTAACCAATCAATATTTATCTTTCGTCGACAAGCTAAGATTTAACCAATCAAAATTCATCTTACATCGACGAGATAAGATTTAACCAATCGACAAGCAAGCTAATATTTAACCAATCAGTATCGTCCTTATTCCAGCAAGCTCAAATGGTTTATGTAAACATCAACTCGCCCTTGACCCCGGAGCAGATCTGGGTAAACGCCAACTTTGACGAGGTATCTGTTGTGCCCTCTGATGGAGGTTTGTCGTGTTGTGCTCTCACGTGACTTGTTAGTGAATAGTATAACTTTAGTGTGACATTATTGTAGGAGTTGGTAGTTTTAAGGGATAATCCAGAGGTGAATAAGCCAAATCAAACTGTCAAATCCTATCTGGAATAGCTTTCCTGCGTGGGAGAGGAGGGTATATAATTAAGACTTTGGAAGAGGAACACTGTTTCGGTTTGAAATCTTGTAGTGAAATAATTTTATTACCAATAAGTCACTAGTTGTGAATAATTATACATGGCTCACTCTCACATACAAAAAAACTTTTTTTTCTTTTAAATATAATTGCGCTTTGCATTAGCTTTTTTATAGTAAATCTGGTAGTATGAGTAGCCTACGAATACGCCTTCCTCTGGTGAGATGGTGTTATGGTATTATGCAAAAGGCCTATACTATCTTAAAATATGTATTACCTCGTTAGTAATTCTTAAATGACTTATCTTTCAAACAGAAGTGTGTACGGATATTCTGCTAGAGAAGAGCGTGTTTTTCTCCATGTTCCATGCTTATCCTGTGGAGGGTCACTTCAGTTTGGGTACACCGGCAGGTAATGTGCTCAGATTCAGATCACAACTAAATGACAATATATCATCAACTTAGATCATGGTTTGATATTGCATTCCACGCGCTCTTTGAGGTTCAGTTTGCATACACCTGCAAGTAATGTACTCAGATAGAGATCACAACTAAATGCCATAAAAATTTATAATGTGTGCGTTTAAATCAAAGGTTTTTTTTTTAATTTTGAACTACTATCAGAGCCGTCGCACTGACCCTGACTATAACTTTATTCTGTTACATTAATAATTAATGAGCAATTGGCGACTAGGGCAAAACCCCTTGATTTACTTTAATACATTTCACTCCCTTCCCCAAATCCCTTGATTTAAATATACACATATAATATATATACATTTAAAATTACGAATTTTTGTCAAAAACTAGTAGCGAAAAAATTAATTCGAATTAATTTGAAAGCATAAAATCTTGGAAAATCTGCTCCCCAGAAGCGTGAGAATCCTAGAAGCGTGAGGCCCTGTGAAACTGCCCAGTGTGTCCATGCCTAAAAAGATTGGCACGGCTTCTGGAACCCCTCACCTTTTTTTTTTTTCTTATGCTATTGCATATATAGCTTTTAATGTGAAAAAGAAAGATAACTCTTCCAAAGCATGTACACAGTAGAGTACTAGGACCTTACTTCAAAAGCTGTTTTTATTTTTCAGTGGTTTTTGGCTGGGACAAGTCAGTAATTAAGAATGTTGCTTACCAAGGAGAAGATATATCAAGAGGTAAAACAAGAAATACATTCAAAATACTTCTTAATTTAACTCTAAATGATAGATTTGAACAGCAAGTCTGCAATGTAGAATAAGTAGGTAGGCCTATTACTGAAAATGAAATAGACACATGGCTTTCATTTATTTTTTTATCTTTGACTTGATAGGCTATTGTTTGTTTTTTTATTATTACTAACATTGTAGTTTGAAAAAAAATGTACATATTTATATATATACCTGATATATGAAGATCAAGATTATGTTGATTTAGAATTTAATATGCAGCCTATGCCTATACCCAACTTTATCCTATTAACTTCACATGGATTTCATATACAAGAAGTTAAGTATTACCTTACAGTTATATTGAGGCTAATATCTTGAACAAAAATATTTTTTTTAAATTAGGGATATGTATTTGTACATCCCAATATTATTCATTTTACTTGAATATGATTGTGTTTTAAGATGGATTGGCGTAGTAAAAAGGATATTAATTTATACTATTTAAAAATTTCCTGACATTGCATAGATTGTTTAATTTTTACTTCATTGATTATGTTTTTTAGGCATCTTAACAAACAAGTGGTGGACATGTGAATATTTTGAATTTAATGACATCTCAACCTTCACTGAATGGCAGATTGTTGGTATGTAAACAGGCATTTTTTTTTAACATCTATGTTTCAGCATACGATCACTATCATCAGCTGAGTCAAGTTAATTGTATTGCTTTATTTTATCAAAGATATATAAAAAAAATTCTTTAAAATACCGGTAATTAATTATTTCTGGGAAAGCATTATTTGCAGAAAATATTTTTAGCATTAAAAAAAAAGCATTGATTTCAGATCTTGACTTTGATGCAACAAATACGGTGATGGTTTTCCTAACTATTCAATAAATAAATGGCATTATACTTTTCTATCCAGACCCTAGCAAGTTCCGTCTTCCAGTTGTTGCCAATAATGACAGCCAAGTTCCACCCGTTCTTCCGATTTCTGCTATAATTACATATTTAAACAAAACCAATCCTCGTAATCGAACAGAGTCAACAGTCAGGTATATAAATATTATTAAGTATCTTTATTTGTACTGATTTTTTACATTTTTACTTGTGGTTTAAACAAAATAACTATTTGAATCATGCTTTTATAAAAATCTTCCATATAATTTCCAAATATTTGATTAAAATACTGCCTTTAAAATTTCTACAAAATTTCCACTGCAACTAAAAGAACTTAATCTTTTAATATTTAGCAGCAGTAGTAATGATTATTTTAGGTTTTCCTTATTAAATTGTCCCTTTAAAATCAGGTAAAAAACTCCAAAGATATAGCATTTATTTAAAATGAAATTGGATCCTTCCAAAAACAAAGAATTGTGGATATTGTTAGTTTGAAATCAATAGATATTTTAAAGTAATTATGAAAGGTATTTTTACCAAGTTTAGATTAATTAAATGCAACAATTTACATAGACGCTTGCATTGTAACCTAAGCCTTCGTATATAACTTTAGTTATTATAAAGAAAATACATCGTAGAACTTCCTCCACTCATTTGGAACTTTCTTTTTATAATATCTTGAAATCTAATTCATAACATTTGAGGAAAATCCTAAGGACTTACAGAAGCATATGAAACTAAAAAGGACATTTTTTTTATAATCTTAAAACCCTTATAAAAAATCAAACATTCTAGAATAAGGTAGAAACTTCAAAAAGCTTGAGAAAATTCCCAGGAAAGTATAGAAATCTTTCAAACTAAACTAAAATTTCCATAAACTTTTAGATCTCATTGAAATTTTAAAAACCTTAATAATCTACTTGAAACTATATAGAAATTGCTGGAAATGTTCAGAATTTTTAAAAAAAATCAAATGTATTGAAAAAAATTGCCTCTTCTATGTCATCAATATTTTAATACTAAAACATCTAAAACAAAATACTGCACCTCTAAACATTTACCTTTAAAGTTCAAATAAGGCTCTGAAAGGGACCCATTCTATAAGATGATATTTTAAATAGCACTATACATTTTCTTCAGAAAAATATTGAAGTTAAAATTTAGAAATTGTCCCATGAAAATCAGATGAAAAAAATGCAAGAGATAAAGCAAATGTAAGAAAAATTAAATTAGTACCCCTGGCCCCAGCAGCAATGAATAATTTGTAACATAGATTTTGAAGTGCATTTGTACCAAGTTTAATCTAGATTTAGCTATTCATTTTCGTTTTATTTATGAAGCTCCTACTCCTACAAGAAAAAACGAAAATTTGGGCCCCCAACCCTGAAAAGGATATTTTTTTTCATTTAAGCCCCGTAAGCATTTCCTGATGAATAATGAATTGCTATAGCTATGCATTCCAAGTCTTTTCAAGATACATTAATCCATGTTGAAACATATATGGTACAATACAAACAGACATATTGTCTCATGTATATAGTAGATAATGTTATAAGTTATACCAAAAAGTTACATGGATTAAAATTTAAAATCTTATTAAGAGATTTATATGGATATTTTGTTTATTATGACTTGTGACTAAATAAAAAACAATCCTTATTACAAGTAATTAAAAATCATCCTTATTACAAGTAATTACAAATCATCCTTATTAAAAGTAATTACAAATGATCATTTTTCCTGTAATTAAAAAAATGTATCCTTACATATTGATGAATACTGTTATAAAGTTTAATGGTTTTTCATAGTTCATTGTGTTGCACCCTTTTTAACTGAAACCATACAATTAGCTGATGTCAGATAAAAACTCTAGAAGGAAACTTATGGTTTATAGCATCTAAGAAGCTAGTAATGAATGCACAAAATGTACATAATTTTATATAAAAAAAGGGATATCAAATATGGACTGAAACTGTTCCATATGTAAAAAAATTGCTTTTGAGACATTGCTATACTCATAACATGCATACACACACATTCAGTGGCATCATTTCACTAAATGCCGATTTAGTGCTAAATCACAAAATTGTGATTCTCCATTCCCCACACACATCTACTATATAAAAATAAATTTGGTCATAAAAATAAGAAAGAAACCCCAGGACGGTAAATCCCTTGGTACGCCAAAGCAACCCTCAGGCATCCCTTTCAGCTATGATGTAATAATTCTAATCTAATGTTCAAACCCATTTATACCACATAATGAACAGTACTTTTTTTAAAATGGTACAACACTTAGTTCCATATATTTAAAGAACAAGATTGCATTAAAAATCTAACCTGTTGATGAAGAAATTATTTCAAATATTTTTCTAAACCATACATAGAATAGAACGTTGTTTAAAATGCATGCATTCAGTGAAAACTTTCCTAAAATGGATGATTTGAATAAAGGCTTATTAAACATGCATACACCAAAAAAAGCTTAACTTGAATGTCCCTGAACATCCCAGAAACCATTAAATTTGAAAAATATGATTGAAAAAAAAAATTTCCCTGTGCCCACACATTTTAAGATTTTTAAATTACATCCTTTGTGATAAGGGAACTATGACCAAACTTCCCAGGAACCATCTATAGGTCAGGAGGAATGAACATGTCAAATTTGGTTGCAAATCCATTATTTGGTTTTCTTGTGATTAATCAACCCATAAACAAAAATACATAGTTGCACTGAGCGTTATTTACTAGATCAAGCAGCTAATTTTTGTAGTCATTGTTTTTTCATTTTTAATACTTATTTACTTCAGATTTATTTATTAGATAGGCCTACATTTCTTTTCTTAATGTTTTAATGCCTTTAATATCAAATACTTTGAACATTTTCATTTATTTATAATGTAACTTTGTGTTAAATATCAATAGGGCCGACTTCAATCATTTTCAGAGAATTCAGTCTACCGATCGACATTTTCAGGTAAAGCTGATACAATCAACCCCTTTTAGTAATAAATAAATTTATTTTCACTGAATTTATTTTTTTGAGCCATCTAATTTTGGAACAAAACTCAAGCTTAAAACATGACTCACTTCCTTAGTTTCAATTATTTTCTCAAGTAGGCATGTATTTTTTTGCATCAATTTCTAATATAAGTTTAGTCACTTTTCTCAAAATATTAGGAAACTTGCTTAGAATGTGTAGGCCTGTAAAATTTTTTTAGAAATAACAAGGTAAATTTAGTTATTGTGTGTGTTTTTTTTTAAATTTTTTTATTGTTTTTTTTTTTTTTGGAGGGGGGGAGGGGTAGCTGCGTGAGAGAATTTAAAGAAAGAAAGAAAAAGATAAAGAAGATATAATATTCAATTGTAATTTTAAGTTATGAGCTATTTCAATTATTAGAATAGAACCACAAAAATTTAACCTTGAAAATTTTTTATCTTAAGACTGCCACAATCTGTAAAAAAAAAAAAAAAATGTTCAAAATCTATTTTATTAATTTAAATATAATATTTAATTGTAATTTTAAGTTATGATCTATTTTAATTATTAGAATAGAACCACAAAAATTTAACCTTGAAAATTTTTTATCTTAAGACTGCCACAATCTGTAAAAAAAAAAAAAATGTTCAAAATCTATTTTAGTAATTTAAGGACAATCTTAAAAGCAGAAATTTAGAATATAATTGTCATTAATTGGTAACTCTTATGTTGAATACTGTCACATAATGCAAGAAAAGTTAGTGGTAGCCTTTAAGTATTAGTTATTTATAATATTTTTTTTTTTATTAATTCAATTTTCATTATTGATTTTGTCACTAACCAACAAAATGTATCCAAATCCAGCTAACTCCAAACATGATTTGTGCAAATTCTCCATCTGCACAAGTTCCACTGCCAAAGATGCCTAACTACTTCCGTTTCAAGGGAGAGCAAGTTCTAATAGAAAATCCAAGCCCACCCTCTCTGACGTATACCATAGTAAGTTTGAAATTTGAATTTCCAATGGTAAAGTGGAAAAAAGGAGATTTTTTTTTTTTTAAAGTTAAAATATATTAAATCATTTTTTTAATTTAATTCTCATATACTCATCAAAAGCATTTCTTGGTAATAATTTATAAACTCAAATAGGAGTATTTAAACATCAGTTAAGCATCATAACCTAAAAGATGTCTTTTGAAATCATAATTTGCTTTATTGAGCTCAAACATGTCTTGTCAAAACCTAATTTAGCTTCATAAACTGAACCAAATCTTGTCGAGACATAATGTTGGGCTTTCCATTCTTTGAATGGGGGAAATTTTTATTTTAAAATTTTTAGACTTTTCAATTGTTAAATCTCATAATAATATTTTTACACATTATTTTTAAGCCTACAATATGGAATATGAAAAGTAATTATTTTCTTATATTTATTTTTAGGAACAGTACAACCACGATCAGGGTATTTTTATTCAAGACTTGGTTAATGCAGCTGATCAAGGCATGGCCAGTGACAAGTCATACACTCGAGTGGTAACAGACTTCAATTCAGGTCATTTCATACTCATATTTTTACTTCAAAAATAGTTTCGCAAAATTTTAAATAATTAGATTGTGTGTCATAAGATAAAAAGGTGATGAGGCTTTTTGGAGTCATGAGAGCTTATTTAGACACAAATTCCTTCCGCATGGGGACTTGGTAGTTTCTAATAGACAAAAAGTTTCAAAGTGTGCAGCTAGACTCCCAAAATATGATCAAGAGCAACTGCCATAAACAATCCAATTAATTCCAGACAGCCTTACAATTAATACAAATTTTTTTGTTTAGAATCAGTGTTGAACGTTTATCTTCTATTCAAATTGTCAAAGATGGGCAACAGTTTTGCAAAAAGTTTCACATTTCATTTAATAATAGCTAGCTAGGATAAAAGTTTATGGTGCAATTTGGTCAACTTTAATTTAACAATGGTCTAAATACCATTTTTTTTTTTAAACAAAAATGATATGGAAGAGTGAGCTTAAACTTTTGGCTCCCGAAATTGATTTTTTTAGTTTCATTAGTTGCATTAAGTGTAGTTATTTATAATTAGACACTAAGTATATGTGCGTTCAATGGCAAGTTGGATGAATTGGGAGGTGGGGATTGGTAGTATAATGTTATAACCCATTCCAGATGACTGACCCCCCCTTATATTTTTAGCTATTTCTCTTTGGATGGTTGTCATATGCCAGTAGAGATTATTAATTTGGAATGAGAAAAAATGAATGACACGACAGAGAAATATACCTTATAAGCATATCAGTCAACCTGACATGTCTCAAGACAGATGCTGATTCGTCAAAGATAAGTGCTTAAGCCTGGCCTCATACTCTTTCTCTGGTATCTTCACAGGTCGCAAAACAATTACTTTCTGATGTATTACCATATTTATAGAATTTCACTAATTCACTTTACAGGGCTCACATTTACAGTGAACTTAAATACTGGTACCTGTGACGTCAATAAAATTGATGCTGGTAATGTTGGTGCATTCAGCTTGGCTTCGGGGTTTGTCCAAATGAGGGACGCCAACCAATTTTTTGACTTGGATTCAGACAACTACACCTACATGGGGATAGTAAGAACAGGATCCATGTTATGAGTTTTAAATAAAAAAAGAATGAGGAATTAAAGAGGGAATACAAATATCTTAAAAATCTGCATCACTGCTGTCTTCATTATCTTATTTATTTTATTAAACACTTTTTTCTAGGAAATAATATTAATAATACAATGTTAAGTTGCGTGTACCAAGCAAATTTTTATAACAAGAAACAGCCAACTCTTGTCATTGAAAATAAAAATCATGACTTGTTGATGAATTTTTTGAATCTGTTTAAATATTGGACAACTCTGTCAATTAATTCCATCCATCCCTGTGGCGCTATAGCCCATGTAGGGCTTTAACCTACCTCACCACATCCTTCCATTCAAAATAAATTGATGCTTTTCTTTTCTATGCTTGGATTCCAAGCTGCTGTAGAGCTTTTTCCACATAATCCATCCATCTAAGCCTAGGTCTTCCTTTGAGCCGTTATCCTCTGGGGTTTTGGTAGTGTACGCATTTCACTACTCTTTCATTTGGCATTCTTGATAAGTGTCATGCCCAATTAAAAGTTAAATAACATACAAGGCATCGAGTCTCCTTATCTTAGGCCTAATCTAATTTAAATACCATTGAATATTCACCCTGAACCTTGATTTTTACTTTTTTGAGGAATTTAATGCTATATTTATCAGTCTAGTCAGTTTGTTGGGTATGCCAAACTCCTGTAGAGTCTCATATATATATTTATACTGTCATAGGCTATTCTATAGTCCACATAGAGTTTATGTACTTGTATATTATATTTGTAATATATACGATGGTGAAAATCTGAAAATTGATCTGTTTTGTCTTAATCCACATTGGTAGTCACCTAGTATTTGTTTAATGCATAGTTGTAGTATTTGGCAATCAGATGTGTCAGTATTTTGTATGCAACAGGGAAATTCCTCTTTAGTTTGTGAATTGGGGAGTTTGGAACCTTTCTCGTGGATTGGGTTTATTAGTGCTGTTTCCCATTCTATTTGAATTTTCTCTTCTTGCCAAATATTAGTTTTATGTGTCTGAGTGGTTAGTTCTCTTCCTCCATATTTAATAAAATCTGATGTGATGAGGTCTTCTCGAGGGGCTTTGTGATTTTTTCATAGAATTGATTACTTTTATAATTTATTCCAAAGTTGGGGAGTTAATTCAAGGGTCTGGTCCTCCCTGTGGTGGTTAATAATCTTCATCTTGTCCACTGACTGAGTTTAGTATTCCCTCAAAATATTCAGCCCACCTCTCCAGTACTTTACTGTTTTCCATAAGTAATTCTCCATCACTGCTCTCACACATCTGAGGTGTGGCTTGGTATCATTTCTTTTTGTCTTTTATCTTGATGAACATTCCTCTGCTATTTCCCTCTCTTGATAAGTCTTCTATTTCTTTTAGTTTAGCTTTCTTCTTTCTTCAATCCATTGATCATTCTGTACCCTTTGTTTCAGAGGGGTTTGAGATGTAACTGTGCATGGTTTTGAAGGGGATACTTCAGTGGTTGCAATGGCTACTTAGAGATGGTATTATGAACTGGGGGTTGGAAGACAAGAGGCAATAGACACAAATGTGTCAGGTGTGGTCGCCTCAACTGTTGCTTTAGGAAGCTTGTTCCAATCCCTTATTGCCTTTGGCAGTTACTTCCCTGTCACGGATGGCTTCGTGATTCTTCTTGACCTACCCCTCATGGCGACACTTAGAGAATCGCCCCTGAAAATGATACCTTTTTTTCTTCCTACACATTTTCATGGCTTTCCTTCCTTTCATTTAATTGGTGGCCTATCATTTTTGTATAACTGTGGGTGAATCCTGTGATTTCATTAAAAAAAAATATTTTTTTCAGAACCGTGTTGAGGGTCGAGGGATTGACTGTGATGTGTGGAGTGCTTATTTCACTGGCTTTAGTCCCGATCATGCTCCTGACACACTATATACATGGTATTTTGCAAATGTAAGTCCCTTTTTTTTTAATGAGATAAATTTATGTCCGACACTTAAATGGAAATGTTAAAATTTTCTAATTTAAGTTTCTTTGACTCACAATGTATACCATTTTATCGTAATGTATACCATTTTATCATAATGTATACCATTTTATCACAATGTATACCATTTTATCATAATTTATACCATTTTATCATAATGTATACCATTTTATCATAATGTATACCATTTTATTCATGTGCATAGCTCTCAATCACAAGCAGTGTGGTTTACAAATCGGCTGTAGTCTTTGCATGTTGCTTTCAAATTTCTCCTTTTGACATATATATGCCTATTGTTTAGAAATGGAGAAAAAAAATCCTCTGAATCTATTTTAAGGTCACCAAGACATACTTGGATGCCAAAGGGGGGAAAAAAAACATTGTAGGAAAAACAACTCTATCAAAATTTGATTGATACAATTGCCTGGAAATTTGTGAATTTAAGTTACTATATTTTAGAGTTTCATTTATTATCCTCCAGTGTATACTAATGAGAATATTTAAACGAATTATATTTTGAGTCTTGTGTATTAAATATATACATATATATACATATTTATATTGAATATATTTGCATATTCTTGATGTATACAGTCTAACTGGATGACATCACAGGGTTATGAAAACACTTTCCCGATGCCAGTGATGCTTGAACTCACCTCCTCAACTGTAAGTTGTTAAAATTAAAAATTGATAAATCAAAGCACATAACTTATGAAGTTAATTTTATCTGAAATCTTTTTTCATTTAAATTTTAACATTTGTGGGTACAATGTTTTATGGGAGAAATCCTTACCGCAAATGTTATCTAGAATGACTTTTCAGTGCTCAGGTTTGATAACAATTCAGATAAAAAATGTAATTTTTTTTTTTTAAATGTCATGGCCCCTAGAAGTTGAATAATTGGTTTTCAGTGAGCTCTTCATTTTTAATCCTCCACAATTTGACTAATCTTAGAGCATCCCAGCTTCTGTATGAACACAACATAATAATTTATACAAATTGTTTTTTTCTGTCTCTCCAATAGCGACTAATTCAGTTCCACTTTTATGAATACAGTACTGATCAATCCATTGGATTAACTGACATTTCAGCGTGCTACACACCAGACAGTACAATGAACATAAAGATGTATATAACTGGTCAGTTTGATTCAGAATCTTCTTTTTTTTTTTTAACCATGGACCCTCTTTTCAAGCTTTGTGGTACCCCTTATCTTATAGTTTAATTTTAGGATCATCTCAATTCTGAGATTCCATTTCTTTATACATAGATCATTAAAGAGTCATTACTAATTCTTAACCAGTTAAAATATATATATTACTGTGTCTACGAATCACAAAACCAGAACCCTCTTTTATACTACCGTATTTTATTTTATGTTACCATTGCAGGTATTATAAATAATTTCAATGATATCATTGTAAACAAAATAACAAAAGATACCTTTAAATTACAGTGAATAGAGGGGTTTGGGGGGGGGGGGCGCAAGAAAAATTGATACTAAAAAATTATTTTTTTAGAAAACCAAACTAAAGCTGTGTTTTGAGCATTTACTCAAGACCAAAAAAACTTATTGCTTTAATATAATGGGTTGAAAAATTTAAACATGGTTTACAGGTTGGAAAGAGATTGGGTGCTCAATCCGTGTCTGGTTGACTTGACAAACTTAAATGGTGCTTAAAACATAATAAGATGGATTCAAAATGCACATGCAATTTCTCATATTCTCAAGCGTTATTCCTAATATAGTAATAATCGTAACACTAAATGAAGCCCTGATTTCTATGCCCTTTTGATCTGTTGCTTTGTTTTATGTAACTTCCATCTATTTGAAAGTTTTCTGTCATTTCCACCTAATAGAGTCCAATTTTTTTATTCCAGGTCGCTTTGACCAGCTGTTTACGCCCTTCCCTCCTGGGCTCCGCAACGGTTTCATCGCTGCCCTCACTGGGTACACAAGTCTCAAGTCTCCCTTAAGAATTTCATCATTAGATGTAAGTTTTTATCGTACAAGAAAAAGTGGAACATTTTGGTAAGTTAATTAGTGGAGCATTTTGGTAGTCAAAGTTTGTTAGCATGATGTTATCAAAATAGTGGAACATGCTTGTTATCAGAGTAATGGAACATTTTGGTAATTAAATTAGTGGAGCATGTTGGTTATTCAAGTAGTGAAGCCCATTTGTTATAAAAGTATTAGAACCTATTGTTAACCAATATAGTGGAGCATGTTATTATCAAAGTAGTGGAGTATGTTGGTAAATAAAGTAGTGGAACATGTTGTAATCAAAGTAGTAGCACCTTTTGTTATCAAAGAAATTGAACCTTTTTGTGAAAAATTCAATATTAAATAAACTCAAAGGGGTTTACGAAATTTGAACATTCTATGCCACAGAAGTATAAATAATCTATTTTCAAGGTAAAATAAAAAAAAAAAAAAGCCAATCATATACTAACATATGACACACTGGCAATGACAATTCAAACTTTTATTGAAGATAATAACTTATTAAACATCTTAAACTAGAAAAATTTGCGTAAAATGTTTTGTCATCAGAAAAAGAAGAACAATTATAAAATAAAATTTCTTTCATTTCAGTTTCAACCAGCTCCCAATGATGAAACTATGGTACAGTTCAAGCTTTTAGATAAACCAACACTACCTGGAAATGTTGAGATTGCACTCAAGCAAACACAAAATTCACAAATATTTAGTGAGCTATCAAATAAAGTAAAATCTGGGACTTTTTCAATAGATATTGCTAATTCGGTAAGAATGCCTTGTAGATTTGGTATTTTGAAACAAAATATTATTTAAAACTATTGAAAAGTAAAACTCAGATTTAAATATATGAGTGAAAAGTAATTCTATTGATAGATTTACTCACACTATATTTTGTAATAAATGACATGGTTTTTTATTGAGTCTTGGACCCAGTATAATAAATGTCACGGATTTATTTATTTTGGAACTATTGTAATAAATGCCATGGGTTTATTGAGTCTGGAACTAGTGTAATAAATGCCATGGATTTATTGGGCCTGGAACTAGTGTAATTGTAACACATGCTCTGACATCATTGTAACTTAGTGGGTTATGTCAGTAGCATGGTCACTTGTTTTATGTTAATAATTCAGGATACCGGCTAAGACTTCTTCGTTCTTCCACTTATTATCCAGGCACGCAAATAAGAATACTGAATCCTGGTTAAACTTGCAGTACTTTATTGAATCACACTTTACACTGATAATAATAATAATAATCCTTGCATGAATGTAATCATTTCACATGTATATATATAGTATTCCATCACTCAGAAAGACACGTCCTCACTCTACTATAACTCAGCTCAACTGTCCTCTAACCCTGACTCTACTCTGACTAACTCTTCTTCTTTCAATCAACTCAACTGCCCCTTTTATTACCAGCAAAGCGTGGAAACGACCGATTTGACAAAAACATAATTTACTCTCCAAAAACGTGGAGTTCACATTTGCTTCTCAAAAATACAATCCACTCTACTCGTGGAAAAACATGGTCAACACAATTCACTGTTCACTCATGCTACCTCTCTGTTTTCTTGTGAAAACATAGTCCGTTACAGTAATAAATGCCATGGATTTATTTGGCCTGGAACTAGTGTAATAAATGTCATGGATTTATTGGGCCTGGAACTAGTGTAATAAATGCCATGGATTTATTTATTCTGGAACTATTGTAATAAATGCCATGGATTTATTGAGTCTGGAACTAGTGTAATAAATGTCATGGATTTATTGAGTCTGGAACTAGTGTATTAAATGTCATGGATTCAATGAGGTGAATATTTGTTTCCACATTTAGGAAGCACAAGGTCCAGGAAAACGAACTGTCTATGTCCGGTCCAATTCTGTGCAAATTATGTCAGGCTCCACCAGAATACCCCCAACAAGCTCCACTTCCACTAGCTACTCAGCTGGTAAATATGTTTCTCTTAAGAAATTGTTTTTAAATTTAATGTTGTTTTATACCTTGATACTTGTTTGATTGAATTCATGAATATTTTCTCAACAGCATTTGATTTCTATTCCACAAATGAATTTTAGTTAGTCTATATAGATGAATGAAATTATCCCTCACTTTTCAAATTATTTCTTATTTAAGTGACAGTAAGATTGACTTATTCAAAATGAATTTTTAGATTTCTTTTAAAATAACTTTCCCTTATCCTCAATGTTAAGCATTTATTTTTTTTAAAAGTTGTCTAAGAAATCCCTAATTATATTTAAGTTTAGCTTGAAATAAGCAAACACAAAACATAAATTAAACTCGCCAAAAAAAATTATTTAAAAAAAAAAAAAAAAAAAAAAAAAGAGAACTTCTAAAACACGTTCCTTTCAATACTTTTATTTATTTTTTTTAAAAGTTGTCTAAGAAATCCCTAATTATATTTAAGTTTAGCTTGAAATAAGCAAACACAAAACATAAATTAAACTCGCCAAAAAAAATTATTTAAAAAAAAAAAAAAAAAGAAAGAAAGAGAACTTCTAAAACACGTTGCTTTCAATACTTTTATATACATTTCTACAGTTTTACCCCTCTCCCCCAACCCTCACTTTCCCAATATTAAACACTCACGTGGGCTATTAGTTGTGCCTTATTTACTTATTTACTCAGCCTTAAGGTATGCCTTTTTTGTGTGCAAATGTTAGCGGAGGCTGGAGAACACATAGCTTATTTTAGCGGTATTGTTTGATGTTAGACTAGTGACATTCTCACAGATCTCATTGGTTGTAGTCTCCCCTCTCCGGTCATTAGTTACATTTTCGGTTTCTGCTCTTTGTGGGAAAAGAAAGAAATCCAAAAATATGTGTTGCTCTATCAAAATTAAATTTAATTACTATGTGTAGATAAAAAGGTTTAATTGTGAAGTTCTTGTCTCTGGCACCTTTAAAATGTTTCATTTTTTTATCATCTGACAGGTTCCATGGCTGGCATAGGCATTGGATTGCTCGTGGCAGGTGTCCTATTTGGCGTCTTGGGAATTTTTCTGTTTAAAAGGTTTCGTGGGGGAGGTGGAAGCTCGGGTATAGGCATGGAAAAAATGGGCAATGAATCCAACTCCTAGATAAAATGTTTAACTTTGTTGGATGGCTGTGCCATGAATCCAACTGCTTAATAAATGTTGACCTTTTTTTGGGATGATTGTGTTTAGCAATATACACCTACTTGTATCATGTACATGAGAATGATGTCAATGTTATGCCGTAAGTTATTTTAATAATGGAAGGCGCCTTAGCTCTGTTACAGCCAAATCACTTAACACCATTGTCGTTGAACATGTCCTCAACATCTGTACAAAAGTGTATTGCAAAATGTATCAAGTTGGTTTATATTTAACTTAGAATTAAGCCTTTCATTTCATTATTCACTAATAAGGCGTGGAGTATACACTGTGGACAGCACATTTCACTTTTATCATTAAGGTTATTTATTTATTTTTTCAAAGTTTTTATATTCATTGTGCTATATTCCCCTTCACTGAGTTGAATTAAAAATCAATAAAACAAATGAGAACGTGATTTCAATGCATTATTTCAAGTAAGACATCAATAATTAATACCCTTTGTGTAGTCGTTTCATGTACATGTAACCCAATCCATAGGCAGCTTTTAACCACTTCAATTGACTATCACCTAACCCATTTGTAGATGCTATAATGTCATGACTCTAAGTAGTTGCTAGTGTGCTATGGTCCTAAAAGGATCCTAAAATGTTGAGCCCTAAAAGGATGTATACCATGTTAGGGCCCTAAAAAATACTATGTCTGGTCCATCAAAAGATGCTAATATAATGGGGCCGTAAAAGGATGCTAAAATGTTGGAGCCAGAAAAGTGTGCTCTTATTTTGAGACCATGCAGAGCATGCTTATATAATGCCCGTCAATGGATCCTACAAGTGCAATCAATCCTGTTGCTTTTCATACTGTAACAAATTATTTGCTTTATTTTTGGTTCTTGGCTGTGATGAATGAGACATTAAGAGTCACCGTCACATATCATGTATTTTCCTCAGATTAATTTATCTACACAAATTGAAATTTCGTATAAAAAAAATTTTTTCTAAGATTCCTCCCCACCAGAAAATTCCCCACACAAAAAAAGCATGGGATTATTACTCACTTTTAGATTTCCCACACAGAAAACTCCCCACATAAAATACTTAGCACACAGAATACTTCCCACACAGATGATTCCATACAAAAATATGCCTCACATTTTTTTGTGTGTGTTTGCTTCAGTTAGATCCGGGGTGTCAAACTCAAAGTAAGTACATTGGCGAGCCAGACTACAATGAAAAATTTTTTTTCTAGTTTTGAAAAAAGGAAAATTGCAGACAATGAAGTTTGAAACTGTGTGTTTTTTGTTAGTGTTTTGAATATACTGTGTTCTTCAACTGTTCACTGTTACCATAAAGCACAGAACTAAATGCCCACTTGAGAATCAACAAAGCAACATGAACTTATGTCTTTTTAAAGTAATAGCAACTGAAACTAAAGGTAGTGTTCTGAGATTAGCAAAACCAAATAGTTAATAGTGTTAGAAAAAAACTTAGTGAAAACGGTCAAGCTTTAAATCAATAAAAAATAAAATCCATATTGTAATTTTTTTATTCTTTTAAAATATCCTTAACAATCATATTAAAAATCGATTATGTTAAAATCACTAGTAAATATTGTCCAGCCAACAGCATCAAAGCATCATTTCATGTGTATTACACATGCAATTTCTATTTATAACACACTTACTGACCGATTTCCATACAAAACACATTTAATTTCCAAATTCCATGCATCACACATAAATTTCATACAAAAATTGTTTAATTTTCCAATGATCCCATACGACCCATATAATTGCGAATTTCAACAAGATGATGGAATCAACATTAACATAACAATGACCAACAGAAAATAGCTCAAGTTACTGATTGCTGAGTTAATCTGAAGTAGAAGCAACTCTTGCTGTCAACATTCTCTCCTTCTCATACTCTTTCTCCAAGTTGTGCGCCCTTGTCAGCTCTTCTTTTTGCTTCTGCTGCTGAAGCTTTACAGCTCGTTTCTACCAAAAACGACAATCAAAAAAAAAAAACATTAAATGGCAAAAAAATAAAAATAATTTTTTTAAATGTGTGAATCTCGTGTGTACAAATTAAGTTTCTTCAAAGAATTAATAAAAATGTATTTCCACGAAAAAAAATGGTATATTATTATCCTATCATCTATTTTACATTATCTTTCTTGTGAGCCACAGTTACAGCTTGCATGGACCCAGCGCTAATGAAATGACTTGGGGCAATAATAACATGTCCTTATCTATTACGCTTGAACCTCATTTTACAGTTACTTGCACCAATAAATAAATGCAAAATGTCTATTTCGGGGGGATGAAAGTGTTGGAATTATTGATTTGATAAACGAAAAAGAAACGGATGTATAAACAGTAGTTTTTTAATATGGAAACAGGATATTCTATGACCTCTCTCTTTAAACGCTGTGCACTAATTAATTTTTTTTATTGCATGCTTCATTAGTTTATTTCTTTTCCCATCAACAATGAATATTCAGTAACTAGTTTAACCCACTTTCTTAGCATTAGTTCTGTCCTCACAATTCACTTTTTTTTCATTCACCCGAAGTTAAGTCAGTACGAAGGCAGAAGGAAACTTAGCTTAGAAAGAGTTATATTAATAACATTAACTGGTATTGGAAATAATAACATGTGCAAACATTATCTCACAAGTGGCTCCTACGAGGTTTAATTTCTTAATGATGTGTGTCACCAACCTTTAGCTTTTTGGATTTATCATGCAGGTTGGACATGTCTCTCTTCAGCTTAATCAACTTATTGTGATAAAGTTTGGCCTTTGCCATCTGAAAGAAGGGAAAAAAAAAAAAATCCAAATAAATGGATCATGCATGAGGTCTGTTCAAAAATCATGAACAGGAATAAGTTTATGAAGCACAATTTTATTTTTCATAAAATTCTAAACTTAAGAAAGTATTTTTATAGTCTTGGCCAAAGAGCCCCTACAAGCGAACTGCACACAGAAATGACTTGTGGGTTCATCAATTAGTGTAATGAAGGAAAAAAAAATGCCCGGTATCTTTGTAACTGCAGACTCACTGTTTTCTCCAATTCCACTAGTGCTTGGCATTCTGTAAACTTTGTAGTCTCTTGCTGGACAGTCTCTATTAGTACTGATTGACTAGTTCTGTTGATGAAAAATTATTTCAATTAAATTTTAGGTTCCTACCAAGCTTATAGGGACTTTTAACGTGTGATGATGCAGTGGTGCTACTGAAAGATTTATAAGACAGCAACTTTGTTGTTTTTTTTCCTAAGCTCATTCACAAACAAAAAATTGCTTCAATCACTACATTCCTTTAGCTGTCCTCTAGGATACAACATGTCAGCTAAGTGTTTATTTTTAATTGTTATATTTGTTGTTCGTTCGCTGAAGAAGGCTTCTTGCAGACGCGTTCGCTGTTTTGTTGCATCATTTTTTCAAGGTTTTCCCCACACTTAGTTTCACATAGTTCCATCAATCTTTGGGTTAGCTAAAAAAAAATATCACTGTTGCTACTTCTGGCTATTTCAATGAAATATTTAAAAATTTAAGATAGCTTCAATATTTTTTTCTTCAATAAATCTACAGCTTTTATGATTGTGCCAACTACGTTTGACTTCAGCATTAACGGTTTACTTTGGTTAATAGTGTGCTGTTAACCTCACAAAGGGTAAGGAAAGAAGGCCTAAAATGTGCATGTTTGGTTTTCATCGTCTGGCTATCTCAATCCTTGTTTTCTGTCTCATAGCTCTGGCAATCAGCTACCAATATTAGTTTAAGAAGATCGATATCACTGGCCTCATGTTTTAGAATTCAATGTGCTAGAACATGCAAGTAACCTAAAATAAACTAAAGATAAGAACACGGTATGCCAAATTCATAAACAGGACAAACGATTTTGACGTTGGGGTTACAGCCTTCATCCACTTGTTTGTCCTGTTTATGAATTCAAGTTTGACATACCTTGTTCTCATATTTCTTTTACACAAATTGAATGCAGTCCATCAATTATTATCTTAAAAAACTAGGAGTTCATCAAGAACCTTACACTTTAGCCCGACTGGTGTCTCAATTAATTTAAAAAACAATTAAGAATGTGTTTGCAGCATGATCTCAAGCTACATCTGTTTTAAGTAACGGTTTACTGTTTGAGATGGTAACTTACTTAATTTGGTCTATCGTAGACTTTGTCTTTTGCAGTGACGGCATGAATCTTGCAATGAAACCATTAGTTAATAAATCAATGGTAGCAGGGTCGACAGACACATCGGCTGGGTATAAAACAACAAATGTTCCTTGAGTGTGATAATTGTTTGACAATTTTTTAAGATGGAACAGAAATGACAAAGTCCCTAGTCTGCTACTCTAGAAAATATATGAAATATATGTACACAACTTAATAATTATTACAGACAAATTTGTAAGATATTAGGTGTGATGTGTACATAAAAAATATTTTAAAAGTATGGGAAATTTTAAAATAAACATGTTAATTCCTTAATATCTGTGGGGATCATAATATGACTTCAACTTCAACATAAAATATAACTTCAATATCACAATATGACTTCAACATATGCTGCATATAAGAAAATTCTACGTTTTATTCTAAAGAGGAGGCAGAATCTTCCATTAACTATCACAACTTGTTTTTTTTTTATATCAAAGCACTAGTAGTTCCTTTTTATAAAGAGGGCTGGAGTCAGGAGAAAAAAAAAAGGTCAGTCGTAAAATGACAAAGAAATAAATGTTAAAATTCAGTGACGAGATTAAAAAATGTGTACATTTTGAACAAATGAAAACTCACTGTCTTGATAAACACCATTCATCATTAACTCTGCATCATAGCTAAGTTTCAGCTCAGAGTGTGGTTGTTTATCTCCCTTCTGCGCAACTTCATTTGATGATGAATTTCCCCCTTCCGATGTCTGGGTTGAGTACGCAGTTTCTTCCCTAAGGGCATTGGCTGAGATGTTCTGATCACAGTCCTTTACAGACTGGTCTTGGCTTGGTGTTTCTTCTATATGGTCTAGAGCCTCCTTCTCTGTCTGCTCAGTCAGTTTCATGCCACCCAATGCGGTCTCCTCAATGGGAGGAGTTTCCATTTTTACTATCCCAGATTATGCCCTAGAAGAGTTGGGGGGAATGATTAAATAGATGTAAAATTTTCAAGTATTTAAAAAATAGATTTGTTTCATAGTGTGTCATTAATAATTTATAATACATCTAACTTTTTATTTTTCTGTAACACTTTATTATTTCACTTCCATTTTAAGACCTATTCTTATAGCTCTGCCTACCAAGAATTTATCTGCATTTAGACTGGCTTAAATTTTGGTGCCGATAGTGTTGGTTATGATATTGTAGCTGGGTGATGATACTGTGGTAATCTCATTTAGCATAATAAATTTAATATAAATGTGATGGCATATTTTATTTGTATTCATTCGTATATTTTTTAAATTAATAGAATTATGTCATTATTGATAGGTTTTTAATAATTTAATACAGTCATTCTGAGCTAAAACAACAACCATTTAAGAAATTGTGTTATCACAACAACAAAAAATTAAGTTTAGGTGTTCTTAAAGAAAATGTTAACATCCGAATGACAGCAATTAATTCATTAATTAATTTTAAATTCTTTTTTAAAACACGCTTAGCTCCAAATATAACTAAATAATTATGGGATTATGCTAGTATTTTTCTCATCCTATAGCTACGAATAATGTGTTTTATAGAAACCTCTGAGATTGCAAGTTTATAATTAAAAGCACAAATATAGAATCACTGGCTATGGTCTATAAAATATGTCTATGGCAGTTGGGTAAATTTATGATGTCCAGTACCACTTGTTCCCCCATTTTGGGTACTATTTTTGTTTACGCAGCCACTATTTGTCTGCCAAGACAAGAGATATGTCAAAAAAATTATCACCCAACAGGAAAAAGGAGGGGGGGAGGGGGGGCATGATGGAGACAGTGTGAATAAGTTACTTCCTGAGTCAAATGAAAATGATATGAGTATGAGAATGATTTTTTAAATATTAATCTTGATTTTGTGAATCTTCAAAATTAACTGAATATTTTTTTTCCGAAAAACCCTTCAACCCTAAAATCTATCACTATAACTAACCTGAACCCTAAATGTCCCTAACATGACAATTATTGTCCCTACCTCAACATCGGTGTCTCCCTAACGCTAAAAAATATATAATTACATCTAGCCTGAACCCTAAATGTCCCTTACAAACATCAGTGTCTCGCTAACATTAAAATAAGCTCTCCTGGCATTAACCATGTGTTTCTGTGCTACAGTTACACACAGTCGGGAGAAAAGCTTAAATTAAATAAAAAGATTAAAATCACTTTTAAAATATTCAAAATAATGAAAACCCAAGTTACAGTTTCATTGAATACAAATTTACACACTTTATTACAATTTACTGGTTCCACCATAAATAAAATCTAAAAGGGATCAATAAATTAAATGATCAGACTCAGTCCAGCAAAAACTAGATATATGTTTTTAAATACATGTACCAGTATTAATTAACCTCGCTATGAATAATTAATATTAAGTGTTAAAAATTCATCAAACAAAACATTCCATCAGTGTATAAATATATTTAAAAAAAGAATAGTGAACTCTAGTAATGATTCACGACTTAACAACATAGGAAGGAGGAGTTCACTCATACACAAGAAGCTCAGGGGGTACGGGATAGTGTAGGCATAAGTTAGCCAGCACTTGAATTGAAATTTATATTATCATGTCAGACTCATGTGAAATAAAGTACACAAGTCATTGACGATCTAGCTCAACGGTGGCCAAACCGCGGCTCGCAAACAATTTATTTCTATTCATAAATTGTACATATTTAAATATTTGTTAATTGTGTAACTGTAACGCATATATTTCTTCAACATACGGTTAGGGTTAAAACAATTGAAATGTTTAAATCATTAAATTCGTATAAAAAGTAATTTTTAAAAATAAATCACAAAAGGAATTTTTCATTGCGAGTGGGGTCGTGACCCATAGTGCTTCAATGCGGCTCTCACCATTTTTTTTTATTTTAAAAATGGCTCTGGCCACCACTGATCTAGCTAATATTTGTTTTTTGAAGCTATTGAATAGTCCATTAATAAGCCTTGAGTCGTTGAGTCTTATCATTGAGGAGCTTACTCTAGGCCTAGGGCTTATTGGACCTCCCATTCTCAATTCAAACTACTATTAAATGAGTGAATGTGTGAAGTCTGGTACAAGCCACAGTCTAGGGAAATTGTTGAACTGATGTTTAAATGATAGCGTGCATTCCTCATCAACAGTAAATGAGTTAGTGTTACTAGAGTTAACTTTTCTTTAATGTTAGAAATTATAATTTCATTGGTTGGTTAATTGTAATGTTTATATTTTCCGGCATTTTGGTAAATGGATACACGGTATAGTATTGTTTGTATTGATTTTCTGACAACTTTTGGATTTTCTTTTAGGTTGAACCTGAAATAAAGTGGGTAAAAGTTTATTCTTTGAAACTGTAAGTTGGGTTTTCATTATTTTAAAAATTATTTTGTATTGTTTTTCTTAATTTTTACAATTTTTTTACTGTAGAATGTAGAACAACTGTTTTAGATGAGGGGAAGGAGCATATACTGGCTGAAATTAGGGCAGGAAAGGGCAGGTCGGTGACACTTCTTGTCCTAAATATGGAGGGATACAGTAAAATTGCTATCTTTGCCTGAAATTAATGTACCAGCAGAAAGTATGCCAGGAAAGGGGGCAAGCACAGCTCATTGACACTTCTTGCCACATATCTAGAGTGATAAAATAAAGATGCTGCGTTCGCCCCGATATTAATATATTTGATGAAATTATTTCATTAACTTTTACTTTTGATGTTTTCTTCTTATGTTCGTTTCTCTCTGTAATTAATTAGCAAAGTAGCACATTCTCTCTTTTCGTTCCCATGTTAGCATACATGTTTTTTACACGACCACCATCCTGGTTGTCATGACCCATGATTGATCATTCGAGACAGGTCATGGAAACAAAGATGGCGGCCATGGCCATGGTAAATATGTGGCCATTGTGGCGCAGATTGTGTAAATTTACAGAAATAAGTATTAAGTTAGGTACTTTGACACAAAATTTAAATATTGTCCGATTGCCATGAATGATACATCATTTTAAAGGGCTAGCCATAAGCTTTATAACAACACCAACTTTATCTTTCTATCTTTTATAGAACTGGAGTTATGAATTTTTTTGTCAAATTTTTTATGCTATATATTTGACCCAAAAAACTTGTGACCCACTTTTCAATTTTTTCCACTTTTTGACCCATAACTTTTTTATTTTTAACGATAAGGGTACCAAATTTTCAGCACACACTCTCAATGCAATGTAAAACACAATGAAAACAAAAGTTGCACATTATAGAAGATACATTTATTTTGAAAAAATATTTTTGTAGAGAAAGTGAAAAAAAATTTGGTAAAAAAAAACCTTTTTTTTGAAAAATTATTATTAAGTTAATTAAGTAATTATTTATGAATGCAGATTGTGTAAATGTACAGAAATAAGTATTAAGTAATTATGTTACTAAGTCTAAGACTTAAGTCTAAGATATGTATTATCAAATGCTAAGTCAACTGTAAGTAACTAATACTGAATAGTAAAAAGTTAGTAATAACTTTAAAAAAAAACACTAAAAACTATGTTTCAAAATCACTTAATCAATCTATGATCGGCATCGCCATCGAGTTAGCGCAATTATGTGTTTCTTGCAACTTGACGAGTTCAGACTGTTTACACTGTTGCCAATCCCTAAAATTAAACAAACTGAAACAATAACTTACTGTAAAATGCTTAAATAGCTATTTAGAAGTGGTAGGTCTCATCAATCCATGCATGATATGATTGTCTAATGCAGTGTTTACGTTTCATTTAATGTTGTTATAACTTGGCTTGTGACTTCCGCTAAGGTCAGAGGGTAAGTTATATCTAAATTACGAAACACAAAAAAAAAGGTAACAGAGTTTAATGCTCACTAAAAATATTTTATGTCTCAACATCATCTTCATCCTCACCAGTACTGCATATCTAAACGGGACATTTCCACTTCGTAAAATTAGATTTAAAGACTTACTTTAAAAAATAGTACAAGAATTTTAAAGACTTGACACTGGAATTGTAAAAAGTTGAAATCCACTGTTGTGCAGTTCACTCACTGACGTAGACGTAGACGTAAGCAACAGTACCATCAAAGTCTGGCTTTTGGTACAGGCAAAGCAGTCTTGCGGCGCAAAAATCTAGGGACGTCATCTTGATCCAAAAATTTCAACCCTGAATTCGAGGAAAATATTTTTTCTATAGGGGGGTCCTCCATTAATTACGTCAAAAGTATTTTAGCAATTTTTGTCCCCCGCTCCTCTTGTCAACAACTGTCAAACTTTCAATGATCCCCTTATTTAATTATGTCATTTTCTACCCCCCCCCCCAAACAAAACAACAAAAAAAAGGAATTATACTATAAATAAATGTATAAATAATTTTACTTTATGCTGATCTATTTTAATGACACAACATTGTAGGAAAATATTTTATTACATCTTTAGCTTGTTAATCAACAAGTTAAAAAGTTTTTGCACTTAAATTTTATAATGCAGAATCAATTAAAAGGTTGTTAAAGACTAAATATCATTTTTTTTGTGGAAGTATACATATGATTATTTCAGTAAAGCTGACAATTATAGCATAGTTTCTAGGTGCTATCATCTTCCCAAGGAGTAGCCATGTTTGCTCTATCGTAACAATGGGCATCAGGGACATCATTTGGGTAGGGCAGGGGACCATTTGCCCCCACCACCTAATTTGCAGGTTTTATTTAAATTGCTATGTACCGTTGCGTCTCCAGTAATAAACAACTTAACAAGCCGACCAAGTTTTGGTTTTGCCAAAATTGAAAAAAAAAAAAAATGTCGCCTCTAGTGGGCATAGTCCATTGTAGCTGATTTATCTTTTTTATCTTGCGGCACTGATACTCATCTAACCATTCAGCACTTAAAATAGAAGCAATATTTGGTGTGAGCAGAAATTGCCATACACTCTCTCCTCGCAGCTACTGGCATTGTTCCTTTTTGAATCCTTTTTTTTTTAAATTTAGAGTTAGCCTTCTCTTAAATGAGTTGCCTTCCAAGGCTAACGAGTCCCATCCACCCGGGGATTGAACTCCAGACCACCACCATTTGGAGTGAGTCAGTTTAGACCACTCGGCCACCCAGCACCCTTGTGATACAAAATAGATGTTACATATTTTGCAAAATGTCCTATCCCTACTCTATGAATAGCATTAAAATTTATCTTGACTGAACATGGAACTTGAACCTTGTCCTTGTTTCATACCTGCAACAGAATTTACAGTTGAAGAACGGCCAACTTTTGACTTCTCCTGCACTAACAAATTGTGCCAACATTCTAACCAGCCATCTGCAGTGCACAGACATACATGGTGTCATACTTCGAGTAATGTTTTAGTTTTTTTTTTATCTATCTTCAAACATGATAGGAAAGACTCTAACTCTAGCATACACTTATTCTAGATCTGCAGATACATTAAATAAATCTTATATTGTTAAAAGCCTACAAATTATATGACTTTTTGCACTCATTTACACTTATAAATTTTGTAAAATAATGTAATAACCAGTCAACTTTTAAGATTAAAATTTTATAGAGAAAACATGATTGTTGACGTCAACTAATCTAAAAAAAACTCCCTTCCCCTTGTCAACAACTGTGAAACATTTCCAAACTCCCTCCCCCTATTCTGTTCACGTAATTAATGGACGCCCCCAATGATGATTTTGATCGACTCTTTGATGAAAATAATGATATGCAATTCCTTTTTGGAACCAACGTTAATGAAGGGTACAACACGGCTATTTAAGTGAATTATAAAACATCCATAAACAATTTGTTACAATTTTGGTAACTGAAATTAAAAGTGACGTTTATTGATAATATTTTTAGTGGAATGCTGATTTTTTTTTTCTGACGACAACACTTTGAATTAAAGGACCAAGTAAAATATTATTATTATTATTATTATTTTAAAATTATAATTAACACCAAAAAAATCATGAAATTGGATTTTTAAGTATTAGAATTAATATTTTTCAAACATGAAATTTCATAATTCATTATTTATATTTTGAGGGGGGAATCATGTTAAGTTATTAAAAACTCGCCGAGGTACTTATGATAAATGCATTGTAAAAATCGAGAAGAATCCTTTACATAAATCCTCCTTTCCCCCTCATGTTTGTCATGAAATATTGTTGTTTGTGATAGCGGCCAAGACAGATTTAATGTCTCGCGGAGGGTGGAAGGTTAAGTTTTGCAACCCATCTTTAAAAAATACAAAAACTCAGCAGGTAGCCGAAAATGCCACCCATTTAAGCAAAGAAAAAAGATCCACCTGGAGGATCACAACCTTTTCCTGCACCACTGGGCTGGCGATGACGCAAAATCAACCGAGCTCCAGTATCATGCTTTGGATCAACTCAGCAGATTGTTGTCTTTTCTCAGCAACTGTAGCTTGTTGTTAATTCGGTGTCAAGAATAGGCAGAGTTGTACATAATTTGTATAATCTTGGCGAGGTTTATAATTCAATTTTTGCTATTTCGAAACCACAAATGATCCTTAAGTGATTAGTGCAGGAGTCCTCAACCATCCACGGGCCATATCCGAACCATCCTTATTAACACTGACCGCCCATACTTCCCAATGAAATACTGTAAGGGAACCTTGCTTGCTCTCTGCTAACCTTCATCTATATCTGGCATTCACTAAGGAAACAACTCAGGCGATAACATCTGATGATTACAATCTTGTTCTTTATTAGGCTGACACTTCGCTTATACTTTCTCTAATCTCCCAACTCTGACTGCCCTCTTCTCATATCGTCAGAGCTCTCCCTGACTGTCTGCTTCTCTGTCCGGCCGCGTTCTGTCCGTCCCGTCCAGAGGTCCCTATTTATAAGTCCCTGGTTCATAGAGTTTCTTTCCCAGGTCTGTACTCGCGCCCGCCCCTTTGATCAGTCGGCGCCAGGTTACCAACCAGTCGTCCCAGGGAAATACCCTGGTCAGATGGCCGGTACCCTGCTGTAAGATCTGACGCGCCCAGCGCTTTGATCCGTCGATCGTGATCCCTGGTCAGATGGCACCGGCTGTACCTGATCAGATGGCCGGTAACCCTGCTGCGAGATCTGACGCCCCGGCGCCGTCGTGGTCCGGAGCCGTCGTGGTCCGAACTCTCCACAATACTAATAACACTATGTTGATTACAATCATATTTCATAATAATTATAATTATCATATTTTGTTTCTTTTTTTTTTCTTTTTGCACAACGAATAAGTTATATGCAATTTGCATAGAAATTAGTTCATGTTGTTTTCAAAGTATAGTCCGCCCCCCAACTATGTCTGAGGGATAGTGACCCTGCCACCGAATTGAAAAAAGTGTGATGACCCTTGCTTTTATTTGATATGACGCCAAACCATTTAAGGAATTCAATTTTAATTTTATATGATCTTTAAAAAATGAAAACATTCTTTTAAAGAATTAATGAAAAATATAATAGATTTACCAAATGTGCTACCAAATTTGAATATCTACGACACTGTTTGATTTAAAATATGTCAAGAAATACTCTCTACTGTACACATGCTGCCATCAAGAAAACACCACTGAATGTCAATGCTTGCATTGGATATCAGAGCCGTCTAGTAGGTACCTACTGCAACCCTTGCAACAAGGGGGGGGGGAGGAGGAGGGGGGTTGCCTGGGGATTTAATGAGCCCAAAGTTGTGATGCGGTTTAAAAAAATGAACTCAACTTTGAATGCAGAGGATGGGTACAAAATTGAAAAGTGGGAATGGGGCTCAAAAAGTCACGTGACGTCTCTGTTGGATGTTTTGTCCAAATATAGTAATTTCTTGTAGAAATTTGCTGACGATTTAAGTCAGTGTTGCAAATAGAGAAATACGTTTTTTTTTTGGCTGAAATTAAAACTGAAACGATTTAAACATATTTAATAGCATATTTTATCCAGGAAAGGCTCACATCTTTGGTAATGATGTCTATTGAAATTTATATTAACAGTCGACTAGGTAATGGAGATGTCATCAGAGCTTTTTCTTCCCCAACAGCCAGAAAAGTTTGCTCCTAGGTTAGTATACATTAGTTTATTGCCAATGATGAATATTATTATAACTTTCTTAAATTGTATAGCTATTGCATGCTGAAAGTCGGAATTTTTTCTTGTCAGAGTTGCACCTTTTCAATAAAAATCCGTTTTAATTTCGAACAGATTGGTTTTCAATTTTACTACATTAAAAGTTCAATTATACTTTATGGCTGCATCTATAGGTACCCGGGTACCTTTAATTGCAAATAACTATTCGCACCTGGAGTGGCTCCGTACAGATTAAATGGCTTCGAAGCCGGGAATCGTAACAATGATAGTATGAGAATTATTTTTTAAATTGTTTTTTCTCCTTGTTATTAATAGATTCATAGTTTTATTCTTTTTAGTTTTTTTTTTTGCTATGTTAATTTCTCTTAGGACGGGTAGATTTTTTTTCTTTCCTCTTTTCTTTTTTAGTTTAAGCCATGTTCGTAGATCATTTTTTTAAAAAGTCTAGTAATGAAGATGATTTAGATACTAAATGATTTAGATGCTTTAGATACTCCACAGCCCCCTTCCTATGCAAGTGGATTGACTTTTTCTTTTCAAACTTTCCTGCGGGCGCCCATGGTTGGTCAGCTCTAGTTTGATAGATGGCACTTAATTATTTAGATGCCACCTAAGTTGACTCTGGTTTGTGGTGAGTAAAATGAGAGGCAGTGTTAGTGATTTTATGTATCTGGATGGAACCAAATTGCTCTATTATTCATCTGTTTGCAATGGTGTTTATTTCGCTACTGACATATATTTCATTACTTTCCCGCTTTTCGCCTCTTAGTCTTAGTAAATCACCAGCTATTTATTGAGAAAGAAATCGAAACTGTCACAAATTTTAAGACAGGACATTGACAATTTTATTTAAAGTTTTAACAAATATTTCCCACATAACCCCCACCCATGGGCGCCCGCAGGTAGGGCAAGGGGGGCACTTGCCCTACCCCCCCCCTGGATTGATTGGATAACAAAAATTTAGACAAAAATAGACCAAAAATTTATTAAAGTAAAGAGAAAATAAAGAGAAAGTAACTAAGCTGATGTCCTGTCCGTTCGTTCACCATACAAATACGCTACAGTAAATTAAAACTATATTAAAACATTACTAAAAATTTGTTGCCCCCCCCCCCTTAGAAAGTTTTCTGCGGCGCCCATGCTTTGTATCCATGGTAACAAGAATGATTTGCCCTTTAATATTACTTTTTGAATGCCAGTAATGTAATTAGTACACGTTTTGAAAAAAAAAAAGTTACTACTGTACTAAATTCGTTGCCTACAGAAATTAAATTAACATTAAGAATTTTAAACATAAATCTATCGAAGAAACAAAAAAACAACAACCAGAAAACTACACAATGCCTTTTATCGAACTGACTTGAACTTTGACCTTTAACTGTAGCTGTGACCCGAGTTAATCAAATTAGGTAGGTCGTGACCCTTTAGTAAAGTGGAGATAATTGTACTGTGATGAACACACACCTGCCACATTGTTACAATTCTGCTCCTGGAGATAGCAGCACGCTGTCCGGTATGTTAACTTCACGGTACATCAGCAGTAGCTGTGTGTTGAACTGGGCCAGGTGCTGTGTGCTGTTGGCACGCTCAAAGCGAATTCCCAGTGTGTTTCTCGTGACATCCAAGCACCGCACGCACCACCGTAGTGCTACCATGGAGGGCAGCGCACCTGAAGACATCGCTGTCACAAGATTCAGGGAGTACCTCAGGATCAACACATCCCAGCCAGCGCCAAACTATGGTAAAGTTAAAAATGTGTCTGCTTGTCATTTTGTGTGCTTGACACTGTGTTGTTGTTGTTTTTTTGTCTGTCAATTAGGACAAAGATCAGAACTAACTTGAACTTCTCTGAGAACAATCTTGTAGTCTATTGAGGTAGAAGAGTAATACACGTATCGATACAATTTGTTTTCTTATAAACGATACATTGACGGAGTCGTATAATGCAGTACTCGGCTATTTGTATCCACCGTCTACGACTACTAGTTTAAATGACAATTTTAAGGAACAAAAAAAAAACAAAAAAAAAACAAACCCAAAACTATTCCAAAAACTGCACCTCGTCTATCAACTCTCAGATGGTTCTTGGAGTGTCGACCCAGATTGCATTGAGGTCAAAGTTCGCGGTGTCAAGCAGAAATGCCAACCATGTCTAACGACAAGGCCTTAATGTTATAATTATTTATTTTTCCTCAGCTTCTTGAATAAATTACGCGTTTAGTATATGCCAATAGGTTACATTGTTTAATTTAATTTTCTGCTTATAAATACATCATGATTATATCCTCTGTTAAATGGCGAGTTGTATCCACATGTGGCTGTGTGAAAATGTTAAATATGTGGCATATACATCCAGGGGCGGACCTGTAAACATTATGTAAAATGACGAAGCTTTCAAGATGAACACTTAGTAAAACAATACTAGACACTGAACACTGGGTAAAACCATACACACTGAACACTGGGAACCATACACACTGAAAACTGGGTAAAACAATGCACACTGAACACTGGGTAAAACAATACACACTGAACACTGGGTAAAACCGTACACATTGAACACTGGGTAAAACAATGCACACTGAACACTGGGTAAAACAATACACACTGAACACTGGGTAAAACAATACACACTGAACACTGGGTAAAACCATACACACTGAACAATGGGTATAACAATGCACACTGAACACTCGGTAAAACAATACACACTGAACACTGGGTAAAACAATGCACATTGAACACTATGTAAAACAATACACACTGAACACTGGGTAAAACAATACACACTGAACATTGGGTAAAACTTTGCACACTGAACACTAGGTAAAACAATGCACACTGAACACTGGGTAAAACAATGCACACTGAAAACTGGGTAAAACAATACACACTGAACACTGGGTAAAACAATGCACACTGAAAACCTGGTAAAACAATGCACACTGAACACTAGGTAAAACAATGCACACTGAACACTGGGTAAAACTTTGCACACTGAACACTGGGTAAAACAATGCACACTGAACACTGGGTAAAACAATGCACACTGAACATTGGGTAAAACTTTGCACACTGAACACTGGGTAAAACAATGCACACTGAACACTGGGTAAAACAATGCACACTGAACACTAGGTAAAACAATGCACACTGAACACTAGGTAAAACAATGCACACTGAACACTAGTTAAAACAATGCACACTGAACATTGGGTAAAACTTTGCACACTGAACACTGGGTAAAACAATGCACACTGAACACTAGGTAAAACAATGCACACTGAACATCGGTTTCTAACAATTTTCCACGCTTGGTTTATTTTTTTTTTAAATTTTCAAATGGCTAAAGCATGGGTTATTTTTTTAAACAACACTCCCCCAGCTAAATCATTGCTTACTTTTTAAACAATATTCCACTGGCTATATAAAACTTGAGACATTTTCTAAACAACATTCCACTGGTTAAAACCTGGGATATTTTTTAAACAATATTCCACTGGCTATATCTAGGTGTTTTTTTATTTTTTTTTATTTTTCGTAGTGCCCTTTGGGACTTACATCGACAGCAATAAATTCTATGTAATTATTTCCTCTAAACGCTCAATTATTTAAATGACTTCGATCATTGGGGGGTGTGAGAGGAGGGAAGTGGGGATATATTTGTGTTCAATAAAAAAATCAAGTTAATCTCATTGTAGGGCCTAAATATCATTAACAAAGGTAGAGACCTGTAAGCTAATCGTTAAAATAAGACAGTCGGCGTCGGGGGGACGAGAGTAATGTGAGCGCTGTCACAAACATTTTTTTCACGCGCGTATTGACTAGGAGACTCAGCACAGCACATTTCGGAATGAGCAACCCGCCACAAACGTTCCTGGATGAGCAACCTGCCACTGGACGTTCCTGAATGAGCAACCCGCCACTGTGTGGTGAAAAGTGAAAAGTCTTATGTTAGTTAATATCGATGAATGACCCTCGTATGAGTTATCACCTGCTCGTGTCTAGGGTTTTTAATTAAAGATTCATTTGAAGAAAGGGACGTAGTCTCATACGTATACACCTATATAAATAAAAGTGACTTAGTCTTACGTATATAAAAAAATTTTATGCAAAGAACATAGTCTAATTCATGTACACTTTTATAAATAATAAAAAAAAGTATTCTACAACCAATTTTATTAAAATAAAACGAACCTATTTATCTAAATAAAATTTACAAAACTTCATTGAAATTAATCTTAAAAGCATAAAAATCAAATAACATGTGTAATGAATAAGATCACATGTAGCATATAAATGTACCATCTCGGTTCTATAGACTATGGAAATTTGCCTCTCGTAATAACCTGACATTTCATCATCATTACGTAATTTCATTGTAACAAGATAGATATGCTCTGACCGGTCACAACTTACCTTATCAATCTTTAATAATAATTCCCGATTTGACGTTGCCCGCGCCACTCAATGCATTTTAACCCTCATTGAAATAGATTTAAGGCTAAACTCCCTGAACTAAAGCCTTTACAGTACAAAAAAAAATACATTTAATTTCAATTTTTAAAACATTTGTTCCTATAATTTTCAACGTACTATTCGCCATACCCAGGGTAAGTGGGGGGGGGGGTCCAAATGGCGCTCCAAATCCCCTAATGCTTAACAGAGCAACCACAAGTCGGCACACAGCACGGCACACAGCACGCTGGGTATCGTGTTTTTTGTCTGCTTTTGGTATATACGTGTTCAAGCGCAAGATTGTTGAAGCTTATGCACCTCCTAACGTATTTGATACGTTCAACGTGGTTGCGTTGCCCCAGATTGTATTATTATAATTGATTATCTGGATTTGATCGATCAAAAAATGAGATCACTTCTCAATTTGACAACCAGATTGGGCGTGAGAATGCTTATTGTTTACATTTAGATTCAAAATAACAACGGAAACACTGGCAGAAATTATCTTCAATAATAAAGTAGGGAAAATGACACCATCAAAATGAAGTAGAAAAAAAAAATGACACACACAATAATATAGCTGTATTGAAATAATCAGAATGGTGTAGCCATCTAGTTCCCTATGATGCCACTTTTCAGATGACGTTATTTGATCGCACCTACTGTTGTTAGTTTCAGCTTAGAGAACCGGCGTCAAAACTTGATCCCAATCATTATCCCCAACATTCGAGCCTGGGCTCCGGTTATCCGAATGTCAACGTGGACGTCCCATTGCGAAGTTGGGCAAACTGAAAGCACGGTTGTAATGTACTCGGGGAGTTACAAGGGTACAGCACGGGGCGTAACAGTTTTTTTTTTTTTTGGTTGAATTTGCAGCGCCGTTATGGGCGTACATGCAATGGGCGTGACCTCGGTTAAGTTAATGGGGAGGAAAAGTTTAATGTTTTAAAAACAATACATAAAAAAAAAAAAAAAAAAGATATCTTTTTAAAACTATTTTTGAAATCTCAGCTTCTTTTAGGCTAACCATGATCATTTTGTCTATATAGCTCTAATGATAGTGGCAATAAACCATTGTATGAATATAGCTCTAATTAAAGTGGCAATAAAACATTGTTTATATTCCTTTCATGATAGTGGCAATAAACCATGGTGTGTGGATATAGCTCTAATTAAAGGGGCAATAAACCATGGTGTGTGGATATAGCTCTAATTAAAGGGGCAATAAACCATGGTGTGTGGATATAGCTCTAGTGATAGTGGCAATAAACCATGGTGTGTGGATATAGCTCTAGTGATAGTGGCAATAAACCATGGTGTGTGGATATAGCTCTAGTGATAGTGGCAATAAACTATGGTGTGTGGATATAGCTCTAGTGATAGTGGCAATAAACCATGGTGTGTGGATATAGCTCTAGTGATAGTGGCAATAAACCATGGTGTGTGGATATAGCTCTAGTGATAGTGGCAATAAACCATGTTGTGTGGATATAGCTCTAATTAAAGTGGCAACCAACCGAATGTGACCATTAGCTCTCGTGGCTACACGTATTTAGATTGGTTTCGCGGATTACAAGCTATACATAATTTTTTTAAGTTATTTTTTCTGGCCCTATCCCCATGCCCCTATCCTCGATGTCCCTATCCCAAATGCCTCTATCCCAAATGTCCTTATCCAAAATGCCCGTATCCCCAATGCCCCTATCCTCAATGCCCCTATACCCATTCCCCTATCTCCAATGCCCCTATCCCAAATGCCCCTATCCCCAATCACCTATTCACATCTCGCTATCCCTTTTTGTTGTACGTCGCGATGAGTTTCATCTTAATACCAACAAAACTTTTCTTACAGCTGAAGCCACGGGTTTCTTCAAAAACTACGCCCTTGAACTTGGCTTGGAATTCAACTCAATAAAAGTAAGGATAGCTTTAATTTTACATGAAAGAGGTGGGTTAGCGGCGGCAGTACACACGTCTAGTCTATTAATACCAATGCTTGCTTTATTACCAGTCTGCCACACCACCACATCATCACATAACCACATTGCCACACCACAAAAATGTCTCATAACCACATTGCCTCACCACCACATGATTACGTAACCACATTGCCACACCCCCAAAAGGTCTCATAACCACATTGCCTCACCACCACATGATTACGTAACCACATTGCCTCACCACCAAAAGGTCTTATAACGACATTGCCTCACCACCACATGATCACATAACCAAATTGCCTCGCCACCACATGATCACGTAACCACATTGCCTCACCACCACAAGATCTCATAACCACATTACCTCGCCACCACATTATCACGTCACCACATTGCCTCACCACCACATGTTCACATAATCCCATTTCCTCACCACCACATGATCGCGTAACCACATTGCCTCACCGCCACATGATCACGTAACCACATTTCCTCACCACCACATGATCACGTAACCACATTACCTCACCACCACATGATCACATCACCGAACTGCAACCCACTCCACTAAAATAGAATGCTTTAAGTTATTTTTCTTTTTTTAGAAGAACAAATCTCACTTCATCGAATGTTTATGATCTTTATCAGTTAACAGAGAAAAATAGTGTGGACATTCTGACCTGGGAAGGAACTGACCAATCGTTGCCTTCTTTAATGCTGTACAGTCACATCGACGTTGTGCCGTCATTTCCGGTATGTAATGGAGGAAAAATGATTATTTGTCATTTGGAGGATTTAAATTATTCCAAAATTAATCCAAATATTTTTTATAAAAATATTTTTTATTTTTTCTAACACAGACACGAACTGTCCCAAAGTCATATGATATTCGCATTGTGATGCCCTTCATAAGATAATCCATATGCACATCATATGATAATTCTGTATGATAAAGTTAAAATTTATTCTAGCTTATTACAAGTCAGCCAACGCTTATCCGGATTGTTATTATACGGACTACACCTGGTCACACTTGGTCCGGAAAGTCGATTTCCCTTTTTGTTTTACAAATAAAATTAATACTGTTAGAATGAGATGAAATGTATTTTTTAAAAGGCAGTTTGAGACGTAGTACCCCTTTATCAAATATTTATAATCTCCGCCTCTGCCAATGATCAATCACCTGAATCCTATTATAGAATTATGTCAGTCTGAAGCTAAATGCATTCTTTGTATGCCCGTCGCTAGGAGCACTGGACGTACCCGCCATTCAGTGCCCACAAAGACGAACATGGGAACATCTCCGCTCGAGGTGCACAGGTAAAGAACCTAGTTCAGTACAGATGGGTATTTAGTTGGGTGGCATGGTCAACCAGGGCAGCGGCTCCCAACCTATAGCTCGTGGATCCGAGAGGTCAGAATTATATCCTGCTATAAAGATCTAGATTCTAGATAATCTTATTCTTAAATAAAAATAACCAATCATCGGTCACCTGTCAAGGGAGAGTATCTCGGCTGCCCTGGGTTCTTGGAGGTCGGCGATTTGTCAACATTGAGAACGATCAAACTGAAAAGGGGGGAGGTGGGGGGAATGCCATGTAACCGGTAGAAGAAAGTCGATAACGCGATGAATGGGGAATGAAGTAAGACAAGAACGTAACACATCGATCCTGATTGATTTGAAGGTCTGGAGCGTTCGGGGTCATTGGCGGGACACCGAACAATTTAATTATTTAGGTGTCATGGTGATTATTGTGATTCATTTGACCGAGGTCATTTTAATTAATCTCAATTGGGTGAATGGACTGAAGTGTTTTTAATTAATCTTAATTGGGTGAATGGACTGAAGTCTTTTTAATTAGTCTCAATGGTGTGAATGGAATGTGGTCATTTTAATGATTTCGAATTTAGATTCTAAATTTTTGTATCACAAAGAAAGTGTTTCATATCATAATGGTGACAGCGTCAAGGAATTAGACATGTATGGTGGGGGGGGGGAGGGGAGGGGGGGGGGGGGGGGTACAGAAGTGGGTTGTTGGACGGGACAGAAGTGGGTTGTGGGGCGGGACATAAGTGGATTGTTGGATGGGACATAAGTGAGTTGTTGGATGGGACAGAAGTGGGTTGTGGGGCGGGACATAAGTGGGTTGTTGGACGGGACATAAGTGGGTTTTTGGATGGGACAGAAGTGGGTTGTGGGACGAGACATAATTGGGATGTGGGACGGACATAAGTGGGTGGAGGGGTGGGGCGTGAGTTTTATTTTAACATTCTTAACTTAGCCATCATACAAACTAAGCTACACACATGAAACTTAATCGATATTAAACTCTATCATCCTCTAGGACATGAAGTGTGTTGGCATACAGTGAGTATCAATTGCTGTTATGTATCTCCTGTATCATGTAGTTCTGGTCCATGTTGTTTTCGCATACAGTGAATATCATTACTGTAACATATCTCTTGTCTGATATACTTTTTCTGTCTATTAGTTGACATCCACATATGGCATATTTCATACAGTATTTACGTCACAGTACAGTTAGCTGATCCTCTCGCCTGTCCACAGGTACCTGGAAGCTATACGGCAACTGAAATCCGCAGGAGCTACCAACCAACGGACACTTCACGTCACTTTTGTTCCAGGTAATTAACACGGTGCTAATTTAACAGTGTTAAAATAACAGTGGCGATAATAACAGTGCTGGGTGCTAATATCACAGTGCTCATACCACAGTGCTAATATCAAAGTGATAATATATCAGTGCAAATATGACAGTGTTAAATCAAAGTGCTAATATTACAATGCTTATATCCCAGTGCTAATATCACAGTGCAAGTATAAAAGTGCCATTATTACAGTGCTATAGTTACAATGCTATAATTACAGTATTAATATCACAGTGCTACTATAACAAGTGCTAATATCCCAAATGCTGTGATGTAGATTAAGGGGCCTGAATGTTTTGTATGGAGAGTTGTTGATCGTGAGAGGCCTTGCGATGGCGTGCTTGGCTCAAAGAGTATTTGTGGAGCTGTGCTAGATGCTTGGGATTTTGTGGCGTATTTGAGTAAGGGGAAATTACCTTGTAAAATGGCAGTTGTTGTGGTTTGGCACGAAAGCAGTGATGGTGTGTTAGCTATTTCGAAGTTGTCTTACATTTAATAAAGAGGCGTTTGCTTTATGAAGCATTGGTGCAATTAAATGATTAAATTACCCTTAGACAGCGAAGGTATTGAACAGGTAATTCCCGGTTCGTAACACCAAGGTTAATATAACAGTGTTAGACACGGTTCTTATAAAAATCTCCATCTCTGGTGACACATCAATTACAACTCATTTGATCTCCACTGACCCTGTGCATTATGCGCTAGTTACTAAACTGATATATTTCATCAGCAGCGATTATGCCTATGTTTTTTTTTGTTTTTTTTTATATTAACACAGATGAAGAAATCGGAGGTTTCAATGGAATGATACCTTTTGTAAAAACTGAAGAGTTTCAGAAATTAAATGTTGGGTTCGCACTTGACGAAGGTAAATATAATTATTCTAATGGATGACAGTAAGTTTTGCTAGGGGTGTTAGCTCGGCAGTTGGGGTTGTGGGGGGGGGGGGGGCGCAATCAAAATCTATTTGAAATGCAATTTATTTCCAATTTAAAAAAAATATATATATATATATTTTTAAAATTTAGGAATTTTAGAATACTTTATTTTCCTTTCAAGAAGAAAAGAAAGTTTGAATGAATGCATCTAATGATGTAGTTAACTGCTGGCAGCAATTAGCCGAGCTAATAACTTTGTTGCTGTATTTTAGTGTTGCGCTGTAATTTATGCTCAATTAAGCTTTGCATTTATCACATTTTCCTGGTCGGCAGGTCTGGCCAACCCAGGAGAGGAATTTCGCGTGTTTTATGCAGAGCGCAATGTTTGGTGTAAGTAATTGTTCATATTTATATCCATTTATCACATTTGATGAATAGTTTATACTTTAACAACGTGAATTCATTAATTATATAAAAAAAAACAAAAAAACTAGCGAGTACCCGGCATGCTTTGCAATGCCACCATAAGGAAAAAAGTGTTCGTGTTTTAAGGATGTTTTTTTTAAAGTACTTTTTATCTAGACAATATATTTTTATTTTTTTTTCCGTCTGGTGCGCACACGAATAAAAAGGTGTTTTAACTCGTGATCAGGTCACAAACATCTGTCCACGTGAGAAGCATGGGTTTTCAAAATTTAGTCCAATCACTTCTAGCGATTGATCTACCCATGCCATAGCTCTGTGTGAAATTATATTTATAAAGCTTGTATTAAAAAACGACCTTAGGGCCCCTGGCTCCAAATGTTATGTTTTAAAATAGTTGTACTCATTCAGAAGCCTTTGCCGGCGTGCGCGCGACAGCTCACCAAAGTTTTAGCGCAATCGGATGAATGGTATAGGAGCGCATATGGAACATACATACAGAAAATCATTTTTACATTAATATAGATGGGACATTTAAAAAAAATAATCGAGGCAACTTTGATTAAATACGTGTTTCCATGATAAGATTTAACCTTACCACCGCCTAATTATATCTATGACAGCATTTTCCCCTTACAAATACTTTGTTAGTTATTATATTATTAGTATGGGCTCAACTAAGATAACTTTTGTCGGACTACCAAATGATTGCAAACGAAACACTACAACACAACGTAGGCCAAAAAGGTCAATTAAGTATTTTAAATGAATATTAAATTATTATTTGAAGATTGCAAATACATAGTAAGTCTTTCCTTTGAAAGACGTTATAAAATAAGCATTAATACCCAAAGGCTAAATGGGACCAGTTTAAGAACCCCTGAATTTGTCCCCTAATTTCACTGGGCAAACATATCCACAAAGGGTAACATTAACTGAACCGTGACGCTTAAGTGTAGGCCACACTCAAAACCAGTGGCGGATTTACCAAGAGAGCGCAGGTGGGGTCACAAGAGGTCATGATCTCTCTGGGAGTTGCGTGCTTCTGAAACATTTTTTCAATTGCTATAATTTATAAAAAAAATATATAGGACTGCGTTCAAGCTGTTTGAAAGAAATAATAGAAACAGGTGCATGGAAGCTTGAAAAAGACAGACAGGAGAACAAAAGAATGAACGTTTCGGTCAACAGCCGTCCTCGGCAGACAGGACAGATCACGCAATAACAAGAAAAAGAAAGTAGTTCGAAAACTGAAGTGTTTGCCATTAAATTTCATTGCCGTTAGTTGAGTTTTCCAAAACCAAGATTTTTCAGTATGTAGAATGAATGTATGTATCACCGCTGTGGAAACTAACATTTCAACGGACCAACTTATTTTGGAATTGTTTAAAATATAAGAAATAAGAAAAAAAATACGGGGGGGGGGGGGAATGGAGGATCGCTTGTAAGATATAATCAATTTGCCGTTCGAAGAGTATGGCCCCTCTCAAATGTTGCCACCTCCTTTGGGAGACGACACTGGTAGTAATCACATGCCTCAAATCCAGGGTAATGAATGCGACATTCTAACATTGCTCACTTACGGTTTAGTGTAGGAGAACACGAGCTGTCGGCATTTCACTAGAGTAGGAAGGGCTGTTCTCTGCGGTTATAGATGTTACTCAAGTTAGTTAGTATAGTTGGTACTCCAGTCAGTTCTTTTTGTAGTTTGTACTCCAGTCAGCTGCTATAGTTGGTACTGCAGTCAGCTGTTAAAGTTGGTATTGCAGTCAGCTGTTATACTTGATACTGCAGTCAGCTGTTATAGTTGGTACTGCAGTCAGCTGTTATAGTTGGTACTGCAGTAAGCTGTAATACTTGGTACTGCAGTCAGCTGTTATAGTTGGTACTGCAGTCAGCTGTTATAGTTGGTACTGCAGTAAGCTGTTATAGTTGGTACTCCAGTTAGCTGTTATAGTTGGTACTGCAGTCGGCTGTTAAAGTTGGTACTGCAGTCAGCTGTTATACTTGGTACTGCAGTCAGCTGTTATAGTTGGTACTGCAGTCAGCTGTTATAGTTGGTACTGCAGTAAGCTGTTATAGTTGGTATTGCAGTCAGCTGTTATAGTTGGTACTGCAGTTGGCTGTTAAAGTTGGTACTGCAGTCAGCTGTTATACTTGGTACTGCAGTCAGCTGTTATAGTTGGTACTGCAGTCAGCTGTTATAGTTGGTATTGCAGTCAGCTGTTATACTTGGTACTGCAGTCAGCTGTTATAGTTGGTACTGCAGTCAGCTGTACTAGTTGGTATTGCAGTTAGCTGTTATAATTAGTATTCCAGTCAGCTGTTGTACTTGGTACCCTAGTCAGCTGTTATACTTGGTACTCCAGTCAGCTGTTATACTTGGTACTCCAGTCAGCTGTTATAGTTGGTATTGCAGTTTGCTGTTATAATTGGTATTCCAGTCAGCTGTTATACTTGGTACTCCAGTAAGCTGTTATACTTGGTACTGCAGTCAGCTGTTATAGTTGGTACTCCAGTTAGCTGTTATAGTTGATACTCCAGTCAGCTGTTATAGTTGGTACTCCAGTCAGCTGTTATAGTTGGTACTCCAGTCAGCTGTTATAGTTGGTACTCCAGTTAGCTGTTATAGTTGATATTCCAGTCAGCTGTTATAGTTGGTACTCCAGTCAGCTGTTATAGTTGGTACTCCAGTCAGCTGTTATAGTTGGTACTCCAGTTAGCTGTTATAGTTGATACTCCAGTCAGCTGTTAAAGTTGGTACTCCAGTCAGCTGTTATAGTTGGTACTCCAGTCAGCTGTTATAGTTGGTACTCCATATTCTGTATGTCTGTTGGAATAAAGGAGACTAAAAATTATCACTTAAAAAAACACAACACAGTTTCACGTAATTAATCATTGATAATCATGACAGCTTAATCCTCACAATTTTTGGAACTGAATGAATTAATCAGCTATCAAGGCTGGATCTCTTACCCAACATTACATGTGCCTCTAAATCCAATTTCTATACACCATATCACACGGCACTTCCCCATAATGTGATCACACTGTGATCTGCCACAATATGATCACGCTGTGATCTGGCATAATGTGATCGAATGCCCTGAACCAGGAAATTTAACACGTCTGCTATTATAACTCTTGTGTAAACCACCCCACCCCCACCCCCACTCACCCCCCCCCCAACCCACACACACAACCATGCCCAGAAACCAGGTGAAAGGAATGCGTAAGGTCAGATCTTAGTGTGACTGCAGTGACGTTCGCAAGGACTAAACATCAATTCAGTGTTATTGAATTTCGTTAAGATCGTATCTTGAAGCGAGCACGCCTGGCCCGAAAGACGGTGTCCTTTTAATAATGAGATAATATGGTTTTTTTTTTTGTGGGGGGGGGGGGGGGTACTTGGATGCTTGTATAACATCGGTTACAGTTCATTTTAAAACACAAATCAACGGTTCTCATATAAACGTATGTGGTCATTTCACACATTAGGAAATACTGCACCAACTTACTATAGGGGAGGTAAAGATTTTGTACAGAGAACAAAGTATATGTACGCATGACTTAAGTCAAGTTATAATTTTAAAAAAAAACTGATTTAGAAATTTATTTATTTATTTATGTAGGCATTTTTATATAGCGCTTACCTTAAAGCTCTAAGCGCTTTACAATTATTAAAAACATGTAAAGTAAGTAAAATAAAAATGAGACACTAGGATAGTAACTACTATACTATAGAAACTATTAAAATGGCTATAAAACGAGAATATTAATCAAAAAACAAAATTCCTAAATCACATAAAAAATCCCCCAGCAATAATGTTGTTTATAAAAAGGTACGTTCTTTCTTTGAATGAAAAAAACAACAACAACAAACAAACAAACCATCACAGTATAATTATTTTTAAAATAAAACTTTTTAGGCGATATAAACAAAATGGTGTCGCATTATACGTATATGGCGCCAACGTTTCACCTCTGAGCGAAAATTATATCAAATCATTTCGGTGAATATGGGTACCGGTGCAACAATTGAACACACGATTAGATCCAGACAAACAAATAAGTATAGGATCACTCTAAATAAACCCATGTAAACAAATATTTTAAAAAAATATAAAAAAATTGGGGGATGTGGGGGAACCCATAAGAAAAACCAAATTTACTGTCGCCTTTGAGACTCCCTGTTTTAGGTTCAAGAAAGTGGATCAGCTGACCTGCTAGAAACGTATTCAAATAACCTATGTGTGATACACTCCTAATGAGTTGTGCGTGATATTTGCTACGGAAAGATGGGGGGGGGGGAGGGAGTTGGGCGGGGAGGGCCGGGGGGGGGGGGGGGGGGGGGGGGGTTGGGGGGGGAGGGCCTGGAGTGGGGGGAGGAAGGTTGACATGACCCACCAATTAAGCATTGATTTTGTTCAATATAATAATATCGAATGTGCTAAATGGGCAGTGCACTGGGACCTCATGAATCATAATTGTGTGTCATCAAACAATAGAGAATCAATAATCTATCAACAGTTTGAGAGATGATTTTTTAAAAAGAGTTTGCAGTGGGGATGTCGGGGTTAGTGGGGAGGTGATGTTGTAGGCTAAGTGCAGGGGCAGTGGCTTAAATGAATAGGACTAGTGCACACAGGGACTGGCCAAGATTTAACCGCCCCCACAACACAACAAAACTCTCCAGTTGGCAGAAAATGTTGCTTGTCAAGATATAGAAAAAAGGAAAAAAAAAAAGGGCGCCCGTGTTGGCCAAACTTTGCCCTCCGCCCCTCACCACGCCCCCCCCCCCCCCCCTCACTCCCCCCCCCCCTCCCCCCCCCCCTCCCCCCCCCCCCCCCCCCCCCCCTCACCCCCCCCCTCCCCCCCCCCCCCCCCCCACTCCTCTCATGACGCCCTTCATTACGCCCCTCACTACGCCCCTCACTCCGCCCCTCACTCCGCCCCTCACTCCGCCCCTCACTACGCCACTCACTAAGCCCCTCACTCCGCCCTCACTCCGCCCCTCACTACGCCCTTCACTACGCCTCTCATGACGCCCTTCATTACGCCCCTCACTACTCCTCTCATTACGCCCTTCATTACGCCCCTCACTACGCCCCTCACTACGCTAGTGTGATTCCCGGAGACGCAGCATTGGCCATTAAGAGTTGCTTAATCGAACATTTTGCCGTATTTTTTGTAAAAGAAAAAATCAATAAAAATAAAATCATCTCTGAATATATTGATGTGCTATTTGTGTGCACCGCGTGATGAGTGTGGACCGCGTGATGAGTGTGGACCGCGTGATGAGTGTGGACCACGTGATGAGTGTGGACCACGGTAGTAAAACTAGACTATGCGCCAGGCTGTGTCATTTTTGAAAGAAATTAACCCTTCTGAGATGTTTGGGAACACAAAATGGAACGCCTCAGTGTAAAATAGTTTAACGGTACCCATGTCTGCATTCACCACTGTCTGCGGTCGACATACAACAGCATCGACATATCTCAGCTCAGATCGCCTGATGTCCTTGGTGTCTTTAGTAAGTTATAACACCAAGACAGGCGGAGACAGAAGTGTTACCTAACTCATGCTAAGTTGATAGCATCTTTAAAATGAATCGATGAGAAGAAGAAAAAGAAAATATGGAGGAAAAATATTTTTAAAAATACAGAAATGAATATTTGTTTAAAATTGATTAGATCTGAATTTTGATAAATTGAACGATGTATTCGTGAGATTAGAGCAATATACATAATTTCTGTCAATTATTATACATTGGTGATGCCAATATGTTGTATTTATTTTACAATTTTGATAAGGCTTTTCTCATGCTTACTTTGGTCTGAAGTTTGGTACTTAAAAATATATTATATATATATATATATATTCTAGTTTCATTAAATAATCGTTTAAAACTAAAACTTAAAAACTAAAATTACCTGTCCGACTAACTGAAACAGATGTAAAATTCCCACGCAACAAATCTTCATTTGTGAGACAAGTTTTTTTTTCTCTCCATCTCTGCAAAGCTAGTTAAAACCAATCGTTGTCAGAAACGGATTTTAAATAAACATATCTATTCAAACACGAACTAAATAAACACAATGACTGTAAGATGTCTTTTTCACTTTTAATAATTGTTTTGCTTATAGAACGTTCGATCTTACTTGTAAGAAAAATTGTTGCGCAAATTAGCATAAGAGCGGGAGTGGGATGGTGAAGACGTACAACTGTCGGAAACCGATTTCCTATTTAGGCGTCACTTGTTATTATTGTCCAAATACGGGGACAGCAATTGAAAAACAATTTAACGGGAACACCATTCACCAGTCTGTTGTCATCTGTCAGGTCTCAAAATATCCGGTGCATCATGCAGTGTAGCATCAAGTGCACCATGCTACCGGAGTACTAAAAGTTGACATGAAATGCTCTAGACTGATATACATTGCATAACTAGGCGATCCCGTTATAGCTAACTAACATAACTTACTCAAATATCCTGTGGAAATATCACATGTTTAAACTGTGAAATAACGTTCACTATACTACAAGTTGATCATCCTTTCAAATACTTCAACGATACTACGCTGATCCTATCCAATAATTCAACGATACTACGCTGATCCTATCAAATACTTCAACGATGCTACGCTGTTACTTGTGTTCAAAATTCAACTGGTGAAATTTGAAAACAATGTTGCCTACATGCCAGTATCTTTCTCTCTCCTCTCCCCTCTCTCTCTCTTCCCCCCCCTCTCTCTCTTTCGCTCGCTCTCTCTCCTCCCTCTCTCCCCCCCCTCTCTTTCTGGCGAGGGAGAGGGGAAGAGAGGGGCCTCTCTCTCTTCCCCCCTCTCTCTCTCTCCTCCCTCTCTCACTCCCCTCTCTCTCCCCCTCTCTCTCCCCCCTCTCTCTCCGCTACCTCTCCCCCTTCTCCCCTCTCTCTCTTACGCACACAAGATCAAATGTCCTTCACCTTAGAGAGAACTTCCGAACCACCACAGTGAAAGGATTATCGTTCTGTTTCCATCAGAGCTGTCACTCAAACCTGTGACCATCGTCCGTCATCCTTGACATTCGGAGGTGATTTACTCCTCACGCGAGGCCCCTCACCTCCCACTCCATGGCAGTGAATGAGTGGATCAAGCTCCATTTGATGGTTTCAACGTAATAATGGGGTCGGCTAAAAATACGAATTTAAACTCCGCAGCTCAATCGACCAATGAATATTAAGTATCGGTATCGAATTTTAATTATTTTTTTTTAAAATATCCGAATAACATTTGTAACGATTGTTTTCCTATGTCCACTGTTTAAAGCTCGATTCTTTTATAACTCAAAAGCCGGTGACAAAGTTTCTGACACCAAAATTTGCCATAGGTTAAACTCCGGCACACATGATCAGCATTGATAGGGACCTCTGTAATAATCAACTGGATTATTTGGAGATAACAGGAATACCACCATTGATCCGTGTCTGTCATTGTCTAGTCTAGTTACCGGTGTCACTAAAACAAAACACGCTCTGACACTGTGGGCCTATTCCTTTGTGTGGCATACCGTGACACCGTAGTCCGTGACCACTACGTCACTCTGATAGTTCGGCCAGTGACCTTTGCGTTCATAACTCCCGGTACATAAATATGTCAAGATCTTTAACTGAACAGTTATTTTTTCTTGTGTGTGTGTGTGTGTTTTTTATTTTTTATAAGACCAATGCTGAAAGACTCCCTGGTGGGTCATTGTGACATCTTTGCATCGTGACGCCACTGATTGCACATCCTATTCTTACAGGGCTGGAGGTCATTTGTCCTGGCAGTCCAGGACATGGGTCATCTTTCTTGAAAAACACGGCCGGGGAGAAAGTGGTAAGCTAAGTCTAAAATTGCTCCATCTTCCTTTTCAATATATGTATTATAGATTAATTTGTTCTGGTTTTGTTGTTAATTTCCTGTATTAAATTATAAATTTGTTTCTTCCGCTATTGTTCTCAAGTAGCGCATTATAGATTAATTTGTTCTGCTTTTGTTGTTAAGCCATATCACTTTTTTTAGTTCTAACTCTTGTGACCAGAGCCAATGTAACTTCGCCTTGAACATAAAGGTCAGAGTCATGGATGGCTTATTGGTTAGGACCAGTAGACTCAAAATACTTAAGTACCCTCTCCAACCTTCCCCCCCCCCCGTGCCCTATGCGTCGTCGGTTAATCGTAATCCAAAAATTGTCCTAAAAATGTTTCATATACTAATGTATAATGACCAATGTATAATGACCAATGTATAATGACCTATGTATAATGACCAATGTATAATGACCAATGTCTAATGACCAATGTCTAATGACCAATGTCTAATGACCAATGTCTAATGACCACTGCCTAGTGACCACTGCCCAATGACCAATGTCCAATGACCACTGTCTCATGACCAATGTCTAATGACCACTGTCTAATGACCAATCTCTAATGACCAATATCTAATGACCACTGTCTAATGACCAATGTCTAATGACCAATGTCTTACCTACAGCAAAAGATAATCAACAGATTTCTCCAGTTGAGGTCCGATGAGGAGGCCAGGTATGTACACATCCGTGAAAATTTCGTGTCGGCATTCCTTTGTTAAAGTTTGGTACAACTTAATCAAAGTAAGTTAAGATGACCGCCAATGTTAAACACACATAGGTGCCTGTACGGCAATGTGTACACTGTTTGATAACCCCAGGACCAACTTCACACTTATCTGGAGTCAGTGATGTCATTTGGTCTGTTTTTATCTCATTAGACAAAAAAACTTTGGCCTTCACATGTAGACACAATCTGTTTGTAGTTGTTGGAGGGTTGAAAAGGTTGCAGTTGTTAGAGGATTGTAAAAAGGTTGTCTTCGTTAGAAATTTGTAAATAAAGTAACAAAATGTGTTACTTTTTCAAGACGATTTTATGTTTCAAACAAATTTTCTTATGCGATATTTTTATGGTTAGTGGTTTCCAACTCAGATACACATTTAATATGTGATATTTCTATGGCTCATCACAGCTTCCATTGACAGATGTCAATTTAAAGTGTGACATCGTTACGTTCAATAGGTATTCCAATCAGTAATCACTTTAAAAAGAAGGAAAACTATTCTTGTTCCGATGTTGAAATGCTTTTAGGAGCATTTACCATACTGACGTAAAACCCCCAAAATCCAGCAGCTGGTCGTCTAGTCAGGTCTTGGGGTCCGTTCGCAAATTACGTCAAGCGGGGGGGGGGCTCAGGAATTGATAACACTTTGTGACAGGGGGGGGGAGGGTGTGTCGTAAAAAATTGATAACGTCACGCTTTTTTATTTACTTTTTTATTATTTTTTTTTTAAAAACTAAAATTTCAAATTTTGAACAATCTTTATTTTATTAATTTTAAAAACAATAATTTGAGGTCTAAATTGCCTCAGAATCATAGGTACTTTGAAACTCAGTTGCTCACACCTTTTGCGCATATCAAATAATGACGTAAAAACTGTTGTGACAATTTTACATTCGGCTTGAGGATGACTTCGTTGTTTCGCGTCACAGTTTTCTAAGAATACAACATCTTAATTCATTATGCGAAAAAATTAAAGAATAAAATAAAATCTTAGTTTAGTTATGACAATTTTATGTATATTTTGATTTTTTTAGGTGTAACGTGACACTGGGGGATTGTGGTGGGGGGGTGTCAAGAATTTGTGAAACTTCGTGACAGTGTGGAAGGGGGTCTAAAAAAAAAACTCATTTTTTTGCATGACGTAATTTTGCGAACGACCCCTTGTTGTAACACATTCCTAACAAGAAATAGCACATTCATCAGCTGACTGAACCCCCACAATCAGTGCTGATAAACTCTGATGTCATACTGAGACCCATTCACAGCTTATCAACGTTGTTGGCTAATTAATTAATAGTATCAGTCTGGGACTGCATGCTCAACCCATTCCAGCAATGGCAGTTCCAACCTCCACCCTTTCCACCAATGGCAGCTACACGCTCCACCGATTCCACCAATGGCAGCTCCACCAATCCCACCAAGGGAAGATGCACGCTCCACCAGTGGGAGCTGCACGCTCCACCCATTCCACCAATTGCAGCTCCACGCTCCACCCATTCCACCAGTGGCAGCTCCACGCTCCACTCATTCCACCAGTGGCAGCTACACGCTCCACTCATTCCACCAGTGGCAGCAACACGCTCCACCCATTCCACCAGTGGCAGCTAAACGTTTATTTTCGGATTTCGGCGTGTAATCGATGAACACCAACATTAAGGTGACCACCTGGAATTGTAAACTAACCGATATATTAATAGGTTTTTAATGTCTTAACGATAATCATCCCCAAGGTCAGTCGTGCTGACTCACAATCTCAGTTACAGAGCATTTAATTATAATGTGAATCTTAATTCGTTTTTTCGAATAGCGTTGCAGTCTAAGAGTCTAGACCCATGGTTCTTAAATTTTCGAATGCCGCGACCCTTTAATACAGTTCCTCATGTTGTGGTGATCCTCAACCACAAAATCATTTACGTTGCTACTTCATAAATGTGTGTTTTCCGATGGTCTTAGGCGACCCCTGTGAAAGGGTTGTTCGACCCCCCAAAGGGGTCGTGACCCACAGGTTGAGAACCGCTGGTCTAGACCATCAAGTGAAGAGTTGGCGTAGAGACCAAAGTAAATGATATTCGATGACGTCACAAGCAGTGACGGTGGAGGAGGGGGGGGGAGCGGTCTGCCTCATGCGGTGCTCTTTGGCTTACATCCAGTGGTGGCATTTATCGTAGAGGGTGGGGCGTGGGGCGGCTACAATCTTAGAGCACCCCGCCTGGCGCTTGCCCTGGTCTTAAAGTCAATAAGTAACATACACATTCATTGTCATGTTACAATGAAAAGTAACATACACATTCATTGTCATGTTACAATGAAAAGTAACATACACATTCATTGTCATGTTACAATGAAAAGTAACATACACATTCATTGTCATGTTACAATGAAAAGTAACATACACATTCATTGTCATGTTACAATGAAAAGTAACATACACATTCATTGTCATGTTACAATGAAAAGTAACATACACATTCATTGTCATGTTACAATGAAAAGTAACATACACATTCATTGTCATGTTACAATGAAAAGTAACATACACATTCATTGTCATGTTACAATGAAAAGTAACATACACATTCATTGTCATGTTACAATGAAAAGTAACATACACATTCATTGTCATGTTACAATGAAAAGTAACATACACATTCATTGTCATGTTACAATGAAAAGTAACATACACATTCATTGTCATGTTACAATGAAAAGTAACATACACATTCATTGTCATGTTACAATGAAAAGTAACATACACATTCATTGTCATGTTACAATGAAAAGTAACATACACATTCATTGTCATGTTACAATGAAAAGTAACATACACATTCATTGTCATGTTACAATGAAAAGTAACATACACATTCATTGTCATGTTACAATGAAAAGTAACATACACATTCATTGTCATGTTACAATGAAAAGTAACATACACATTCATTGTCATGTTACAATGAAAAGTAACATACACATTCATTGTCATGTTACAATGAAAAGTAACATACACATTCATTGTCATGTTACAATGAAAAGTAACATACACATTCATTGTCATGTTACAATGAAAAGTAACATACACATTCATTGTCATGTTACAATGAAAAGTAACATACACATTCATTGACATGTTACAATGAAAAGTAACATACACATTCATTGTCATGTTACAATGAAAAGTAACATACACATTCATTGTCATGTTACAATGAAAAGTAACATATACATTCATTGTCATGTTACAATGAAAAGTAACATACACATTCATTGTCATGTTACAATGAAAAGTAACATATACATTCATTGTCATGTTACAATGAAAAGTAACATATACATTCATTGACATGTTACAATGAAAAGTAATATATACATTCATTGACATGTTACAATGAAAAGTAACATACACATTCATTGTCATGTTACAATGAAAAGTAACATACACATTCATTGTCATGTTACAATGAAAAGTAACATACACATTCATTGACATGTTACAATGAAAAGTAACATACACATTCATTGTCATGTTACAATGAAAAGTAACATACACATTCATTGTCATGTTACAATGAAAAGTAACATATACATTCATTGACATGTTACAATGGAAAGTAACGTATACATTCATTGACATGTTACAATGAAAAGTAACGTATACATTCATTGTCATGTTACAATGAAAAGTAACATACACATTCATTGTCATGTTACAATGAAAAGTAACATACACATTCATTGACATGTTACAATGAAAAGTAACATACACATTCATTGACATGTTACAATGAAAAGTAACATACACATTCATTGTCATGTTACAATGAAAAGTAACATATACATTCATTGTCATGTTACAATGAAAAGTAACATACACATTCATTGACATGTTACAATGAAAAGTAACATACACATTCATTGTCATGTTACAATGAAAAGTAACATACACATTCATTGTCATGTTACAATGAAAAGTAACATATACATTCATTGTCATGTTACAATGAAAAGTAACATACACATTCATTGACATGTTACAATGAAAAGTAACATACACATTCATTGTCATGTTACAATGAAAAGTAACATACACATTCATTGTCATGTTACAATGAAAAGTAACATATACATTCATTGTCATGTTACAATGAAATTTAAAAAAAAAAAAAAAAAAAAAGATTTCTCTATACATTAAAATCATACACTTTTTTAGCAGATTGCCGCACAGAAATTAGTACTATTATACTTTTTTATGGGGGGAAAGGGGGATGGTGGTTGGGGGAAGGTTGGCGGGAGGGGGGGGGGTGGTCCGAATATTTATATTCTAGGAATCTTAGATTTCTAGTTTTAATACGTCTTTAAAGATGGCCGTTAAAATTTTCTCTAAGTTTACTTGCAAAGAAGACAGTGGAATCATTTTTATTTTACCTTTTTATTACTAGAGTTTTAAAATTTTACACTTTGGTGAATAATTCTCCAAGTCTTTTACAGATAATGATTCATAATTCATACACTTGACGTAACCATTACACCGCTATCAATAAGCCCCAATGCAAGCCCTAATGCACCCCTCACTGCTCTCCCTAGCTACACCCCCAATCGCTACACCCCCTCCCCCCTCGTTACACCCATTTTGAGCTCATAACGAGAGTATCAAAGGGCAACCCAAGAGGTAGAGCAGATCAAAGCAAACATAAACTCGCTGACATTGGAGGTTACAGTTATTTGCCTGATTTCTGTAACAGCTACGGTCCGGGTACATGTTCAGGTTACGTAAACATGGAATGTTTCTCAACATAAGGTGGCGTTCTTACGTCTCGGCAGTATGGATCAGGTCATCGACATGTTGCATCAGTGGCTAGCAGGGACGGACACAGTTTGCGGTGGGCTGGGGATAAAGTAGTCCGAAATCATGGATGCTTTTAGAAATGCATTTTGTAATTTTTATTTTTGTGTGCTGCTACTGACTCAACAGCCCCTACAGTCACAGACATCCCTAACAACCTCACACATTCTCAACAACTACAAGCATCCCACACATCTCAAAGTCCCACACGTCGCCGATAGTCTCACACATCTCTAAAAGTCCCACACTTCTCCAACAGTCCCAGACACCCCCCAACTTCCCCACACATTCCCCAACAGCCCCATTCATCCCCAGCAGCCCCACAGATTCCTTACAGCCCCACTCATTCCCAACGGTCCCACACATCTCTAACAGCCGCACACCATTCCTTACAGCCCCACTCAATCCCACACATCCCCAACAACCCTACACCTCTCCCCGTTCCTTCTCACACCGTGCTGTGTAACCTGACGACTCCTAACACCATCCCACACACACACAGACCACACGTCAACGTTGATCCATTTTCCGTCCTGTGCATTAATCTTTCCCAACATCTGGACGCAAAACAAATGAACCTATTGTCTCTTTACTTTACGATACAGTCGATGTCACTTCCACTTCGCATCAATGTCTGTTGTCCAAGTACACCTGCGGGTGTCACATTCACTTTTCATCAATGTCTGTTGTCCAAGTACACCTGTGGGTGTTGACACATCCGTATAGGGATGTGAGAAATCAGCCTGTTAGTAATTCCCGCCTGAACATAAACAAAAAATAACACCAAAAAAAAAAAAAAAAAAAAAAAAAACAAAAAAAAAAAAAAAAAAAAAAAAAAAAAAAAAAAAAAAAACCAGCAAAAAACAAGTACACAATTATAATCTAATTAATGTGCACTTTTTTTTTTTTTACCAAAATAAAAAGCTAGTAAACTCATGTCTTTAACTATTTTCATGATATGATTTTCAATTTAAACAGCTAGGCCTACCACCACCCTCCACTCTTGAACACATATTTTTCCATGACAAAAAAAATTAGAGCACACATTTTTATTTGAATGAAAGTATAATTTAATAATTTTTTATTTAGATTCGCTATTTTGAAGTAACGACCCAAAATTTTGATTTTTTTTTTTTTTAAATATAATTTTCAGTTATTTATTGTGGAATTATTAGCTCACAATGTTTAAATAAATTTAAAAAAAACAACACGAAATTGCTTTAACTCAAGTACATATGGGTCTGCGAAGGGTTCTCAGTTAGGTCACGAAGAGGGGTTCTCGATGGGGTCGCGAGGGGTTCTCAGTTGTGTCTCGGAAGAGTTCTCAATAGGGTAACAGTTGGGCCTCGAAGGGTTCTTAAGTCTTAAGTGGATGTTGAAAAAGGTTCTCTTTGGTTTGGGTTCGACGGCTGAAACGGTAATTAAAAAAAAAAAAAATATCTTATCAATTTTCCATATTTCTTTTTCCACCAATCTCTTTGAGATTGAATTTTCATTTCTTCATTATTTAAAGGAAAAAAATAATAAATAACAAACATAATAAAAATGGTGACACATGAGAATTAAAACTAGGCTAGACTTAACCTAATCCCAACATCGCATGAAATTAAACTGAACTATTTTATGCTGCTAAATATTTTGTTTTTTAATGTATGAGTTCGCATGTCACTTTGCTTATATAAAAATTTGAACTTTAAAACAAAGGTTGAAACCAATATAAACATATTCATACATTAAACGACCAACTCAGCCTCTTATTTAACAATCCATGTTTCAGGTTGCTAGGAGATAACGCGCTGTCCCTGGGTGACGTCACTTCCGTAAATTTAACTATGTTAAAGGTATCCTTTTGAAATATAATTTTATAAGGGACATATTTAATTTTTTTCTTAGCAAAAAGGTCTACGGAGTTGATAGCCATCTATTTAAATGTAATGGGATTTAATTTAATGCTAATTTAATTTCTTTTAAAAAAGATTTTAGTTCTGTTATTTTCTGTAACAATAAAGATCAATAATAATTGATTTAAGAAAAAAAAAATATTTTTTGTTCGGACTGGTGTATTCATTGTGTTAAATGCTTTTGTTTTATTGATATTAAAAATAATAATAACAATTTTTTTAAAATAAAAAATTATAAAAAAATTTATTTAAAAAAAATAACGCATCACAAAAGTGTGTACATCAACATTTCATTTCTATGCCAAGTCCAACCACGTTCCAAATCAATAAATATCCACGCCAATACCGAACACTCAATCAACTGGAGCAGATTTATCTTGGAGTTCATCCAAATTTAATGTTCAACCTTTTTTTACGTGAAGGAAGAAATGGCGAAACACCGCTTTGTTCGGCAAACAATATTTCATTCGTTTTTTTCCTTCAAATTTGCCTTGTCCTTCTGTATGTCCATATATACAGAGGCGTAGCTTGGTGGGGGCAGTGGGGGACAGATGTCCCCGGGCGCCAGCTAGTTAGGGGCGCCAAAATGTGCTTTGATAATATTTTATTGATGAAAATAATGGATTTGAGAGTTGAAAAAAAGAAAAAGGGGCGCTAAAAATGGATCTTGTCCCCGGGCGCGAATCTTGTCCCCGGGCGCCAAACACCCTCGCTACGCCACTGTATAAATACGTACCTCTTTTCTTACTAAGTTGAGGAATAAATTCACAAAATTTTAGCCGCAATGAGTTGAAAAGGACCAATTATCATTTTAACACCGAAACTCGTTTAAATTTAAAGTTAACAAAATGTACTCAATTAACGTCATCAAGAGGGTGGACATAATAAAAGGAATGATCATAGTACACCTCTAGCGAATTTTTAGTCAATCTTGTAGAGCAGTGTTTCTCAACCATCCTAATTCCGCGACCCTTTAATCGAGTTCCTCTTGTTGCGGCGACACCCATCACAAAATTACGTTCGTTGATACTTCATAACTTTAGAGTATATTTGTTTACCGATGGTCTTAGGCGACCCCTGTGATAGGGTCGTTCGACCCCCCAAAGGGGTCACGATCCACAGGTTGAGAACCGCTGTTGTAGAGGCTCACATGTCTTAATGAAGATAAAATATGTTCCATTTCAGGGCGGCGTTCAGTTCAATGTCGTGCCTGACTCCATGAGTGCGGGTAAGAACTTTCCACTTCTAAAACTTCTTTAAAAAATTTACATCCAGTCATTGTATGCTTTTAGTCAGATATAGGAAACACCTGTTTTAGATTTCTTTCATCTACGACCTTGCCTAACGTTTGCAACGTCTTACAACCTTGACCCAGTTTTTTTTAAAGATTCTCAAGCACTTCCCTCGTCTCACCATCTCTTACTTTTCTCACCGATTTTATTTACAAAGGGCCGTTTAAGTTTTGAATATAACTAAAATACGAGAATGATCTTGAAACAGAGAATAATCTTAACTACTAGAATGTTCTTAAATACGAGAATAATCTTACAAGTTCAATACGAAACTAATATCATAAATATGAGGATGATCTTGAATGATTGTGCTGATATAACAAAGACATACATCTGCTTCACTTTTCAGTTTCGAAAGGCTTTCCAGTCGTCTTCGCAAAAGAAACTTAGTTCAACTCAAACTTTTCAACCCCAAAATGTTATGGGATTGTTTTAGATCAATACTAAAAATTGGACACTCCAACTCCAAAGGCAACTTTGATGAGTTGTCACGTACGTGTATAAACTATTGTTGTGTGTACACGAAACAAAGGATGCAATCTGCAGGTGTCAATTGAAAAGGGGGAATAAATGACTAAGGTGACAAATCTACGTTTCACAAGTCATTGTTCTAATATTTGTACACGTGCCAAAAGTCACTGCCCCTGATATGTGTACACACGCAGCAGTCACATGTGAAAACGTTACACAACACACCACCTCTGACATGTGTACACATGCCACAGCACCCAGACCCTGGCATGTTTACACATGTCGCAACACCCCCCCCTGATATTTGTACCCATGCCTAGTCCCAACACCTGACGCATAACACGTGTACACGTTACACACCACATTGCCCCTGACATATGTACAGATGCCTCCTGACACCATTCAGTAACACTGACATGTTCACACAAGAAACGTGTCACAACACACCATCCGTCACATGTGTACATATGTCACAACACACCACCCGTCACATGTGTACATATGTCACAACACACCACCCGTCACATGTGTGAATATGTCACAACACACCACCCGTCACATGTGTACATATGTCACAACACACCACCCGTCACATGTGTGCATATGTCACAACACACCACCCGTCACATGTGTGCATATGTCACAACACACCACCCGTCACATGTCTGCATATGTCACAACACACCACCAGTCACATGTGTACATATGTCACAACACTACAGTGAGATCACGCAAGATTGAACCAGTAAATGGAAAGCTAGAACCACAGATTAAAGTATTACCAGGGCTCTGCTATTTGAAACACTATTTTACAAATATTTTCGTCAAGTGTATCATTTGGACGACAGGCGATTTTTGGCTAGTGTCCTATCAGTTACGGAATAAAGAACAAAATCTAATGTCTGCGAAATCTGGTGCCTTATACAAACAACTTTATGTTAATGAAACATCAAAGCCCCAGCTTATCTCAATAATACTCTGTTGTCATGAACTGTCGTTACTTGCTACAAGGTAGAGTGTAATCATATAACATTCAATTTATTTAATAGCTTTCAGCTATCGGTTGTACATGCATGCAATTGAGCTATAAAAATTAATTTAAATTTCAATTATTCAGGATTCGACATTCGCATTCCTCCTAATGTAAATCTTGTTGAATTCGAGAAAGTATTGGAAAAATGGCGCGAGGAGGCCGGAAGTGACGTCAGTTTCAAATTTCATCACGTATGTCTCTGTGAATTCGATGGGATTAGGGAAAATTTTTAATTTGTAAATACTGACTGTTAAGATTGATGACTTCCTTAAATTTTAACTAACATATTGCTCTATAATCAAGAAGAATTAAAAAAAAAAGATTTATTCCGATGCAGATTAAATTATTTTTAATTCAACTTGGTAGCCGAAAGCAGTGTAATACTTTTTTTTTTTTAAATTCCATTTCTTTTTCATATAAATGCTATTTATATGAGTACAATGTACGCTAAAAATATATGTACAAAAATTTTTTTAAAAAAATTCTATCTTTTCACATTCTTCTCAGAAAACTACAAATGATCATATGACAGCCACAGACGACTCCAGTCCCTGGTGGGTTGCCTTCAACCAAGCGTGTGATCAACTGTAAGTCATTTACATGAAAGGTCTTCTTGTGAAAGGTCTTCTTGTGAAAGGTCTTCTTGTGAAAGGTCTTCTTGTGAAAGGTCTTCTTGTGAAAGGTCTTCTTATGAAAGGTCTTCTTGTGAAAGGTCTTCTTGTGAAAGGTCTTCTTCTGAAAGGTCTTCTTCTGAAAGGTCTTCTTCTGAAAGGTCTTCTTCTGAAAGGTCTTCTTGTGAAAGGTCTTCTTGTGAAAGGTCTTCTTGTGAAAGGTATTCTTGTGAAAGGTCTTCTTGTGAAAGGTCTTCTTCTGAAAGGTCTTCTTCTGAAAGGTCTTCTTCTGAAAGGTCTTCTTCTGAAAGGTCTTCTTCTGAAAGGTCTTCTTCTGAAAGGTCTTCTTCTGAAAGGTCTTCTTCTGAAAGGTCTTCTTCTGAAAGGTCTTCTTCTGAAAGGTCTTCTTGTGAAAGGTCTTCTTGTGAAAGGTCTTCTTGTGAAAGGTCTTCTTGTGAAAGGTCTTCTTCTGAAAGGTCTTCTTGTGAAAGGTCTTCTTGTGAAAGGTCTTCTTCTGAAAGGTCTTCTTGTGAAAGGTCTTCTTCTGAAAGGTCTTCTTCTGAAAGGTCTTCTTCTGAAAGGTCTTCTTCTGAAAGGTCTTCTTCTGAAAGGTCTTCTTCTGAAAGGTCTTCTTCTGAAAGGTCTTCTTCTGAAAGGTCTTCTTCTGAAAGGTCTTCTTCTGAAAGGTCTTCTTCTGAAAGGTCTTCTTGTGAAAGGTCTTCTTGTGAAAGGTCTTCTTGTGAAAGGTCTTCTTCTGAAAGGTCTTCTTCTGAAAGGTCTTCTTCTGAAAGGTCTTCTTCTGAAAGGTTCTGAAAGGTCTTCTTCTGAAAGGTCTTCTTCTGAAAGGTCTTCTTCTGAAAGGTCTTCTTGTTTGCATCTAACATGTTCAAATTATTAATTTTAAAAAAACAAAAAACAATCAGCCCTAAACCATAAGTTATCAATCTTGGGAATTTTTTTTTTTAAAGTGATTAAATTATTACCACTGACGACAATTCGAATTAAGAACTGAGCGTGGTTAATATCATTTATATCAACTGATCATGGGTAATATCAGCTTACCATTGGTAAAATCAACTTATCGTGGTTAATACAAACTTATCCTGAGTAATATCAACTTTTCGTGGGTAATATCAACTTATCATGGGTAGTATCAACTTATGAGGGATTATATCAACTGATGGCAGGTGATATAACTGATCATGGGTGATATCAACTGATCATGGGTAATATCATTTTTGTAAGTTAATTTTTCAACAAGGAAAATCATTTCAAAGCGTGTCTTAAATCAGGGCGCCAACTCTGGGGCGTGGGAAAGGGGTAAAGAAGGAGCACTGGTTTTTACCTATATTGACGAAAGGCTTGTTCGGCCAAATGTAGTTTGTTTTAAAGAAGGGGAGGGAATCATTCTTGACCCGCCCCTGGTGGCACTTACCATAGCTACACCACTGCACTCAGTACAGCACTGCACCCACTACAGCACTGCACCCACTACAGCACTGCACCCACTACAGCAATTCGTTGTGTTGTGAATTTATTTTTATAATTTCTTTCTCACTCTTCCATCACCTCTTGATTTCATTGAATGAACTCGTTCTACATTATAAGATATTACCTTTTAATTCTAATAAAATAACATCACATAGCTATTAACATTATTTCATTCTAACCTATATTCCTTACAATTTTATCCTACTTATTAGTATGCAACATGAAACTGTGTTATCCTGGTTTGGGAGATAAGTTCATTAATTGATCCCAAGCACGAAGAATTATAATCGAAAACGATTTTCATCTTGGCTGTCATCGACTTCAACAACAACTTTTCGGACCATGAATAATTTACGATGAAGCCATGGTCATGCCACTGCACAGACGCACAGTTTGATAGGACCACATGCCGCCAGTGTGAGAATGCCCGCGGCCCTCCGTTAAAACCATGTTGTTATTCCCCCCCCCCCCCTCAATCCTCCACATGAAGCATCTGCCAGCGTTATCAGAGGGAAGCTCTTCCTCTCCCGTGTGTAAGATGAAGCCATGGTCATGCCACTGCACAGACGCCAAGTTTGATAGGACCACATGCCGCCAGTGTGAGAATGCCCCCGGCCCCCCGTTAAAACCATGTTGTTTTTCCCCCCCCCCCCTCAATCCTCCACATGAAGCATCTGCCAGCGTTATCAGAGGGAAGCTCTTCCTCTCCCGTGTGTACAACACTGTATGAAATATTATTGTTATGACGAACATCCGCGACAGCTGGGGGCGAGAGTAGGACTGGATGACGTAAAGGTCAAAACAACAAATGAAAGTAACAGAAGAATGTAACACTTCATCGTGTGAAAATGTTGGTAAACATTTCTTAGTGTGTAATGCAGCAGCGTTGATGATCATTCCTAATGACCCATCAATAATTCACCCCACAAACTGTACCTCCACAGATGTTCAAGAAATTATCAACCAAAAAGAAAAGGCGATGTGGGGAGGGGAATGTTTTACTTTTGACAGTTCAGGACAACTATTGGCTTTGGGATAACCTGCCATAAGTGAATGTTATCTATTTATGCTTCATTCAAAACAACACAATGGTGCGTTGGTATTATGAATAATGTTCAGTACCTTGAGTTACTCCAATCTACATTGTTCCACAAGGTCTGACGTTAGCACTGTTCCAAGTGTCTTATTTATTTTCCAATAGTGTTGAAAACGTTAATCTTCACCAATGTCTGGGGCTAATCTTCACCAATGTCTGGAGCTAATCTTTACCAACGTCTGGGGTTAATCTTTACCAGTTTCTGGGGCTAGTCTTCACCAATGTCTGGGGCTAATCTTATCCAGTGTCTGGGACTAATCTTCACCAATGTCTGTTGCTACGTGCTAATCTTCACCAGTGCCTTGGGCTGTATATATAATCTTCACTAATGTCTGAGGCTAATCTTCACCAATGTCTGGGGCTAATCTTCGACAATGTCTGGGGGCTAATCTTCGACAATGTCTGGGGCTAATCTTCACCAATGTCTGGGGCTATTTTTAATGACTCTTCTATCTCCGTCCTTTAGGATGTCCTTTGGCACAGATGAACTCGACATGCTTGGGAAGATCGCTTCAAAGGGCGACAATAGGGGCTAATTGTTGAAACAATGAACTATTTAAATATCCTGCCTTATTGAGATGTCTTGATTGATTTTCTCCCTTGTTTCAGGGGAATCACTTTGAGAAAAGAGATCTTTCCGGCAGGGACGGATGGTAGAAATCTTCGCATGGTATGTATGAGTGGTGCATTTTTTGGTGTCGGGGGGGGGGGGGGGTGTGTGGGGGGGGGGCAACCCACGGGGGCCAAGGGTTCTTTTGGGGAAAAAAAATAAACATGTAGAGCACTAAGAACATGTATGTAGAAGATGTTACAAGTGCATTGAGGCGATGTATAACTTGTGGGTAGAAGATGTTACAAGTGTATTGAGGCGATGTACAACTTGTGGGTAGAAGATGTTACAAGTGTATAGAGGCGATGTATAACATATGTAGCTGATGTATTGAGTGCGAGAAGTTGTAATAAATAAGTAGAAGATGTTACAAGTGTTGTGAGACGATGTACAAATTATAGGTAGAAGATGTTACCAATGTAGTGAGACGATGTACAACTTGTGGGTAGAAGATGTTACATGTGAAGTGAGACTATGCATAACTTGTGGGTAGAAGATGTTACATGTGTTTAGTGAGACTATGTACAACTTGTGGGTAGAAGATGTTACAAGTGTAGTGAGACGATTTACAACTTGTGGGTAGAAGATGTTAGATGTGTAGTGAGACTATGTACAACTTGTGGGTAGAAGATGTTACATGTGTAGTGAGACGATGTACAACTTGTGGGTAGAAGATGTTACATGTGTAGTGAGACTATGTACAACTTGTGGGTAGAAGATGTTACATGTGTATTGAGACTATGTACAACTTGTGGGTAGAAGATGTTACATGTGTAGTGAGACTATGTACCACTTGTGGGTAGAAGATGTTATATGTGTATTGAGACGATGTACAACTTGTGGGTAGAAGATGTTACATGTGTAGTGAGACTATGTACAACTTTTGGGTAGAAGATGTTAGATGTGTAGTGAGACTATGTACAACTTGTGGGTAGAAGATGTTACATGTGTAGTGAGACGATGTAGTAATAACGTGCGGCGTTACGAAAGAAGAACATGTAGAAAGGGTTATTTGCATCGTCTCACTGCATGATATGTTGAGTTAAGCTCTCACTCGAACCCTTGAACGAATGTCATTGATCCTTATAGTGACCATCAGTGTTGTGTTTAATACGGAGTTGTGTTGGCAATGTGGCATTTTGACTTTCCTAGGTCGTAATAGGGGTGTACTGGGGGATGAAGTAGGTGAGTTGTGCTGGCAGTGTTGTATTTTGACTTTACGACGGTGTAATGGGGTGTGGACAGTAAGATGAACTAAATGAATTTTACTGAGAGGGTAACTGTTGAGAGGGTAACTGTTGACAGGGTAACTGTCGAGACGGTAACTGTCGAAAGGGTAACTGTTGAAAGGGTAACTGTTGAGAGGGTAACTGTTGAGAGGGTAACTGTTGAGAGGGTAACTGTTGAGAGGGTGACTGTTGAGAGGGTGACTGTTGAGAGAGTAACTGTTGAGAGGGTAACTGTTGAGAGGGTAACTGTTGAGAGGGTAACTGTTGAGGGGATGGGATGTAGCAGATTGATTTTCAAGACATTTCGTTTTTAATTCATTTTGGTTTAAAAAACGTGCATACATCTACATGTACCAACATATACCAACATATTCCTTGCTAAATCCAGTTTGCGCTCATGTTTAACTCATTTCATCAGAACCATCCAACTCTTAAAATAACATTTCTGACCTAGGTTTGCATTGATTGTTCTACAGCTCAACATTCCAGTCCTGGGTTTCTCACCAATGAACCGGACACCTGTGCTCCTCCATGACCACAACGAGTTCCTCAACGAAAAGGTCTTCGAGCGAGGCGTGGACATTTACGCGCAGGTCCTGCAAGCTCTCGCCAATGTTTGAGGCGTCGCTTAGAGTTACGCCTCTTGGTTGATCTGATTACACAGACCATGAAACCCGACACTCACCGTAATGAAACCACCACTCGTCGTATTGAAAGAGAAATCAATTTGATGATTGCGCCTCGTATTTTTAATTTAACAGAAATAATTGTATTCGGGTTATCAAAATAACCAATACGTGTCATAAGCAGAGTGTTAAAATAATCGAATATGCAATATACCTTTTTTTAAAATAAAGTCAATTGTGGGATAATGTATTTGATTTAGCTTTTACATACGGCGATGAAAGGGAAGTGTGTTAGAAATATCCTCAAATATCGTTTACATTATATATATATTTTTTTAATGCTTGAAACGTTTGTACATTTTCTTTGTAAACCACATATTTAAACTAAGTTATAAAGTAATATAAGAGCATATTTAAATTAAATTAAATAATGTTCTAGTCCAGTGGTTCTTAACCTTCCTAATGCCGCGACTCTTCAATACAGTTTCTCATGTCGTGACGACCCCCAGCCACACAATTATTTTCGTTGCTACTTAATAGCTGTAAGTATATGTTTTTTTTTCAGATGGCCTTAGGCGACCCCTGGGATAGGGTCGTATGACCCTCAGGGTTCGTGACCCAAAGGTTGAGAACTGCTGTCAAACTATGTCAGGTTTCTTGGCGTAGTATGTTGTCATGCGCTCAGCCAGGCACAAGCTGGTAGGAATAAATTTATTTCCAGAGACAGATTTTTATAACGTCTCTTTAGGTTTATATAAAAAGTGTTTAAGAAGGTCTCTTTGGGTTTCCATAATTACTTATGTTTCCGTGGCTGAACGGTAAGATGATTTGATGTCCATGACTGAGCAGTAAGATGACTTGAGTGTCCATGACTGATCAGTAAGATGACTCGAGTGTCCATGACTGAGCAGTAAGATGACTTGAGTGTCCATGACTGAGCAGTAAGATGACTCGAGTGTCCATGACTGAGCAGTAAGATGACTCGAGTGTCCATGACTGGGCAGTAAGATGACTTGAGTGTCCATGACTGAGCAGTAAGATGACTCGAGTGTCCATGACTGAGCAGTAAGATGACTCGAGTGTCCATGACTGAGCAGTAAGATGACTCGAGTGTCCATGACTGAGCAGTAAGATGACTCGAGTGTCCATGACTGAGCAGTAAGATGACTTGAGTGTCCATGACTGAGCAGTAACATGACTTAAATTTCCATGATTGAGCAGTAAGATGAGTTGTGTGTCCGTAACCGAATAAAAATGTGTGTTTTAATTATAAGTTAGACAGTGGGTTGGTATTAATTTGGCTGTCAGTTATAAGTTAGACAGTGGGTTGGTATTAATTTGGCTGTCAGTTATAAGTTAGACAGTGGGTTGGTATTAATTTGGCTGTCAGTTATAAGTTAGACAGTGGGCTGGTATTAATTTGGCTGTCAGTTATAAGTTAGGCAGTGGGCTGGTATTAATTTGGCTGTCAGTTATAAGTTAGACAGTGGGTTGGTATTAATTTGGCTGTCAGTTATAAGTTAGACAGTGGGCTGGTATTAATTTGGCTGTAAATTATAAGTTAGACAGTGGGTTGGTATTAATTTGGCTGTCAGTTATAAGTTATACAGTGGGCTGGTATTAATTTGGCTGTCAGTTATAAGTTAGACAGTGGGTTGGTATTAATTTGGCTGTCAGTTATAAGTTAGACAGTGGACTGGTATTAATTTGGCTGTCAGTTATAAGTTAGACAGTGGGTTGGTATTAATTTGGCTGTCAGTTATAAGTTAGGCAGTGGGCTGGTATTAATTTGGCTGTCAGTTATAAGTTAGGCAGTGGGCTGGTATTAATTTAGCTGACAGTTATAAGTTAGACAGTGGGCTGGTATTAATTTGGCTGACAGTTATAAGTTAGACAGTGTGTTTGTTTTAATACGGCTGTCAGTTTTTGTAAACGGGGAGGGGGGCATACCTTTACAACTGCTTGGCACCACAATTCAGATGATCAACGTGCTGAGATAAATCTTCTGGACGCTGCACACGGTTCCAATAATTGATATTACCGACAAGGATGAAGTTATATCATTTCTCGTAAACAAGAGCCAAAATAATAAACTTAATCAAAAAAGAAAAATAGTGATCATTTATTTAAAAACCAAACAAACAAACGCGTGCCATGATACGAATAAAATAGCCGTAGAGTAAAAGTTTTTAAACGGTGGTAAAATTATGACGTAATGATAGAGCGGCACGGACAGCTTATCGGATCTCCCAGCTGAACCAGGTTGATACCTTGTGTTAAGAGCCTAATGGGGAAACGTGTCGAGTTTCTGTTGGCTGCGTCATCGCGGGCAGTTGAGATTAGTGGGAGTTATGGCCCGTTGCTGAAGGACTTTGTCAATATAGATTGGCATTAAAAAAAATATCTAACAATCCTTGCATGCCGACTTTCACAGGATACAGATTAAAGCAATAGTGCCGTTATGCAAGCTCCTGAAGCCGATATTATTGGATATCATTAAACTAATGTGTGGATTTATTTTTAAAAAGAAGATCTTAATACATATTTTTTTAAACGTTATACAAAATAATTTAAAGAAAAAAAATATTTTCCAAAAGTTGACTAAAAGAATAAAACAAATAAAGTTTTTTTTTTTTTTTTTTAAAGGGTTTGGGGGGGGGGGGGGGGGTTTTTTTTTTTTTTTTTTTTTTTTAAGGGGTTGGGGGGGGGGGGGGGAGGGTCTTTAATTTTATACTGTTTTATTGTATACCTTTTTTGTCTTGGAAGATATAAAACACAAAATAATATAATGGAACATGATTTAAGAAGTGTCTAAAATATAATGTGACAAAACCACCCATAAAAACAAAGTTTGTCGTGCAAATTCTTTAGAGAATATAATAATCGAGCAACGGGGGGGGGGGGGGCTGAAAGTCATATTAACATGCTATGAAAGGGGATTTTTTGGGGGCTGCGCAGGATTAGTCACATCAGGCCCTTCCTAACAATTGATGCAACAAAGAGGCTGATGTCTGCATTTGTGCTATCACGCATGGACTATTGCAATGCTCTCATGGTGGGTCTTCCAGCTACGCTCCTGGATAAAATTCAAATAGCACAGAATAATGCGGCTCGCATAGTTCTCCGCAAACGCAAATTTGACCATGCCAAAACACTTCTGAGAGAGTTGCATTGGCTGCCGGTGCGTGCTCGCATAGAGTACAAAATCGCAACTTTGTGCTACCGCTGCTTACATGACCTGGCGCCGTCCTATCTGAAAGAGCTGCTGACGCCTTATGTACCCAGTAGAGAGCTCCGCTCATCCGATAGTGGCAAACTCTCGACACCACGTGTTTGCCTTGAGACTTACGGAAAGCGCACTTTCGCATTTGCTGGTCCAACAATTTGGAACGCCCTTCCTGTCGATCTTAGAAACAACCAGACACTGGAGTCCTTTAAAACCGATCTAAAGACACATCTATTTCGCAAATACCTTCTGGGATGATTGTCTACCTTATTTTCCAGTTAATGCATAATGGCTGTGTTGCTCCGGGTTGAAATGGCTAGAAAGACTTTGACATTGTATGCTTGTAATTAGTTTTTGTAGTGTTGCGTTTGTTTTAAATGTGGTTAATTATAGATATGTTTTTTGTTGACTTTGTACCGCGCTTCGAGCCTTTGGGGATGAAGCGTGTTTTTGAAATGAACTTTATTATTATTATTATTATTAAAATTCGAGGAAACATGCATTCAAGTAACGCACTTTATAAGAAACCCAAATAGTTCTTCACCCCCCACCCCCACCCCCTTTTAGGTATTGCTACCGCACACATTATTTCAAGCCTCTGAACTATGTAAATACAGATTTGTTACACCAAAAATCTTAGAAAAACTAAAGAAAATACGAAGCACCAAAAGCACTTTAGCGCAGTTATCGGGAATCTCATTTCCAAAAATCAGTGTGATCCTTATTTCCTTCCTTTTCCAATTGAAAAAAGAGGAGACAAAACTGATTTTTGGGTGATTTTGGGGAGCGGCTCGAAATTTGACAGAATCTGTTGTCATCGGTAACGAGTCTAGGTGCCAAGTTTCAGCTGCACCAGTTGACGGGAAGTGGGTCAATTAGACTTCCGAAGATTTTTGCCACAAACCCCAAAAGAAACACACGAACGAAAGCGAAATTAACAGAAAGGATTGAATGGAGCAACCCTTGGAAACGTAGTTTCTCATCTAAATCCTTGGTATGCATCTTTTATTATTTTACTTTATAGCAATATTTTAATGACCCATCCGCTTTTACACCACTATTTATTCCACCAACTATTTTAGAAAAAAAAGCCAAAAAGAAACATTGCGCACTAAACTCACTTGCGCTATTTAAAAAAAAAATCTCATTTTGCGCAGTTATTTGGAGTTATATTTCGTAAAATCATTGTCATCATATTTCTTTTTTTTTTTTTTTTTTTGCGAAACAGGAAAACATGATTTTGAGGGGTTGGGGTAAGAAGCGGGGCAAAAAAATTGAAAGAACGTGTTGTCATGGGCAACGAGTCTATGTGTCAAGATTTGTTTTTTTTTTTTTTTTTTTTTTTTTTTTTTTTGCGAAACAGGAAAACATGATTTTGAGGGGTTGGGGTAAGAAGCGGGGCAAAAAAATTGAAAGAACGTGTTGTCATGGGCAACGAGTCTATGTGTCAAGTTTCAGCTCGATAGGTTGAGGAGAAGTGGGTCATTGGCCGTCCGATGATTTTGCCACACACCCAGCCAGCCAGAAACACAAGAACAAAAGCGAACTTAATATTAAAGAAGGAAAGAGTAGAACAAGGTATGTGGAAGCTTGTATGAAAAGACAGGACAAGAAGAAAAGAACGTTTGGGCTAAGAGTCTTCCTTAGCAGGCAGGACGAAGAAAAATATGACGCGAAATAGAAACTAGTGAAAACTTAAGATATCGCCATTGTTGTTGCCGGAAGTTGAAATTTTACAAAATGTCAGCTTTGAAAGTGGTAATACTTCATACGTAATATTCTGTGCTTAGTGAGTGGAAATATCGTGAACGCAGTAGATGCACGGGTTACGCTAAATTGGTCTCAGCAAGTTAGTGCGATGGGAGGAGAGGTGAAAGGTTAGTGGTGACCTTACTGTGGTAAACATCTTGTTGGTCATTGTTGGTTTGTATCGAGAACGAGTAACCCTGGATAAAGAAAACGCTGTAGTGAAATCCAGATGTCTCTATCCCTTTCCGTTCCTGGATATCCGCAGAGGTCACTCAATGGTCAGTGAAGGTTTGGATTGTCGTTTGGATTTCAGCTAATGGAGTTCATGAATTTTGTCAAAATTGAGATGCAAGATTTGACCCACAGGATTCCCTTAAGGGTGAGTGGAGATCATTGGTGACCCACTGATCATCAAAGGTTGTATTGTCATCGGGAGGGGGTAAGTGTGCAAAGTTTCAGCTCAATTGAAGATCAGGAAGCGGGTCAAAATTTGAGAGGTCAAAGTTGACCACGCGCAAGCTAGACATGGGTCAAAATTGAAAGGTCAAAGTTGACCACACGCAAGCTTGATGTGTGTCAAAATTGAGAGGTCAAAGTTGACCACGCACAAGCTAGACGTGGGTCAAAATTGAGAGGTCAAAGTTGACCACACACAAATTTCATGTGGGTCAAAATTGAAAGGTTAAAGTTGACCACACACAAGCTTGATGTGTGTCAAAATTGAGAGGTCAAAGTTGACCACGCACAAGCTGTACGTGGGTCAAAATTGAAAGGTCAAAGTTTGACCACACACAATCTAGACGTGGGTCAAATCTGAGAGGTCAAAGTTGACCACACACAAGCTAGACGTGGGTCAAAATTTAGAGGTCAAAGTTGACCACACACAAGCTTGATGTGGGTCAAAATTGAAAGGTCAAAGTTGACCACACGCAAGCTTGATGTGTGTCAAAATTGAGAGGTCAAAGTTGACCACGCACAAGCTAGACGTGGGTCAAAATTGAGAGGTCAAAGTTGACCACACACAAATTTCATGTGGGTCAAAATTGAAAGGTTAAAGTTGACCACACACAAGCTTGATGTGTGTCAAAATTGAGAGGTCAAAGTTGACCACGCACAAGCTGGACGTGGGTCAAAATTGAGAGGTCAAAGTTGACCACACACAAGCTTGATGTGGGTCAAAATTGAAAGGTCAAAGTTGACCACACACAAGCTAGACGTGGGTCAAAATTGAAAGGTCAAAGTTTGACCACACACAATCTAGACGTGGGTCAAATCTGAGAGGTCAAAGTTGACCACACACAAGCTAGACGTGGGTCAAAATTTAGAGGTCAAAGTTGACCACACACAAGCTTGATGTGGGTCAAAATTGAAAGGTCAAAGTTGACCACACGCAAGCTTGATGTGTGTCAAAATTGAGAGGTCAAAGTTGACCACGCACAAGCTAGACGTGGGTCAAAATTGAGAGGTCAAAGTTGACCACACACAAATTTCATGTGGGTCAAAATTGAAAGGTTAAAGTTGACCACACACAAGCTTGATGTGTGTCAAAATTGAGAGGTCAAAGTTGACCACGCACAAGCTGGACGTGGGTCAAAATTGAGAGGTCAAAGTTGACCACACACAAGCTTGATGTGGGTCAAAATTGAAAGGTCAAAGTTGACCACAAACAAGCTTGATGTGGGTCAAACTTGAGAGGACAAATTGACCACACACAAGCTTGATGTGGGTCAAAATTGAGAGGTCAAAGTTGACCACACACAAGCTTGATGTAGGTCAAAATTGAGAGGTCAAAGTTGACCACACACAAGCTTGATGTAGGTCAAAATTGAAAGGTCAAAGTTGACCACACACAAGCTAACTCAAAAGAAAAAAAAAAAAGATTATTCCTGTCCATAAGTGTTTCCACTTGACCCCAATTTAAAAGCAGAACATTCATTTGTTAGGCAGGCTTCTACATCTCCATTCATTGACACGCGCTAGTTTACCGGCTCAACGTAAAGCTTAGTCATTGGATCAAATAAAATAACGCTGACTTCAGGAAATGAGAAAATAAAACTACATTTTTAAAATCTTCTTTTACAATGACAAATGGGCGGCTTCTTTCAGATCTCCGTACATCTTGACTGTGATAGACATGAAATGTTCAATAATTTTGGGTAAGACCTATCTGAAGTATTCACCTTTGTATGTGCCGTTTGGATTTTATGCAGAACTAAGTTTGCTTTTAAATCTAGATTTAAAAAAAAAATCAACCTTATTTTTATACGCATTTAAATTCTGAAACTTTAAATTTGTCTCTTTAATTATTAGACTAAGCTCTCTATTTTGTCCGCAGAGATTTGCAGCCAACAAACAAAACAGGCGTCATGTTTCAGTTTGGTCCACTTGACAAAATTGTGTAGACCTCTTGACTCATTGGCATTAGAACGAACTTTTACGACCATGGAACACCGTGGTCTGGTGCTAACCAACAAAGATGTAATCGATTTGATGTAATCGAAGGGTAATAAATTTAACAAAACCCCACAGTGGGATTTAAAGAGAGAGAAAAATGAAATATTCCAATCATTTCCGATGCCAGCAGATTACCATGGGCAAACAGAGAAGTCGGATAGCTAATGGGATTGCAGCTGAAAATCGTTTGATTGTGTTAGCATTGTTATCGGGGGAGTGGTGTTGCCGTTGTCAGGCTCAAACGGGTTCTACCTTTAAAAAAAACAAAAAACTAAATAAACAAAAAAAAAAAACTTCAGTGTTCATGCGCTTGCATTTATTGTATTTTTATAACGAATTTTGTGCAAGGTTTGATTTAACAAGTGATTAAAGCTGTAAATAAATGAATTCATTATTTAATTCAGTATTTGTGTATCATGTCTATTCAATTATACACTCACGCAGTTCAGAGCTTAGCAATCTATCCTTAGACTTCTATTTATTGTAAACATTTTAGCGCCTAAACATCTGGCCTATATTGTGGTTCTAATTTGTAGACTTAAGATCATATTATGTTTATGTACGTGTTAAATTACACAGGCCATAAAATACCAAGACCGGATCCCAGACGCAAATAAATTTATGACACGTCCCGTGTTATGTTAGATGTTGTAAATTATCATCAACTGAGCATAGACTGGGTTTTTCTAATAACACTTGTCGATCGAAGAAACATGTTCGTAATCTCTAATCAACCCACTGCTGTAAATTGAATGGAAATTTGGCAAGATCTCAACAAATGTCAGGATTGTTGTAATTTCCCTTGGATTAATATTGTGCTTGCTTCCCTTGGGTTTTAATAATTAATTTCATAATGGGACCACGTAGTGAAGCAGTTCAAAGTGGCACACGGATAGTGCCAATACCTTTCAAGGGATATTTTAGAAGTTTTAAGACGATTGCAATGTACACATACTCAGCGCCATACAGAGGACGACATTAAATCATTCCGGGCTAATGTGGAGCTAACGTGGAACTAATGTGGAGCTATAATGTCAAACAAATGTGGAACTACTGTAAGGCTAATGTGGAACTAATGTGAGACTAATGTGTAACTACTGTGAAACTAATGTGGAACTACTGAGAAACTAATGTGGAACTACTGTGAGACTAATGTAGAACTACTATGAAACTAATGTGGAACTACTGGGAAACTCATGTGGAACTACTGTAAGACTAATGTAGAACTACTGTAAGACTAATGTGGAACTACTGGGAAACTAATGTGAAACTACTGAGAAAATAATGTCATACATTTGAAACTAAAGGTGAACAATTGTGGATGCAATTAAATGTGTACGTAATTTCAAGTACATGTTTTTGAGCATATACAGGTACGTGCCTTTGAAGACTGAAAGTTTGAACAGTTCAACTTTATAAAAAAACAACAACTGACAAAACCCTTTAAATAGGCCGCTCTAAGGTCTGAGGACCGTATCAAAATGGCCGGCCGCTCTAAGGTCTGAGGACCGTATCAAAATGGCCGGCCGCTCTAAGGTCTGAGGACCGTATCAAAATCGCCAATAAAGAAAGACAAAGAAATACGTTGAAGGAAACGTTATTAGATTTTTGTAAGGCTTGAGGTGCTCCAACAAAGATGATCCAACAAAGATGATCCAACAAAGATGATCCGACAAAAATGATCCAACAAAGATGATCCAACAAAGATGATCCGACAAAAATGATCCAACAAAGATGATCCGACAAAAATGATCCAACAAAAATGATCCGACAAAAATGATCCAATAAAAATGATCCAACAAAGATGATCCGACAAAGCTGCTCCAACAACTAGCTCTTCTTCTTCTTCTTCTTTATTTTGAGGGCCCACGATCAATGAATTGATCACTCTGGCTCCTTTTGTTCAGACAGGAAGTGAATAGATCTAAAGAAGCGAAAAAGTAGGTAAAACGTGTCCAGTAGCGGTGGAGGTAACCTAGTTTAAAAAGGTTGTTAAATTGGTGAAAACCTTGGGGAAACTCAGTTGGTGGCGTTCTGTGGCACTTAGTGCATCGACGTAAAATGTCACTGTATCACTGCGACTTAGTGCGTCTACATAAAATGTGGCGATATTTTTTTTAATGGTTTTGCAGCTTTAACAAAAATGTTTATGGAAAGCGGGAGGGGTAAGGGTGTGAGATATCGAGAAAACCCGAAGGAATAATTTTTTCCAAAATATAATTTTATGTTATAGATTGAAAGAATAATCATAATTGTAAAAAAATTAAATATCTTGAAGGCTACTGCGTAAACCTAACCCAGACTGCATGTGTTGAAGGATCGCTCTTCTATCCCAATTCAATGCAGTGTCATTCGTCTGCTAACTGTTTTTGCCTGTCCAGAAAGCTGTTGCAAGAAAAAAAAAATCAATATTTAATATCCGAAACCTGGGAGAAATTCTACACCATGCATACTGCTGGATGGCTGGATGGCTGGATGGCTGGATGGCTGGATGGCACATGCAGCTCGCCGGATGGCAGTAACGGGTTGATTTAAGGATTTGTTTCAAGGGCGGTTCCTTGTCCTGTATGATACTTAAAAACGACTCTTCTCTAGCACGTGCCTGTGAGACTGGGATCACGATCGTTGGAGTCTGGGCGAAGGCTTCAAATAATGAGAAGGAATAATATGCCTTCATACAACACCGACACACACAATCATACACACAGCTACACATACAAATGGTTATTTTGCTCGATACATACACGTTATCAGAAATATTGTTTCAGTGTTGTTGTTTTTTTACCCTTTTTTAAAATCCCGTGACTGTTTTGTGTACCCCATAAAAGAACATTGGCGTGGCTGGTTAACTTTTTTTTATGTCTTATAATTTCTTGGAGCATTTCCATGTCAACTAATACCACGCAAAATATTGATTCCTGGTGAAAATAACACCAAAGTTCAAAGTTCAACTTTAGTCATATGTGAAATTATATGACATTCACTGCAAGTGAAAGTAGTGTATTAAATATACACAAATAACACACCACACTGCTCCCAATTACTCCCCTCCCCCTTATTCTAAACTTGAAAATTCCGCCTTCTTCCGTTTGAGAATCACTGAAATAGGAGCCCATACTTGTCCAGTTTTGGCAAAGAAGTATGTAAGGGACGGTATTTAGTTTTTAAATAAATCATATTTGTTAAGGTCTTACCTCCCGCATTTATTTAATATAATTTACCGGTTTATTATTAAAAAAAGGGGGGTGTTTAAAAAAAAAAATCAAGTAGGTCTACATCAAATGTATATTATTCAATCAACATAGCCCTTTATTAAAATAGACCATTTTATCATAGTATTTAAGTTAGTCCTGTCTGACTTAGACCAAATAAATAGACCAGAATTTGTTAACAACAACTACACTCAAAATATTACGCAAGAAAAAAAAAAGTGTTGGGGGGCGAAAGTGGGGTGGGGGTGGGGTGGGGTGGGGGGAGTTAATAAGGACAATGTTGATGTAATAAAATTAGAATGTATTAAAATGAAAAATGAACTGCATCATATTGTTGTTATGCAGTTTAAGCCATTGGTTCCTATTGATCAAGCCCTGCGTCTGCAACCCTACCGTCTCTACGACCCTACCTTACGACCCTGTCTACGACAAGGAGCAACCAAGTCGCCGATCGCGATTGTCAGTCATGTAAGGAATCCTGCAGGCAAATTTCTGGCGTATGATATTGCTTGAGTTTGGATAAAATTATTTAGAGAACCCCGCATGCATATTTCTAGAGTACGGCTTGGTCATTTTTATAGAATGGAGTACGGCTTGGTCATTTTTATAGAATGGAGTACGGCTTGGTCATTTTTATAGAATGGAGTACGGCTTGGGCATTTTTATAGAATGGAGTACGGCTTGGTCATTTGTATAGAATGGAGTACGGCTTGGGCATTTTTATAGAATGGAGTACGGCTTGGTCATTTTTATAGAATGGAGTACGGCTTGGTCATTTTTATAGAGAGGAGTACGGCTTGGTCATTTTTGTAGAATGGAGTACGGCTTGGTCATTTCTATAGAATTGATTACGGCTTGGTCATTTTTATAGAATGGAGTACGGCTTGGTCATTTTTATAGAGAGGAGTACGGCTTGGTCATTTTTGTAGAATGGAGTACGGCTTGGTCATTTCTATAGAATGGAGTACGGCTTGGTCATTTTTATAGAATGGAGTACGGCTTGGTCATTTTTGTAGAATGGAGTACGGCTTGGTCATTTTTATAGAATGGAGTATGGCCTTGTCATTTTTATAGAATGGAGTACGGCTTGGTCATTTTTATAGAAGGGAGTACGGCTTGGTCATTTTTGTAGAATACCCTACCACTCACTCTAGGACTTCACGTTGGGCGAAAAATACAAAGAAACTGACCCCCACCCCTCCCCAAACTAAAAACAATGTTAGCAAAAACAAAACACTAAATATCCGACGGGGGACCAATGGACAAACGACTGCCCATTGAAACTGGACGCTGCAGAAAGTAGCCCTCATTGGCGTAGAAGCTATATAATAGACAGAAGTCGCGTTGCTCGACCAAGCCGCCGTCAGACTAAGTGAAGAACGGTGTACACAAACACCCTAACCACCGAGTCGAGTTTCTTTCAAACATTGGTCAACATCAACTTAGCCTTGAAAAAAATAAACTACAATGGTATGTCAAGTGTGCTGTAATCTGGTAATAAGGATAACGAACACTTTAACATGTAGGCTGTCCTCATGCAGCGTGCCTTATCGTTTGGCCCATGCTTTTGTTATGCATTAAACATGTAAATAAATATAGTTTAATGATATTATGCAGAAAAGATAACAAAATATTTTGTTCCAAGAGGACCCTTACTTCCAGTATCAGTAATATTATTAAGTTTTGAATGGGAAACAGCTGTTAAGATAGGGTTAGTGCTGCCAGAGGCGGGCAAAGAATTTGCGAAACAAAAACTCTGACGTTGGCCGGATACACCGCTCCTCCATATTAATGAAAAGGTAACACCCCCCCCCCCAACCCGGCCGCCCCTTGTCCTACCCCCCTGCTGGGCAAGACAATTTAAACCGTTAATTTCTAATATGACCGAAAAAATTTTTAAAACGATTGCTTTGATATAAATTTTAAAAAACAGGGCAAAGAATTTGCCAAACAAAAACTCTGACGTTGGCCGGAAACCCCGCCCCTCCCTATTAATGAAAAGGTAACCCCCCCCCCCCCCAATCGGGCCGCCCCTTGTCCTACGCCACTGTTGGGAAAGACTATTTAAACCGTTAATTTCTAATATGACCGAAAAAATTTTTAAAACGATTGCTTTGCATTAAATTTTAAAAACCTATACAGTGTAGGCTACATGTGGGAAGGGTGGAATCCAATATATCTTTAGTCTTAACATATCAGTATACCTAATATATTTCTGCGCATATCATGCAATTTTTTTCCTATTCTTATTATCATGGTGATTATTTTAGGTGTCTGATTACATTAAGAGCAACATTGAGTTGTTCATTACTAACTCAGAGGTTTCTTACCCACCCTCTCCATAATGTCCAAGCTACAACTCTGAAAATTTAAAATAAGTTTATACCTATGTGAAGACACCCTTTTTTTTTTTTGTTGCCTAGAAAATTTATAACCATGATAATATTAAATACAATACCAATCTGCAGATCTCAGTTTGAAAGGCAAAAATTAATTTCATAAAAACCTATCTCTAAAGTGATAAAATTTTTAATACATTTTCAACCTTATTTCAACTTAAGTCATATTAATCTATCGAAACGAATAAATTCTGGGTAAAATTCTTTTTAACGACAAAGGCCTATTACTCTGATAAACTAGACACTAAAGTCTTGGATGTAGCTTTATAGAAGGCAACTAATCAAATAGTTGGGCTTAAATTTTAATAGATAAACTAACAACTTCAAGTTTTAAGAAATGAGTGATAATAACGGTACTGTTTTATTAATGAAAATTTAAACCCTTCCATATGTATTAATGTTTGTTTCTTAACTCTCAAATTTTGTTGGTTTTCTTACATTATTTCACTCCCTCAGTAGGCAGACTCCTTTACAATCTGGCCGGCTTTTCGATGAAGAACATTGCAGTAATGTTAATATATCATTGGATTCAAAATTGAATGATCTGTTACTATTAGTTGATAGCGATAGATCACAGTTAATTATGATTTCGCCAAAATATCGTCACGTCATTTATGGATGGCCCAAATGTTGAAGTTATTTCATATTCAAATTATCATACACAAATTTATATAATTTAAGTATAAGCGTCATCTAGGAGTAGAATCAAACTAAAAAAAGTTACAAGTGGGGGCTTAATAATATCATGTTATCGGTTTTGGAAGGATATGTCAAACGTTACGGTGAACAAATAGTATCTGTTCTTGGCATGACCATCATTGTTTTACGCCTAGGGCTGGGCTCACCGCGCTGTACATAAAAATGTTATCAAAAGAGACATAATCATGACATTAAAATAAAATACATTTATGAAATAAAGAACAGCAATGTATATTCACCCACCCCACCACACAACTTTTACAAGGCAAACCATGGACGGCAGCCAGCAAGATCGTTTATCGGTCAGAGGAGGGGAATCAGTCAGGGTAGTATAATTTAAAAAGATATGTTTTGAGTGCAGTTTTGAAGGTCTGGGTGGTTGGTATATTGCGTATGTGTAGTGGCAAATAATTCCATTGTTTGGGGGCGCAGAAAGAGAAAGATCGTTCACCATATGTTTTAGTGTGTGTCTTGGGAACGGACAGAATACAGGATAGTACGAGTCCTTAGTGACCTTAGGCCTTAGCCCTTAGTGACCCTAGGCCTTAGCTCTTAGTGACCTTAGGCCTTAGCCCTTAGTGACCCTAGGCCTTAGCTCTTAGTGATCTTAGGCCTTAGCCCTTAATGACCCTAGGCCTTAGCTCTTAGTGACCTTAGGCCTTAGCCCTTAGTGACCCTAGGCCTTAGCTCTTAGTGACCTTAGCCCTTAGTGACCCTAGGCCTTAGCTCTTAGTGACCTTAGGCCTTAGCCCTTAGTGACCCTAGGCCTTAGCCCTTAGTGACCCTAGGCCTTAGCCCTTAGTGACCTTAGGCCTTAGCCTTAATTACAACTTAATAGCATTTTATTGAGTTGGAAACAACGATTTCTAAGCCTTGGACTTGGGGGCCTTAGCCTTGGCTTGCTTTGAAAAAAAATATTTGTACTTTTTAGTACTAATAAACGTAACAGAGTTACAATTGTTTGAAAATGTAAACGTAAGATAATAAATTGTAATGCAACAAATAAAACGTAAGATAATAAATTGTAATGCAACAAAATAGATCAGGCTTCACAATTTCAAAACCACAGGTCTGATAAGAAAATAAGCCCAAGACGGCTGCGACTATTCGCACCCGGGTACCAGAAGTGAGAGGTTGGGATTAAAAAACTATTTGAAATATTATTGTTGGGTTTGACAAAATTAGGTATGAAATGAAAGATAATTGAATGAACTACATGTTTGTAAACTTACTTCTTCAGTTTAACTAAAATAAACTATCACAAATAACATCCATATGGGATTTAGTCTATAGCAGGGCTCTCAAACTCAAATCATTCGTGGGCCGCAGTAAGTAGCTTCTGAATTAGACCGGGCCGCATCAAGTATTCCACAAAAAAACTATTATACATTTAATAGAGTAAAACTGTTATAATCTGCTCAACCTTTATTAATAACAAATAAAAACATTAAGGGTTCCCATAAACTAAACTTCACTTTCGTCCTTATACTCCTTATTACCAGAGACCTGGCAGCGCTTCTCCTTACACGGCTGAGCAAAATTTGGCTTGAGTGAGGAAGCAACCGAGACCCACAGTATAGCTTGAAGATGCGCATCAGTAAGTTTGGCCCTGACCTTTGACTTGTAAAAGTTTATAGTGGAAAAGAGCTTTCCACACAGATGGGTACTCCTAAAAAAGGCACATGATCCGCTTGAACAACCTGAAATCTCAGGGGAGGTGGAGGGCGATGCTCTCATAAATTTTCCATGTTTGCCTATGTTTGCGTTCATCTCCCTGAACTTAGAATTGCACCGATGATCAAACAGTTATATTTGAAGCGAAAAAAAGGAGGGGGGGGGGGGGGGGGGGGGCATCTTCCACGTTAAAGGGGAAAAGGTCAGCAAAAAGTTGAAAAGTAGCTATCTAAAAAAAACTTAGAATTGCACCGATGATCAAACAGTTATATTTGAAGCGAAAAAAAGGAGGGGGGGGGGAGGGGGGGGGCATCTTCCACGTTAAAGGAGAAAAGGTCAGCAATAAGTTGAAAAGTAGCTATCTAAAAATATGTAATCAAATACTTCCTGTAGCTTTGCAATGGCATCAGTTTACTTACTACTGAATGGTGTGCCCGAGTCCAAGAGTACTTGAGTCCATGAGACCTTATTGATCACTTAGTACAGGAACAACCTCCCATCCTGCTCTCTGAAGGCTTTAAATGTTAAAACGTGTTCAAACAGTAGATAGGGGCAGGCAATATTTGTGAATTATTGATGCGAAGGAGATGCTATTGTAGGGAAAATTAATTTTTTTTTTTTTTTATCGTAGAAGCGGCTTATTCGACTAACCCTATTTTGAAAATGACCAAGCTGACAGGCTCGGAATTTCCCTCACTCGTAAACACGAGCTAAAATTTTAATAGGGATTCTCTGATGATGTGTTCTACGATTTACACAATTATGATTGTGCAGTAAACCCTAACTGACTTTTAAAACTTTTCTCAAAACCACACTTCGGCCATGTTTGTCTCATAAAATGTTATAAAATTAAAACTTTTAGTCCGATTTTAAAATGGGTTTTACCATTAAAATCAACGTCCAAACCTGTGCAAACATAATAAAATCAGAATGAGACTAGTCGGTGAGATTCGACTGAAACTGTCGCGGACGGTCACATTAAAGATATGAGGATGGGGAAAACGCGCGGGCCGCATTAACACTAAAATTTGCTGTCATGTAGCGGCAGCGGGACGCAAAATATCGTCTTGCGGACCGCAAATGGCCCGCGGGGCCACGAGTTTGAGACCCCTGGTCTAAAAGGACCCGGGTACGCATAGCCACTTTTCGGACCCGAGTCCCTTTAGACCAGTGGTTCTTAACCTGGGTTCGATCGAACCCAAGGGGTTAGGTGAGTCACAGTCACAGTCAATCTCAGGGATTCGGCGGAGGTCCAAAAAAAAATTAGAAAAGAAAATCATATTTTATTTTTCCTATTAAGAAGGATTCGGTGAATGCGCATTTGAAACTGATGGGGTTCGGTACCTCCAAAAAGGTTAAACACCACTGCTTTAGGCAAAATAGTAACTACTACTAGAGGGCGCTGACATGATTAATATGGGTTGGCATGGTAGCTTATAAACTTCTCAACTGAAGATTACCATTCAGTTGAGGGAAAGTTCAAAGGTTACAAGTTTAAGGGTTATTTCTTAGTTGTAAACATGGACCGTGAAGAAAATGAGTCTGTTAGCCGATTTCGTGAGTATTTACGCATCAACACAATGCAGCCTAATCCAGATTATGGTAAGTGGTAATGTAAACCCATTGTTTTTAGATTTAATATTATGAATTCGTTAGGATAGCCAAACCAGTCCCATTTTTGCGCTTGTTGGGCCTAGGCACCAAAGTTCCAAAAAAGTTGATCTTCTCGGACCTCGTACATGTATGAACTATAATAATAAACCGCAGAACAATATAATAATTAATACCTATAATTTATTGCTTAGATAAATTTAAACAATAAACCATGCTTCATGCAGTTCATTTACAAAAATTTACTGTAAATTGTAAATCAATGTTACATTTACATTACATGTCGTGTAGCCTACATTTTTAAACAATCTGTTAAACATCCAAACAAAATACAAGAATATATATGAATATATGAATTATGTCACATTATAATTATATAGTTAAATATTATATAATATAGAGCCTATGTGTATTGAAATGTGTCAATTTTTACCATTTAATCCAATTTCGATCGTCTTGGTTTCATTTAATCATAAACTATATAGTTATAGGCCTATACGTTTTCAAAATTTACACAATACTGTGATTGTGATACCCACAATTTATTCACATCCGATCCCTTAGTGTTGAAAGCAAATTTTCTGACAGCTTCATAAAAAAATGCTGTTTCATCATGATTTATAAAATCACAGGGGAGTTTGTTGATTAGAAGGAAAAAAAAAGTCTGTGTCATGCCCTTTTCATGACATAATTTAGTGTTGGTTCAGCAGGACATGCGCTGTTTGCAGGGAAAAACATGACTTTGTCCCAAAGTGCCCAAAGACACCCTTGCATATTTTACATTTGACAGGACTAGCACTATTTCAAGGCAAGGGGTTTAGAAATCGATCCCGCTGAGTCAGCACACAAGCCAGTGATTGCACTATTTCATACTTCACTATTTGCAAGTTTCACAGCATTAAAAACCTGTTCCGCTTTAAAAAAAAAAAAAAATTATTAACTAGTTTATTAATTTAATGTACTAGATAGAAATAGATTTTTAGCATCATCACACACCAAGGCAAGATGGTTGCAGTCTCCAGTTTTCTTCTAGTGTATTCTATGTCTGGTCTAGGCATGCTACAGTATACTGTACTAAACTATATTACTATTATGACTATTAATAAGATTAAAATTTTATAGATTATATAATCTGAATTTACTCTTAATTACAATAGATAGGCTATGCTGATTTAAAGCTAACCATAAGACCCTAACTAAGGTAATCTGTATAGTTATAATATGCCAGTAATCAGAAGGACTTATTCTTTAGTTTTGATTATAATTTTATTTTGGACATATTTTCCTAGATGCAGCTCTTTGTTTTTTGCAAAAACAAGCGTCGGAAATCGGTATGGAATTTAAAATACTTGAGGTACAGTCAAACTTTATTTTCTGTTTAGGTTATAAATTATTTATGACCAAAGAATTGAATTTGAATAGATAAATGTTAAGAACTTGAAAAACCTTTTACAGGTTACAGAAGAAAAAATTGTTTATCTGAGGTCTGTTGACATTGGAATTTGAAGATTCAAGTGAGAAATGTTCCCTCTTTAAAAAAAAAAAATTACTTTTGTCAAAATAGTGTGTTCACTGTCTGCATTTCATATGCCACTGTGCCTTAAGTAAGTGTTGTGTGTGACTTTAGTGATGTCCGTTATACAAGCTCAAAGTAGGACCGCAGAAACCCCCCAAAAAGCAGCACCTGCACAAATTTAGTATTTGAGTTTTATTAATTTTTTTTTAAAAGCTTTCATCCAATAGAAAACTTTGAGATATTATTATGTAGGAAAAATTAAAATTAACATTATGCCATTAGTAGCATTGCTTTTCCCTCTTATTTTCAGAGTGGCATTGAAGGGAAACCCATAGGCTTGATGACATTGCAAGGACTTAAACCAGAGCTTAGATCCATCCTGCTGACTTCCCACATGGATGTTGTTCCAGTGTTCCCAGTAGGAGTTTTGACTCCACTTCAAAGTCTTTATCTAGATAACAGCAGTCTTTGTCTAGAATAAGTCTTTGTCTAGATAACAGCAGTCTTTATCTAGATAGAAAACAGCAGTCTTTATCTAGATAGATAACAGCAGTCTTTATCTAGATAGATAACAGCAGTCTTTGTCTAGATAACAGCAGTCTTTGTCTAGATAACAGCAGTCTTTGTCTAGATAACAGCAGTCTTTGTCTAGATAGATAACAGCAGTCTTTATCTAGATAGAAAACAGCAGTCTTTATCTAGATAGATAACAGCAGTCTTTATCTAGATAGATAACAGCAGTCTTTGTCTAGATAACAGCAGTCTTTGTCTAGATAACAGCAGTCTTTGTCTAGATAACAGCAGTCTTTGTCTAGATAACAGCAGTCTTTGTCTAGATAACAGCACCATTAAAAAAATTTAAGCATATTTTATTTTAAATTGATTGTAGCTTGGCTCCATAATAAATTTATGCGTAAAATTAGAAATGCCGTAAAATTAGAAATGCCGGTACTTTAAAAAAGCACTTTTAACTGGAATTAATGCTTGTTTGGTATGCTTAGGGGCTTTCCATAAATGAGGTCATGCTGTTTGGGCTGATTTCCTACCCTCTCACCCCAATGGATACAATTGATATGGTTTACATAATGTGGTTTGTGGATGGCCCCCTTATTGAAATTATAGGTTAGTTACTGGGGTACTTGCATTTGTAGTTAATTGCATTTGTAGTTAATTGCATTTATAGTTCATTGCCTTTTGTTTTGTGGGGAATCTTAAAAATTATGATCTTTTTCAAGGAAAAGTGGACACATGAGCCATTTAGTGCTGACAAAGATGAGAAAGGAAATATATATGCCAGGGGCTCGCAGGTAGGTCTACTTTCTAATATTCGTTTAATTAATTTTTTCAACTGATAAATTCCTTTTCATCAACAAGATCCAACAATTAATACATTTGATATATTCTTGTTTGCTTTCCATATGATGGCAACAAAAAAATTCTTTGTTAAAATATTTTAATTGTAAATTGAAATTATTATTTGAACTGCATGTTAATCAAGGATTTTTTAAAAAAGTTTTCCTCAACTAAAGAAATATAGAAATCTAAATACATCAAATAAAATGCAAGAATAGATTGATAATGTTTCCATTCACAGGACATGAAGTGTGTGACAAGCTGGTAGGTTTTGTTAAGTAATTTTCTTTCATTTTGTTTTAAGTTTTGCTGATTTACATCATTCTTTATCTTTCATATTTTTTATTGTTATGGTTTTGAGAAATTGCAGTCTTCTAAACATTTCAAATGGATTGTATAAAAGGTCATGTTATGAAGAAGATACCCTTTTCTGTCCATGTACCTTTACAAACAAGATGTGTCACTCATTAAGGTAGCTGTTTAATTTGTAATATGCTCATGGATAGCCAGACTTAATTCAAAGATAAAGTCAAATCTGCTTATATGACATTTTACATTTGTTAAAAAATCAGACCTGTTTACCCTCAAACTCTTAAAATCGTACAATATCATCACATTACGCTATATTCATAGTAAAAAAACAAACATACAGTATATACAATCTATACACCTCAAAATCGTACATTGTACGCCAAAATCGTAAGAGTAAACAGGTCTGATAAATTAACATCCTTGATGAATATCACCTTGAAAAAATGCATGAGAATTTTGTGAAGAGGCATTTCTGATACCGCTGTTTAGATAATACTATGATATAAGAATGCTGTGAAGAGGCATTCCTGATAGCACTTTTCAGATAATCCAATGGTTTGATAAGGGGAAGTAATGACGTAACAAGAAGGAACTCATAACAGCTAAACTTAAAGAGTTAAATCATAAAAATAATGTATCCATTGGATGTGGATATGGCTTCTATAAGAACATGTTGTACTTTAAGAATCATTGAAAGAGATTTGGCTTTGATAAAACTTAAGAGTGCATTAAAAGACACAAACCACATCTCTAAACAAGATCAGGTAAAGCTTAATTTAAGGTTATGAAATAAACTGCCACCTTACTAAAACCTTTATGGTAATAGTTTAAAAATGTATACCCACAAATGGCATCTGTATAAACTCACTAAAAATTATAACAATTGATTGAAAAGAATTTCTTGATTGGAATTTTTTTCTACTTAGGTATTTGGAAGCCCTCAGAGCACTGAAAGAGGAGGGGAAAACATTTTCAAGGACAATTCATTTACTGTTTACTTCAGGTAAGCAGATTTGTTGGAAGAAACAAGCTCCATATTACTTTAATCATTTTAAATCAGAGGCTGATTCAACAAGCCAATGGCAGGGAGGTTTATCTAACTGGCCAGGCTGATTCAACAAGCCAACGGCAGGGAGGTTTATCTAACTGGCCAGGCTGATTCAACAAGCCAACGGCAGGGAGGTTTATCTAACTGGCCAGGCTGATTCAACAAGCCAATGGCAGGGAGGTTTATCTAACTGGCCAGGCTGATTCAACAACCCAAGGGCAGGGAGGTTTATCTAACTGGCCAGGCTGATTCAACAAGCCAAGGGTTATGACAAGTAGATAATGGCATGATATTGGTTAGTATTACAGTGGGCATATTTAGATGATTTATTGGATTTAATGCTGTGAAGTTTAAATAATCATCAAAACTGGAACAACATCTTGAATTTAGCAATGCTGTATATCTTGTTGTAGATGAGGAGATAGGGAGCAAGCCATCTGAGAGTTTCTCTAAGAGTGAAGAATTTAAGTCTCTGAATATTGAGTTTGGGCTTGATGAAGGTAAGTGATGTCCTAACCCCTTTTATGTATAGAACCATCTTGATGAAGTTAAGTGATGTCCTAACCACTTTTATGTATAGAATCATCTTGATGAAGGTAAGTGATGTCCTAACCACTATTATGTATAGAACCATCTTAATTAAATAATAGCAAAAGAATATTTATCAATCCAGGGTTAATTTGTCTTTTTGGTTTTATGATTTTACATTATTTTTGGTAGTCAAAAGATTGAAGTGAATAGACTTTAGATTACCGGTACTGAGAAGCCGAAAATAGATTTAAAAAAAAAAAAAAAGATACATTTTAAAATGTATTTTGAAATTTTGCAGGGATTGCTAGTCCAGGAAACAAAATGAGAGTATACTATGCCGAAAGATCAATTTGGTGTAAGTTTTGCCATTAATTTGTCAGAAAAGTCACCAGTCCTCATATTATTGTTTAAATTGGGACACTTTATTTAATTACAAGCTATGTCATGGTTAGAATAAAAGCATGAAGTAGAATCATCTTTTTTAAAAGGACAGATCTACTGTTCATTTAATTAACCTTGACATCATGTTAACCCTAAGAACTAGTGAGTGTCTCCCTCTGGAAAATTACGGGACGAGTTCAGAATTTTTTATTAAATTTTTTATTTTAACAAATTTGTCCACCTTGTGTCGGCCCAGATGACCAATAAAATGTGTCTTCCTTTTTCTAGGGATTAAAGTTATTTGTAAAGGAAGTCCTGGGCATGGCCTGGCATTTATAGAAAACACAGCTGCCAAAAAACTAGTAAGTGTTTAATATTATATCCTTATTATTTGATTGTTCCCACATTATTTTTCTAATCTGGTTTTTTACTTCCCATATATTCTCTAGCTAGATATTCTTAATGTATCAAGCTTGGATAGTAAAGGGGACATTATAGTTATATAATCCACAAGGTTAACTAATGCTTATTCCCCTTGATGACCTCCTTTGGTATCTAATGACAATAAATGATAATGTTCATTGATCTTTACTTCAGTGAACAAGCGGATTGGGTTCAACATACATTAGCTAGAGGTTTACTGGAAGTTTCTTAGACTCACTCATCAGTTAGATTGATACATTGTTTACAATTGTGTGACAATTTTTTCTAGACTCAACCATTTAGGTTGATACATTGTTTACAATGTATGAATCATTTTTCTTCTCTCTAGCAATATGTGATCAACAAATTTCTAGAACTGAGAGATGAACAGGAGGCAATGTTAGTGATATATCTGCAAACATTTTGTAAAACTGTTTCCATTAGTTTATATATATATATATATATATATGGTTTTTATTTTGCTCATTGAAATATCTCCCATTCTTATGGACAAAGAATAATGCATTACTGCAACTAGCTGTATCAAAGATTTTTAATTATTTTTATAAAGCTGATTATTTACATCTGGAGTAAGATGATTTTTAAAAATAATGTTAGAGAAAGCTGTTGCTCAAATTCATAACAGTCAATTTTTAAAATGTTTCTCAAAGTTGGAAGAGTGATCCAAAGTCTCTCCTTGGATCAGTGTTCACAGTCAACATGACAATGTTGGAGGTTGGTGCTGCTGCTAGCCTTTTATTTTACTTATTTATTGTGTGGAATGTTCACTGTGGTCTTAATCTTATTTTACTTATTTATTGTGTGGAATGTTCACTGTGGTCTTAATCTTATTTTACTTATTTATTGTGTGGAATGTTCACCGTGGTCTTAATCTTATTTTACTTATTTATTGTGCGGAATGTTCATTGTGGTCTTAATCTTATTTTACTTATTTATTGTGTGGAATGTTCGATGTGGTCTTAATATTACTTTTTTGTTGTCATGTACAAATTGTCGACCGTCTGAAAGTGAGTTTCTTCTCAAAAATTCTTTCAGACATGATCATCGAAGTCAGTTGAGAAATGCTCAATGTTGACATTAAACTATTCATGACGTCATCATTCTTTATTCTACTCATTTATTTCTGTGTGGACAATGCAGTTTCCCAAAATATAATAAATTGTTTAACTATGTTTTTTATGAGTTCTGATATGTACGAACATATGAAAGTTAAATTTAATCATTTTAAATCATTAGATTTTAATATATTTTTTTTTTACCTCAGTATAGATTCAACAAGTGTGGAGAAATCTTTTGTAATAAATGTTTTACTTGTGTTTATTAAGGGCGGCGTGCAGCCAAATGTTGTACCTGCAGAGATGAGTGCAAGTAGGTCAATAAGATTGCATTAGTTTTACTTTGGAGGGTTATGTGCAGAGCAGTCACTTTAAGCAAAAGGATCCTTGTTCGGAACTCTTGTATGTGACATTAACTTATGCTTCTTGACAGACGACAAAAATAGTGTTCTTACTCATTTGTGATCAGCGGTTTGCTGGAACTGGGTCTTTCTGGTTTACCCTGGTTGTTAAAATTTTACTATTCCAGACATTTAGACATTTGCTAAAAATGTCAAGATAATAACAGTATAAAAATCTATTGAGGTTTTTTTCTATTACCGAAAAGTACTGAATAGGTGTTTATTGAGTAATGAATTGGTTGTTGCCTGATTTGCAGCACACCACGGGTTATATTGCAGCATAACAGCGTAAGAAATTTTGCTTAAAAATTAATAAACACAGTAAGTTTATTAAAATGGATGTAAAAAAAAAAAAGTATTATTTTAGCTAATAGAACAATACCTTTAGTGGGTTACTCTTTTTTCCTTGTTGGCCTATTATTCAGTTATGAGGATAACACTTTATGAAAATAACATAGTATATTTTACTTATACATTGGTTTAATGTTAACATGATTTCTGAATAAAAAGCTAATATAAATGTGCTCGTATTTCTCTCATTGAAAAAAATTATATGTGTTACATTTATTTTGAAAAGGCACCCAATTTGTCAGATGGGCCACCTTAATAAAGAATAAAAATTTTGTTTGATCAACCTGCTTATAGACAGAAAACTAGAATTGGTCTCAGATAGACAAATATAAAAATATATAAAAATCAAGGACATTCAAAGCCATATTCTATCTTTTAAACAAAAAATTGTTTTCCCTAACCTACTTTTGTGAACTTTCAGCATTTGATGTGAGAATCCCTCCGACGGCAGATTTTGATGCTTTCAAAGAAAAGATCCGTCATTGGTGTAACGAGGCAGGGACAGACGTAACCTTTGAGATGCTTCATGTGAGTAACATAGACTAATTGAGGGAGGGGCTTCAAAGGCAAGTTAAAATAAGTGTCAAGAGTGCAGGGCCTTTGGAGTTTCTGGAAAAATTTGAAGAGTTATTGCTCATCGCTGTACAGTTTTACAGATGGAAAGTGGTGAAGGCAATGAACAGTTTTACTTTTTAGATGCAGATATTTGCTTTATTTAAGGTCAACTTTGAAGCACACCTTAAGGTCAACTTTGAAACACACCTTTGAGGTTAAGAATTTTTCCCAAAATTCGTTTTATTAAGAAATGTTGCTATAATCACATTCATTTTAAATATTGCTGTTTCACATATTAATTTATAGACCTAAAAGTGAATAAAAAGTTCATAAAAATCTGAACAGAGTCTCCTGTATCAGTTCTTATCATTAATTTGATTGCCAGGAAGGCCGCATGACAGAAAGAGTTGATGTCTCAGACGCCAACCCCTGGTGGAAGGCGTTCAAGGGCGCGTGTGGCAGGGCGTAAGTTTGTGGTGTTGTACTAGAGTGTTTTGTAGTAATCTATTTCCTAGAGTTTAAAACTGTACACATGTTGACAGGTGCATATAATATGGAATAAGGAGGGTGCTGGGTGGCCAAGGGGTTTAAAATGAGTCAATGCCAAAGCTTGTGGACTGGAGTTCAACCCCCAGCAGAAGCCTAGACAAACCCGAGCAACACCAGCACCCCACAAGGCAACCCATGTAAGAGAAGGCAAACTGTGAAATTAAACCCGGAGATGGAGTCCCATAGGCGTTATGACATTGACAATGAAAACTTCAACAACTCCTGTGTCGGGGAACGCCTAAGAGCACAGTGAGACACAATAAGTCTTGCCATTGGAACAAATAGGAAAGGACTAGAGAGTGAGACTGGTGAATTGAGCAACTCTCCCTCACTTTAAACAAATACAGCTCAGGTCAAGGCTACTACTCAAATCGAAGCCTTGGTCATCTTCGTATGCGATGGACTAACAATCAAAATGTGGGATATATTTACGATTTGAATGGTTTAAACCTTCTTTGCACAGATGAACCTAATGCTAATTTGGCACACTATAATGTTGTCATCAACTTCTAAATATGTCATTTTATTTTGTGACAAGGGTAAAATCCAACATTTTAAAAATGTATGTCACATTACAACCTGACATTTAAATGTGACATTATGATTTCAGTAATGTTGAATTTGAACTTGAGATCTTCCCAGGTGGCACTGACAGCAGATTCTACAGAAAGGTAAAGATGTTGATACATGTTGGTACTCGTTACATGTTAATGTTAGTTCCATCGTTCTGAATTACCTTACATGATACAATGACATTGGATTTCTTGTGATGTTGTAATAAAAAAAAACTTGTGCAAATTAAACCATTGATCTATCGGACAACATTACAGGGAAACAACAATAATTTAAAAGTTCTATCTGCATAGCTATAAGCAGAATTTGAAGAAAGAAAATCATGACTCCATAACAGCATTTGTTTTCCATTTCCTTGACCTTGGTGGATACCTCTCTTACTAAGAAATACTTGGGATGAATAATTCAAAGCACTCTCTGAAATAGTTAAAATTTTGAAAAGGATGGTGTGTATTAGTCTTGGGATGGTGTGTATTAGTCTTGGGATGGTGTGCATTAGTCTTGGGATGGTGTGCATTCGTCTTAGGACGGTGTGTATTATTAGTATTAGGATGGTGTGCATTAATAATAATAATAATTAGTGGTCTTTTATTGCCTGTACATAAAAATGTTTTCAAAAGAGACATAATCATGACATTAAAATAAAATACAATAATGAAATAAAGAACAGCACGAACCCCAGGACTTTTACAAGGCAAACCATGGACGGCAGCCAACAAGATCATTTATTATTATATTAGTCTTAGGATGGCATGCATTAGTCTTAGGATGGGGTGCATTAGTCTTAGGATGGCATGCATTAGTCTTAGGATGGGGTGCATTAGTCTTAGGATGGGGTGCATTAGTCTTAGGATGGCATGCATTAGTATTAGGATGGCATGCATTAGTCTTAGGATGGGGTGCATTAGTCTTAGGATGGGGTGCATAAGTCTTAGGATGGGGTGCATTAGTCTTAGGATGGGGTGCATTAGTCTTAGGATGGGGTGCATTAGTCTTAGGATTGGGTGCATTAGTCTTAGGATGGTATGCATTAGTCTTAGGATGGGGTGCATTAGTCTTACGATGGGGTGCATTAGTCTTAGGATGGGGTGCATTAGTCTTAGGATGGCATGCATTAGTCTTAGGATGGGGTGCATTAGTCTTAGGATGGGGTGCATTAGTCTTAAGATGGGGTGCATTAGTCTTGAAATGGGGTGCATTAGTCTTAGGATGGGGTGCATTAGTCTTAGGATGGGGTGCATTAGTCTTAGGATGGGGTGCATTAGTCTTAGGATGGTATGCATTAGTCTTAGGATGGGGTGCATTAGTCTTAGGATGGGGTGCATTAGTCTTAGGATGGGGTGCATTAGTCTTAGGATGGCATGCATTAGTCTTAGGATGGGGTGCATTAGTCTTAGGATGGGGTGCATTAGTCTTAGGATGGGGTGCATTAGTCTTGAGATTTTAAAACTGAAGAATCACCTGACTGATTTAAACAGTTTCTAGGAATGTCTTAAACTGTAACAAGATATGTTGTGATTTAAACTGTGGCAAGCAGACCATGACTATTAAACTGACAAAGAACTCAATCCAAATTAATTCATTTAATATCAAGAAAAGTTTTACCCCTCATGACTAATAAGTTATTGTTTGTTTGTTTATACATTTCCCAGGCCGGTGTGGATATGATTGGGTTTTCCCCAATGAACAACACCCCGATACTCCTTCACGACAATGATGAGTTCCTCAATGAAAATGTCTTCATTCGTGGAATTGAAATCTACAAAGAAATCATTCCTGCCTTGGCCAATCTGGATACTTTGTAGAGTCACTTTAGAGCCTTGATGCGTGATTGATTGTTAAATCATTATGCACACAGATTCAGTATCAATGATTTCTTAATGGAGCAAACATTGAAATTTCCTTTTAATGATGAAATTTATCACTGTTATTAATATTGTTTAAATGTGAAATCATCTTATTAATGCAGATTGCTTGAATAGTAGAATTAATTCTTATAATAAAATGAATGGACTATTCTTGTTTAACACATTGAAAGTGTTGCTAACAGTGCAGGTGGAGTCTAAGATATATATGAACTTAGGTGTGCTTATGTGCTTATTGGCTTACATTTCTGTCAATAATTCTTTGTTTAGAATTAATTTTATTGGCGTTCAGTTGTTTTTTTTCCCTCAAAATTTGGTTGAACTAAAACTGTCAATGTCTCTTGTATTGAGAAATGTAATGTAGGCATGTGATGCTGTTTAATCAGAAATTTAAGTACCGGAAATTGTGTTCGGTCTTTTCAGTCTTAGCCTTATTTTTATTGCTTTTTCTTTAAAAAAAAATTGTTGCATCAAATGAAAGATTTATTTTAGAGCAACCTAATCCTGGCATTCTGTGTGAAATAAAGTTCAAAATAATCCTGGCATTCTATGAGAAATTCATTTTGAAATAACTCTGAATTGAAATGTATTTTTATTTATAGTTCATGAACTAATGAAGTTTGAAAAAAAATATTTGTGTCAAAAATAAAATAATATTTTGAAAGGGATTAATTTCTGAAAAAATTTTTTTTTAAAAATTATATGAAAAAGTGCACATTAAACATTAATATTTCATCTAATTTAACTTTGTTTTAATAATGACTTAAAATGACTTAAAATGATAAGTGTTGATAAACCTAATGAAATTTTAAGAAAATATTGTTGGCACAAAGTAAATGTTGCACCTCAACTGAGAGCATAGCCATTGCAGTAAATTGTTTGAAAATATTAATAATTACAGTGGTTATAATGATACAATTGATTTGTCTATTAACATAGCTTAACTTTGAGCAAAAGTGTCAACAAATGTGAAGCCATCTTTAGCTACTTTCAACCCTATGAAATGATCCAATTAGTGAGAATTTGCCATCACCCTCAAACCACTTTTGCACCACTCTTGAAAATATCAATTCTCCTCATTTGAGTCCTCTTCAAGGAGTGTTGTTTTATATTTTGCACATCCCATTGCAACATTTGGAGCTCAGTTGTTCTGGGTGTTGTAAATATTAGCCATGTAGCCGTAGCTAAACCTAACTAAAGATGTTGTAATATTAGCTATGTAACTAAACAATCATCAACAGACATTCTGCAGCATTCACATTCCCTCCCAACAGTAAAACACTGGACCAGAGATAGCCAACTCTTATCCTGTGCATGTCTGCCTGCCACACCTGTTTAAACAGTGGCCAATGATAATCTGCAGATGTTTTCTGCTAGCATTTGTTGGTTACATTCATTGGGTTCCACTGACAAAAAAACAAATATAAAATAAAAAAAATAAGAGAAACTAACCAGCAAGGAGAGAATTCACCTAATTAACAATTAGCTACGTATTGTTTAAACAATTTGTGTTTAGCTGTCATTGTGGTTTAAGGTCATTTGAAATGTTTGTGACTGAAGGGAAAGACCTTTACGAATTTATCACATTTCTCAACAATTATTACTCCACAATTATTACTCCACAGAGAGGAAAAAGTTGAAATTCGTTTTAAACAGGAAGCAACTTTGGGTTCTTAAGTAACAGTTTCTCTCTCTCTCCCCCTCCCAAAATAAAAAAAACTTAACAGAAGCAAGAAGAAAAGTGAACAGCCTGGATTGTTCATTTTCTCCAAGGATCAAAAGATTTCACCTCATAAAAACAGAAGCTTTCTTTGTGGTGCGAGAAGTACTGGGAGATGTTATAGTCGTATTGAGAAGAGATATGTTTTTAACATTAAAAAAAATATTTAAAAATTAAATAACAATTGAGAAACAGAGTTAAGGGGGTGGGTGGGGTGCTGACTTCTTCCCTGGACATTACATAAATCCTTTGTTTAATATTTTTTTTTTAAAGACCAAAAACTAAACTTGAACCTGTTTTAAAAAAACACACTTTCCATTAACCAACTTGGCAACATTACGCTTTTGCATATAAAAAAAAATGTGCAGAGAAAATGTCAGGATGGTACTACGTTTGAAAGCCTTCACTAACGAGATGTGTCAGAGACTAGATGAAGATCCCCCAGCTGTCTCCCACCATTTGAGCAGTCATCTAACGTAACATTTTCTGGTGCTAGTGTACCTGTCTTGTGTTGCCAGGTAAAACGATGGAACTTACATTTGTAATAATAGGCGATTTTTGTTGTTGACGACAGTAAACATTTGATCATCTCCTCACAGTTTTGTATCTCATGTCACGTGTTTCAGATATAATGAACACTAAAAATTGGAAACTGAAATACCGGTAGTTTATTTGAGACTGTTGGTTTGGTTTCTCTGATATCCCAGACTTACTCGACGTAAGACTTGGCGGCACATATATTCCGAGAGGGATCAAAATAGCATTCTGTGGGCACGTGTGAAGCCTCCAGACGATGGCCTGCTTCGTGAAGTCTGCCACAGTAGACTTTTAATTACTACCTGGTAACTGGGCGGAGAAGCAGACGCTAGACGGTATGAGGATGTCAGGAGAGACGCGAGAGAAAAAGTTGCACACACCAGCACTGGTGTGCAACGGAAATCCATGGCAGATGAGGAGACTTCAAAATGGTGAAGAGAAAGACTCTGATAGGCAGCTAAGGTAAACATGGTAAAGCACCAGGAGCTATGTTAAAGGGACTCAGATAGGCAGCTAAAGTACACAGGCCTAGATGTTTAAGCACCTGAAGCAATGCTCAAGCGACTCTGTATTAAAATTTGTCGCCGCCACTGACTCGATTATCGTCCTAGCAAATCGTAGAAATTTGATAATGGTAATTAATTGATCTTTGAGCTTCTAAAAGTCTCTCAATAAATTTGCAGCATATGCATAATAATGACATAAATTAATTACGTATATAATTAACCTAACAATCCACTTCACGTTGTAGAGTTTTGATTGCGAGATCAGTGGTGTGCCGTGAGTAGGCCTATTAAAAGTTAGGGAGATTAACGTTTCGCCCCGACACAGTCCAGACCGAACCACTCCCCGAACGGTGGGTTGAGGTAACGCAACGCCTCCCCCGGAGAGGAAACAAAGCCGTTTTGACCCATGTCCACACAACTCCCAGGAACGGTGGGAGAAAGTTAAGCTTGTGACTACTCCCGGAGTGGCGGCAAAGCCGTGCCACACCAAGGAACGTACGGTTCCCTGGGGGGTGGGGATGGCAACGCAACAACATCCCCGGAGAGGAAGCAAAGCTGTTCCAACCCTTCGTCCAGACCGCAAGACTCATTGGGCAAGAGGGGTAGTGACGCAAAACTGTCCCCTCATGAGTGGAAGCAAACTGCCCTAAACCCCGTTACTCAAGGCCGAGTTGCATGCCCGGAGTCCCCAGGAACTACTAGGCTATGTTTCACGGCCAGAGGTCCTAAAGGATAGAATCTCGACCTCAGAGTATTAATCTTCATTAGTAAGAAACTGAAGGAACATTAGCTCACATTGCACGTGGCAAAAAACGAAACAAAGCCCCCCCCCCCCCCCCCCCCCCCCCCCCCGCCCCCCAAATACGACGAGCAGAAGCATTTTTTAGAGGATTAAATAAATTCCCTTTTCCCGGGAAACACGTCGACTGGTCACATCAATATCCCCTAACCACTGGTCACATCAATATCCCCTAACCACTGGTCACATCATTATCCCCGCCCACTGGTTACATCAATATCCCCTAACCAATGGTCACATCATTATCCCCGCCCACTGGTCACATCAATATCCCCTAACCACTGGTCACATCATTATCCCGGCCCACTGGTTACATCAATATCCCCTAACCACTGGTCACATCAATATCCCCTAACCACTGCTCACATCATTATCCCGGCCCACTGGTTACATCAATATCCCCTAACCACTGGTTACATCAATATTCCCTAACCACTGGTTACAACAATATCCCCTAACCACTGGTTACAACAATATCCCCTAACCACTGGTCACATCATTATCCCCGCCCACTGGTTACATCAATATCCCCTACCCACTGGTCACATCAGTATCCCCCCACCACCTATATTTTTTTTTTAACTTCCTCATATAAAAAAATATTTGAACTTCAAGATTTTTCATAACAAATATGCCTAACTTGAACGTTGCATATTTCTCCTGTAGTTGTATCTGGATTCATCTCTCAATAAAAGAATAAGTGAACGATTTAACGTTTGATTGAGGACCCAGTTTAATGAAATAAAATTGATAAATATTAAATCCATAATTGTACCTCATGGAACATTTTTTTTTGTTGTAACCTATAAGTGATTTGTTGAAACTAAGTTTATTTTAAGGGCTCCCCCCCCCCAAACCCCCATTCCCCCAAATGAGAATTACTGATCTCAGGTGAGCTGAGTTTGTAAATATTTTTACCTGACAAACTATTGAAACGATTGTGAATCTTAAAGCATGTCAGAATTTTCCGGCTGAAGCAACGCTCCACAGATACTTGTGTGTCGAGGGTCCCTAGCAGATTGAAGCTCTAAACATCTTGTCTTTTTGAAGAACCCGTACACTTTAAGAGGAATGTCTCTCGAGAACTTCTCAGCACGTAAGTAAAATATAGCACGGATTTATGGAGGCCTTTGGGAGTACAGAAATGCCACACTGACATATACATATCATACGCCAATCATATTCTACACCTACCATGGCATGGCACATCATACATCTACCACGACAGGGCACATCCTACACTTACAATGGCAAGACACAGTCTACACCAAACACAGCAGGTCACATTCTAAACCTACCAGAGCTGGGCAAATGCTACATGTACCACGACAGGGCACATCCTACACTTACTATGGCAGAACACATTCTACACCAAAAACAGTAGGGCACATTCTGCACCTACCATGGCAGGGCGCATCATACACCTATACCACGACAGGGCACATCCTACACTTACAATGGCAGGACACATTCTAAACCTACCAGAGCTGGGCATATCCTACACACACCACAGCAGGGCATATCCTACACATACAACAGCAGGGCATACCCTACACCTACCACAGCAGGGCACACCATGAGCCTACCACGATAGGGCACATCCTACACCTACCACAGCAGGGCACACCATAGATCTACACATACATCATAGCAGCCTCGGTACACTGGGTCTCACCAATAAGAAAGACGAAGCCAGGAAGACTCCAGGGAAAATGTTGCCAAAAAGACCTGGAGGTGTTGGATATTCAAATAGACCACGCATGAAACAAAGTTGAAATCAGTTGTTTCCCAAATGCACTCTCGGTACGGAAGCAACAAGAACAGAAATGTTGGCGTCTGAGTCCAGTTCACGAGTGCCGGCTAAATAATTTAACCATCTATTATCAAATGTTCCATCATATACTCGAATTTCTTTGATTACACTTAATTCATACAGAAAACCTTTTTTCAAATATTTTATTATCAAAATTATCGGGGCTTTGCTCATTGGACTATTTTCAATTCGGCACTTAAGATTTCGAGTGGTTTACCTTTCGTGTTGATGGCTCATTTTTGTCTGGTAATATATTACAAAGGTAATACAAATTACGCCACAACTAGACATTTACCTATAAAACAGTTGTACTGCCCTTAATTAACAAATGGCTGCCATGTTGTTGTAGTTGTTTTGTGATTATTTTTATTTTCGTATTTTTTATTTTTTTAAAAACTCTTCCTGGCGTCTGCTCTGCAGATCCGTCGGCTGTGCTTCTGATCAGCGACGAGGAGCGAGCAGCTCTGGGGAAATTCAAGTTGGAAGAGGATCTGTCCGACTCCTCGGAGAAATCCGCACATTCGACTCCACCTGTAGGTATCAGTGTATGGGGTTCTAAAATTGGTGGCTTCGATTCAACCGTTGCTTTTCAGTATTAAAACAGTCAAATAGTTTAAGCGTCAATGGCTCCCTCGCACACACATACACACAAGTACGCACACACACGCAAACACACACACGCAAACACACACACATGCATACTTTTCAACGTTTTCAAAGTTCTGATATATTTTGTCTGCATCTTTCCAATCTAGTCAGATATGTAGTGATCATGTCATCATTGTAGTGATTATTATATCATTGTAGTGATCATTAGATCATTGTTGTAAGCATTATAGCGTTGTAGTGATCACCATATCATCAGTGTCAATAAAAATTAATTCGCTTGATATTTTAATTTTTTCTTCAACTCTATCTCTTACTACGTTACTGCTTTTATTTCACACCTCACGAACTGATATTTTCTTATTTTTGTGTCCTCAGGTTGTTGTCTTAAAGCATAAAAAGTTATTTATAGGACCGCCAATACCAAGTAATGTATATATATATATATATATATATATATATATATATATATATATATGTGTGTGTGTGTGTGTGTGTGTGTGTGTGTGAACAAGTAGCAGTCTAGTCTATGATATGTAGGGTTATAATACTCTTTCCCTTCACGACGCTCTTTCGTTTTTATATATATATATATATATATATATATATATATATGTGTGTGTGTGTGTGTGTGTGTGTGTCTGTGTTTGTGAACAAGTAGCAGTCTAGTCTATGAAATGTAGGGTTATGCTACTAGATCCGATGATTGTATAAAAAAACTAAAGTGAGAATGAAAGCTCTGACAGTCTGGCTCACCGAAAGTGTCTAGTTATTTATGGTCCAAAAGTCTCAGCAAATAAACAAAAGATCACAAAGTGTCTTGTTTCTTATGGTCCAAAAGACTCAGTGGACAACGGGCGTCAGAACACAAAGTGGCCGACCAAATAACAGGGGTCAGAACGCAAAGGGGCCGTCCAAATAACAGGGGTCAGAACGCAAAGTGGCTGTCCAAATAACAGGGGTCAGATCGCAAAGTGGCCATCCGAATAACAGGGGTCAGATCGCAAAGTGGCCATCCGAATAACAGGGGTCAGATCGCAAAGTGGCCGTCCAAATAACAGGGGCCAGATCGCAAAGTGGTCATCCAAATAACAGGGGTCAGATCGCAAAGTGACCGCCCAAATAACAGGGGTCAGATCGCAAAGTGGCCGTCCAAATAAGAATAATGTTAGGAGGCTGTAACTCTACCAAGGACACTTTTGGGAGTCAAACTCTCAGAGCCAACCATTCTCACTTCAAACTCTCAGAGCCAACCATTCTCACTTCAAACTCTCAGAGCCAACCATTCTCACTTCAAACTCTCAGAGCCAACCATTCTCACTTTAGTTGTATCAATGATTAATCTGGAGGGAAGTGAAAGGACATTAACCTGGAGGGACACGCACTAAATTATATGGTGAACGATCTTTCTCTTTCTGCGCCCCCAAACAATGGAATTCTTTGCCACTACACATCCGCAATATAACAACCACACAGGCCTTCAAAACTGCACTCAAAACACATCTATTTATGGGTTTCCTTGTAAAAATGTCTGGTGTGGGTGGATGAATATACCTATGGTGTTGTTTTGCTTATATGTTGTTTTTATTTCATTTATGTATTTTATTTTAATATTATGATTATGCCTCTTTGCTATATTTATGTACAGCGTGGTGAGCCCAGCCCTAGGCCGGGGTACCGCGCTATATAAGACCACTTATTATTATTATTATTATTAGGGAAGTGACAGGACATTAACCTGGAGGGAAGTGTCAGGACATTAATCTGGAGGGAAGTGACAGGACATTAATCTGGAGGGAAGTGACAGGATATTAACCTGGAGGGAAGTGACAGGACATTAACCTGGAGCGAAGTGACAGGACACTAACTTGGAGGGAAGTGACAGGACATTAACCTGGAGGGAAGTGACAGGACATTAACCTGGAGGAAAGTGACAGGACACTAACCTGGAGGAATGTGAATGGATTAACCTGGAGGGAATTGGCAGGACATTAACTTGGAGGGAAGTGACAGGACATTAACTTGGAGGGAAGTGACAGGACATTAACTTGGAGGGAAGTGACAGGACATTAACTTGGAGGGAAGTGACAGGAAATTAACCTGGAGAGAAATGACAGGACATTAACTTGGAGGGAAGTGACAGGACATTAACTTGGAGGATTATTGGTTTATAGTTTCCTAAAGTACTAACAGTCACGTGGCCAGAAAATAATGGCCAATGTATTTTGAATTGATTTAGACGAGTTTTACAGAAGAATTTTAGCTTAAATCTTTTATAATGAAGGTGACCAAACTAATTGGCCCCTTGGAGGAGGGGGTGATTTGATGAAGGTATACTTATGGCACAACTTACTTTAATCAACCTTTATATTTAATTAATCCTCTGATGCCAGAACACCGAGATGGAATGGGCAGATACGTACCCTCTTATCAAGGAAAGCCACTGTCAGCACAGGGTAAGTCAACTATGCCAGTGGGCACACACAGAGCAGAGTAGTCAACTGTAGTAGGGGTCACAGATGGTACAGGGTAGTCAAGTGTGCTAGTGGCCATTGTCGGTACATGTTAAGAAAACTATACCAGTGGCCATGCAGTATATGTAGCATAAGTAGTATATGTAGTGTATGTAGCATATCTAATATGTGTAGCATATGTAGTATATGTAGTATATGTAACATATGTAGTATATGTAACATATGTAGTATATGTAGTATATGTAGTATATGTAGTATATGTAACATATGTAGTATATGTAACATATGTAGTATATGTAGTATATGTAGTATATGTAACATATGTAGTATATGTAACATATGTAGTATATGTAGTATATGTAGTATAAGTAGTATTTGAAATGTACTGAAGATGTTGTCCGGGGACAAAGACCCCCCCGCTTCTCCCCTCCCATACCAGTGACGTGAACTAAGCATCAAGTACATAAGATCCCAGAATTCATTGCATAATAATGAAACACGTGACCGCGCACCAGGCTGTCGTTTTTGTGTTGGCTCTATCAGCACGTCTATCAGCACGTCTATCAGCACGTCTGTCAGCACGTCTATCAGCACGTCTCTTAGCACGTCTATCAGCACCTCTATCAGCACGTCTATCAGCATGTCTATCAGCACCTTTAACAACCCCTCTTTCATCAGCACCTCTATCATAAGACCCTTTATTAGCTACTCTATCATCAGCCCCTGTATTCGCACTTTTATCAGTACATATGTCAGCACCTCCATCAGCACCTCTGTCAGCACCTCTATCATCCCCTCTATTCGCAAGTCTATCAGCACTTCTATCAGCACTTCTATAAGCACCTCTGTCATCACTTCCATCAGCACCTCTATCAGCACCTCTACTTGCACTTCTCCTCCAACACAAATTTTATTCCGCCATCTGTTTTTGTATTCACTATCCGGGACTAATACGAAAATAGAACCTGCAGCTTAGAGACCGACCGAAAGGGATTTTCTGATTTTGGCCGAAACCGAAACCAGAACCGAAAGTTTAAAATGACTTTCGGCCAAAACTGAAGCCGAAACCAAAAGCTTAACGAGACTTTCGGCCGAAACCGAAAGATTTTAAAATGTGAAATTCTTTTTTTAATTTTTTTTAAATCGGGAATACGAATTGAAAAACATCTCTATTGATTTTTTTTTGTTTTTTACCATTTGAATCAAAAATAATTTTAGTTGCCTAAATGTATTTTAAAATAATATGGTATGAGCAGTTATCTAAGGGGTGGGGGGAATTCATGCAAAATAGACCCGTGGCTGCCCTTTGATTTTTTAATATAATTACAGCGCTATCTTATAATATTTTTTATCGATCGCAAGCCCAGCGTATGCATGTCTAATTGGTATGGTTCACTGAAATATCCAGACGTAAGCCTTGAAGGAGCACTTTGTTCCGCTAAGCCATAGTATTTCTTGAAAATACGCTTTCTTATTGGTCGGCATTTAATGTTTCATTTATCTACAATTGCTATTTATCGGCTATTTTTATATTTGACCAAGGTCAAACAGAAGTCAAACGAAATTTGAACTACGGTTAGCATGGTAATACAGTACCGTACCTGGTTACACTAGAACTCCCAATAGAGTACAATACAGTATCAGAATAGTACTTTACCATCTCAAAATCTTACACTACCGTATTGTAACAATAAATGAATGAGCAATAACTATTGACATGGCATGTTTAATAAACGTCACTTCTCAAAGTAGATGAGTGACGTTCAAATATTTAAATACAGTGCATTAAATGAAAATAAAGGTGTACCCGTCCTTTCCCCTTTTTGATAGACGAAGATGTGGTGGGGGGGGGGGAGCCGAAAAAGAGCGCACCCGCTGAAGTCAGCCTAAAAAAAGTAGGGGGTGGGGTTTGTTGAGGATTCCCCTTTTTGATAGACGAAGATGTGGTGGGTGGGGGGGGAGCCGAAAAAGAGAGCACCCGCTGAAGTCAGCCTAACAAAAGTAGGGGGTGGGGTTTGTTGAGGAGGCTGACCCCAGACCCCAAAGATTTTTTTTTTTTTAAATTCAAAACGCCGGGCTGCACTCGTGTATACCTTATTATAATTTCGCATCCCTCTAGACTTAATCGTAATCCTTGTAACAAAATAGCTTCCCCTTACTTACCTCGCTTTGTCTACATAAATCCGTTTTTATTTTAGTAGTTGATAAATACAATTTTTTAAAATTTATGACGTATTTTAACATAACGTATATAGATATAACAAAAAATGTGCCTTAAAAAATGTACCGTAAATTAAAATAATCGCTATTTGAATGACGATTAAAAGTTCATGTGGGATGTACCCAGTGGGCTACATCATTAAACTTGACGGGCCGAGAGTTACCCACCCTTGCATTAAGACAAGAAGCCTGATTTTATTTTCCATACAACATATTGTCTAAAACTACCGCAAGATGAGTTGGGTACAAGGGCAGAGAAGGGGGGGGGGGGACCCAAACCAGGCGTATTAAAATTGTGCCGCTTCCTAAGTGATTTAAAAAAATGGGATTTCAAATGCCGGTTACTAAATCTTGTAGAGTATGTCAAAATCTAAACGCTACTGTGCTGACCGGTTGAGAATGCAATTTTAAAAAAAAAATATTTTATCTTGAGAAAAGGGAGCACCGATGCCAAGCGGATGATGACATTAAAATCATCCCATGCGATGTGCACGTCCGTCAAGGTAGCACGATTAGGATGCCAAGCGGATGATGACATTAAAATCATCCCATGCGATGTGCACGTCCGTCAAGGTAGCACGATTAGGATGCCAAGCGGATGATGACATTAAAATCATCCCATGCGATGTGCACGTCCGTCAAGGTAGCACGATTAGGATGCCAAGCGGATGATAACATTAAAATCATCCATGCGATGTACACGTCCGTCAAGGTAGCACGATTAGGATGCCAAGCGGATGATAACATTAAAATCATCCATGCGATGTGCACGTCCGTCAAGGTAGCACGATTAGGATGCCAAGCGGATGATGACATTAAAATCATCCATGCGATGTGCACGTCCGTCAAGGTAGCACGATTAGGATGTCACAGTAGATTAGTCAATGGGACATCCAGATATGACGTACGCGAAAAAAAACAACAACAACTTAGTTAATGTTCTTTCCAGCACCTTGCCAAAGTAAGGGGCAGTCCATATGTTACGTATGAAAATAGGATTCATATGACAATCTAGGAAAAGGGGGGTGGGGGTGTCACCAAACAGTATCCACATTATCATAACAGTCTCTGCACACGTGTGTTATTTCGTCAGTAACGACGTTTACGAGCAGGATAATGAAGAATTTTAAGAAATGAAAGAATTGAATAAGCCTAAGATTCCTTAATTTTATTTTTTAAAAATAAAACACAAAAATAATCTTATAAACACTACCATTCCCGTAGTTTTTCTTCCACAAAACTATTTCTTTTTCTTCTATATCTTAAGGGCCCACGATCAATTTATTGATCATTTTGGCTCCTATGCATGTAGATGGGATTTGCAATGTTTCTGTTCCTGGTGTTGATGAGGAAATTTCACTGATTTCCTATGCCACTTTGTGAGGGAATCATGCACTGGGGGTTTGAAGGCTTGAGGCAATATTCTTGTACCGTCCATCACTACTGCTTGGCATCGGTGGCTGAGGAAGCTAGAGATCCATGTTTTAGTGGTGCCTTTGATCCCATATCTCTGGAGTTTGTGTAGAAGCATTACATTTGCCTCGGCCTAAATGAAATTCAATTTTTCGAAATGAGGGACTAGTAGGTCAACATGCAGCTGTGAGCAGTTTTCGAAGAGGATTCACCATATAACATACGATGACAGCAAGACGTCCGGCAATAATAATATCGGATTGTCGGCCTAGAGACAGACAGCCTGCCTTTTCGTAGATGACCAAAAACATCAATCACTTTCTGCCACATGGCCGAAAGTCTCAATCACTTTCGGCTGAAACCGAAATAAAACTGAATGTTGAATTTTCCGTTTCGGACGAGACCGAAAGTAAGTCGAAAGTGATGAAATAGCAGCTTTCGGCACCGAAACCGAAGCCAAAATCGGTCGGTCTCTACTGCCGCTTGTTCCATGGCATAACTTCATAGAAATGTCAGTTTTGCGCACCGGTGAAGGAAAGAGTTAGATATCACAGTTATAAAATACACATAATGTTGATACAAAATGCATGCTGTCTCTTTACAGATGAGCCAACTCCTGGCCCTGCTGACTACGTCGGGGACTACACTGTATTTACCCACAAGTTCCCCATCTACTCACTCGGCGAAAGACCAGCAGAGGCAAAAAGAAGTAAGGACTGAATTCATTAGATAAATGTTTGTGTACATCATTTAGCTGTTGTGAATGTGCTAAATGTACAAAATTTAATTGTTGTGTATGTGCTGAAAGTACAAAATTTAATTGTTGTGTATGTGCTAAATGTACAAAATTTAATTGTTGTTTATGTGCTGAAAGTACAAAATTTAATTGTTGTGTATGTGTTGAAAGTACAACATTTAGCTGTTGTGAATGTGCTAAAAGTACAAAATTTAATGGTTTGTATGTGTTGAAAGTACAACATTTAGCTGTTGCGTATGTGCTGAAAGTACAACATTTAGCTGTTGTCAATGTGCTGAAAGTACAACATTTAGCTGTTGAGTATGTGCTGAAATTACAACATTTAGCTGTTGAGTATGTGCTGAAATTACAACATTTAGCTGTTGTCAATGTGCTGAAAGTACAACATTTAGCTGTTGTCAATGTGCTGAAAGTACAACATTTAGCTGTTGTCAATGTGCTGAAAGTACAACATTTAGCTGTTGTCAATGTGCTGAAAGTACAACATTTAGCTGTTGTCAATGTGCTGAAAGTACAACATTTAGCTGTTGTCAATGTGCTGAAAGTGTTGATTTTGTTCTTCTGTTGAATGTCTTTGAATGTCTTGATGTGTTACAATAACACTTGTTGAAGGTGTTAATGATATTTAACGCCTGTAGATGTTGTAAGGTGTCGTGGCCCATTTCAGAGAAAACCTTTTCAAATGTTAACTAGAGATGAATAGAAATAGTGCTGCAATAATTTAACTTTCAACTTCAAATGTACAGACAATGCTATTATATTGTGTACTGTACAGACAGTGTTATTATATTGTGTGATGTACAGACAATGTTATTATACTGTGAGATCTACACAGCTATCCTATTGTGTACTGTACTATGTTATCATATTGTGTACTGTACTATGTTATCCTATTGAGTACTGTACAATGTTATCCTATTGTGTACTGTACAAAGCTATCCTATTGTGTACTGTACAGAAAAGGGCTACCCAGCACCAAATAAGTACAACATGATGAGAACGTTTGACTGGGGGAGATGTAAAGGGATAACGCTCAAGAAACGAGTTTTTCCCCCTGATAAAGGTACGAGTTTTGTAATACACGATTCTACTACTTTCTTTAATCCCTTTAAATTACCATTTACATTGCCTTATATATTGTCGTGTATAATTTCATTTATAGCGTCAATTATACTTTCATTTATCCATAAATGCCGTTTGACATTCATCGACTTATCCAGGACTCCTGACTCCCGCCTCAGCAGGACGTCGTTGGCACTTCCATGACCGTCACACGTGCGTCAGCTGTGGCGATCAACACAACGTTCAATCATCGTTATCCGTGAATCGATCGTATCGATAATCCAGTTATCCTTCTGTCTATTCACAGACTCTTTGACATTGATATCGTTTGGGTTTACATCAATATGTATGAATAAATAAATTATATATCAATCCAATAAAGGTTTATAGGCCGTGGAACCTTTATTTCAAACCTATTTACGTATTTATCCATCCAACTATCATCTGTTTATCAATCCATCCATCCATGCATAATCTTTTATTCATCCATCGACCCATCCAGCCATCAATGGTTCATCCATACATCTATCACATATTTATCAATTCAACACTCATCAACTGCTTATTCATTATCTCTTTTATCTACAACCTATCCATCCATTAACCGTATGTTTATCTATGCATCCATTGACCTAAGCATCTAATCCTCAAAACCAACTCCTGCACCGCTCTGTCACTAAAGTCACATCATGTATGTCATATGTCACTAACATCACATCATCTATGTCATCTGTCACTATCGTCACATCACGTATGTCATCTGTTGCTAGTGTCACATCATGCATGTCATCTGTCGCTAACATAACATCATGTATGGCATCTGTCGCTAACATCACATCATGTATGTCATCTGTCACTAACGTCACATGATGGAAATCGTCTGTCGCTAACATCACATCATGTATGTCGTCTGTCACTAACGTCACATCATGTATGGCATCTGTCGCTAACATCACATCATGTATGTCATCTGTCACTAACGTCACATCATGGAAATCGTCTGTCGCTAACATCACATCATGTATGTCGTCTGTCACTAACATCGCATCATGTATGTCATCTGTCGCTAACATCACATCATATATGTCGACTGTCACTAACGTCAAATCATGTATGTCATCTGTCGCTAACATCACATCATGTATGTCGTCTGTCACTAACGTCACATCATGTATGTCATCTGTCATTATCGTCACATCAAGTATGTCATCTGTCACTAACATCACATCATGTATGTCATCTGTCGCTAACATCACATCATGTATGTCGACTGTCACTAACGTCACATCATGTATGTCATCTGTCGCTAACATCACATCATGTAAGTCGTCTGTCGCTAACATCACATCATGTATGTCAGCGCTCACTGATCAACATTACAATCCAAGAAAATGCCGACGTGAGAAAATAGCATTCTCATGTTCGTATACCACTCCCATGTTCTTATTAAATTCCCATGTTATTATAGCATTCTTTTGTTCTTAGAGCATTCCTATGTTCTTATTGTCTTCTCATGTTCTTATAGATCTCCAATGTTCGTATACATCTCCCATGTTCTTATTAAATTCCCATGTTATTATAGCATTCTTTTGTTCCTAGAGCATTCCTATGTTCTTATTGTCTTCCCATGTTCTTATAGCACTCAAATGTTCGTATACCACTCCCATGTTCTTATTAAATTCCCATGTTGTTATAGCATTCTTTTGTTCTTAGAGCATTCCTATGTTCTTATTGTCTTCTCATGTTCTTATAGATCTCCAATGTTCGTATACCACTCCCATGTTCTTATTAAATCACCATGTTATTATAGCATTCTCTTGTTCTTAGAGCATTCCTATGTTCTTATTGTCTTCCCATGTTCTTATAGCACTCTCATGCTCTTGTATAACTGGCATGTCTTATAGCATTCCTATGTTCTTAAAGCACCCCGATGTTCTTATAGCACTCACAAGTTCTCATAACATTCCCATGTTCTAATAGCAGTCCCATGTTCTTATAACATTCCCATGTTCTTATAGCACTCACGTGTTCTTATAACATTCCCATGTTGTTATAACATTCCCATGTTGTTATAACATTCCCATGTTGTTATAACATTCCCATGTTCTTATTTTTGTTGCCGCCATTAAACAGACACTAAACTATTACCTGGACCCGCCAATTATGCACCATCACGTGACATCAGCACTGGTCCCAAGTACTCGATAGGACTTAAACAGGACAAGGTGATCCCAGGCTTGATGAGCAGACTCGCTCAGATTATAGGTATGTAACTGTTCTTCGAGTTGTTCCAATACAACGTCTACCTATTGCATTTGTGCTATCACGCATGGACTATTGCAATGCTCTCATGGTGGGTCTTCCAGCTACGCTCCTGGATAAAATTCAAATAGCACAGAAAAATGCGGCTCGCATAGTTCTCCGCAAACGCAAATTCGACCATGCAAAAACACTTCTGAGAGAGTTGCATTGGCTGCCGGTGCGTGCTCGCATAGAGTACAAAATCGCAACTTTGTGCTACCGCTGCTTACATGACCTGGCGCCGTCCTATCTGAAAGAGCTGCTGACGCCTTATGTACCCAGTAGAGAGCTCCGCTCATCCGATAGTGGCAAACTCTCGACACCACGTGTTTGCCTTGAGACTTACGGAAAGCGCACTTTCGCATTTGCTGGTCCAACAATTTGGAACGCCCTTCCTGTCGATCTTAGAAACAACCAGACACTGGAGTCCTTTAAAACAGATCTAAAGACACATCTATTTCGCAAATACCTTCTGGGATGATTGTCTACCTTATTTTCCATGTGTTGCTGTGTTGCTCCGGGTTGAAATGGCTAGAAAGACTTTGATATTGTATGCTTGTAATTAGTTTTTGTAGTGTTGTGTTTGTTTTAAATGTGGTGAATTATAGATATGTTTTTTGTTGACTTTGTACCGCGCTTCGAGCCTTTGGGGATGAAGCGTGTTTTTTTTAATGAACTTTATTATTATTATTATTTACCTGACAGCGATTTGTCATATGACAGTCGCTGTCATATGATAATTTCAGTCGTATGACATTTGCAGCCATATCTTGACAAGTCATATCCACATAGCTTCAACGTAAACTTTTAAGAATCAAATTCCCCATAATTAGGACATACCACCTGCTAAGATATTCTAATGTATCCCCACACATGTTATATCCATGTATGCACACAGGTATGACGTTATATCCAATTATCCACAAGGGTATCCCTCTGCTCTATGTGTTAAATATCGGGCCAGTAAAGCAAGTAGAAACTTTGGCGTAGTGGAGTCGAGTCAGTATCAATGTCTTCGAGTCAGTGACGGTGTGTTCGAGTCAGTGACAGTGTGTTCGAGTCAGTGACGTAGTGTTCGAGTCAGTGACAGTGTGTTCGAGTCAGTGACAGTGTGTTCGAGTCAGTGACAGTGTGTTCGAGTCAGTGACAGTGTGTTCGAGTCAGTGACAGTGTGTTCGAGTCAGTGACAGTGTGTTCGAGTCAGAATCAAAGTGGCATAGGTTAAGAAGAAGCAGCGCTAAAACATGAAATACTTTAATGAAAAATTAATCGATTTTACTTAAATAGGTGTGTCTGAATTAATGATTTAGTTGTTAGCAATCATTGGCGTAGTAAGGGGGTGAGCGGTGTGCCATCCGCCTATGGTGGACTTTTTTTGTTGTAGACACAACGAGGGGTGGAATTTTCGTCCAACTGAAGAGGGATGTGAGGGATGCAACAATCTTAATCCACCCCGGATGGCACTTAGCCTCGCTACGCCTATGGCAGTTACCCTCACTACACCTATAGCACTTCCCCTCGCTACGCCTATGCACTTCCCCTCGCTACACCAATGAAACTTATCCTCGCTTCGCCTATGGCACTTACCCTCGCTACACCTATGGTACTTAACCTCGCTACGCCTATGGCACTTACCCTCGCTACGCCTATGGCACTTACGCTCGCTACACCTATGGCACTTACCCTCGCTACACCTATGGCACTTACCCTCGCTACACCTATGGCACTTACCCTCGCTACACCTATCGCAGATATAACTGTCGTTAAAACTATTAATAATTTTTCATTGAATAATATCTAACAATTTGTTAAGCTATGTGATTCTAATAATCAAGTTTGTCACCAGAGAACCCGAACCGTTCAGAATAGTAGACTTGCTCTTAAATCAACTAAGATTACAGCTGTCTATGCCACGGCTGCAATCAACTTTGGTTTGAGTTGTCTATCATGGGATGATCTCGCTTTGACTTTTACTTTATATATAAAGTGTTGAGCGAAATGTTAACTTAATTTATTTTTAAATATGTGTGCGTTTGTCAACTACCTAAATGTAGTTTATACTAGAACACACAAGTCATACGACATTGTCAAAACATCTTATCATTGCACAGTTTTAATTCACTGCCACGTCACCTATTTTACAGGACACACATCTTGGCTATTCTTTTGTTCCAGAAACTGATTAGTGTCTTTATTATTTGTCTTTTCAAAATGGGTCTCTAAAAGATACTTACCCTTTCTTTCGGTATTATTTCAACTGAGTGCCCAAAGGCTAGGGCCCTTTATTTCAACTGAATGCTATGAGCATAAAGGCTAGGTCTCTTTGTTTCAGCTGAATGCTATGAGCATAAAGGCTAGTTCTCTTTATTTCAACTGAATGCTATGAGCATAAAGGCTAGGTCTCTTTATTTCAACTGAATGCTATGAGCATAAAGGCTAGGGCTCTTTATTTCAACTGAATGCTAAGAGCCCAAGGACTAGGGCAGTTTCTAGATGTTTAGCCGTGTTTTGCCACCCTAGGCGATTATGGAAAAGTGCCGCCCCTCATTTTTGCTAACATCACTTCACCCCCACACCCCGGGGTCGTCTAGGCTTGAATAATTACTTCATTAGATATAAAAGATCTTGTGTTCAACATTAAATAATCATTTTAATTTTTTTTTAATTTCCTCAATTTCATTACCCCCCCCCCTTCCTAATTTTCTCAGTTCGTTTTGCTGTTTGATTTAGTGCCCCCCCTAAATTGTTTCCTAACTAAGCGACCACCTATAGGCTTGAATAATTACTTCATTAGATATACAAGTACTTGTGTTCAACATTAAATAATCATTTTAATTTTTTTTTAATTTCCTCTATTTCATTACCCCCCCCCCTTCCTAATTTTCTCAGTTCGTTTTGCTGTTTGATTTAGTGCCGCCCCTAAAATGTTGCCTAACTAAGCGACCACCTAGTCTTGTCTAGCGCTAGAAACGGCTCCGAGAGATCCCTAAAATGTTGCCTAACTAAGCGACCACCTAGTCTTGCCTAGCGCTAGAGACGGCTCTGAGAGACCCCTAAAATGTTACCACCCTGGGCTGCCGCCTAGTCTTCCCTAATAGTATAAACGGCCCTGCTAAGGGCAGCAATCGCATTGTCTTACCAGCGTCATCGTTGTCTATTCCCTCAGACCCCAACAACCCAGGTCCGAGTTTCATCCCGCCTGAAGATGACTGGTTGCAAAAGCCAAAGTCTTTCGGTATCAAGCCGAAGAGTGCAAAGCCGCCATCAGGGCCAGGTAGGGATCTCATCATTAAATTATTCGGAGGGAAACACCTGGGATATAAGTACTGTAAGTTTCTGTTCGATTCGATCTAGTTTCTTCAATGTGAACTATGTGGCCTGGCATGTCAAAGTAACTTCCTGACCTGGCATCTCAAACTTCCTGAAATGAGATCTCAAATTACCTTTCTGACCTGGCATCTCAAACTTCCTGAAATGTTATCTCAAATTACCTTCCTGACCTGGCATCTTAACTAATTTTCTGAGCTGTCATCTGAAACTAACTTCCTGAAATGTCATCTCAAATTACCTCCCTGACCTGTCATCTCAAAATAATCACTAAGATTTAGTTTATCTCCCATTTATTATTGTATCTCACTATGTGTAGATTGTTTAAAACAACGGAACGCGTCAGAAAAGTACTTTTTTCTCCCCCCCCCCCAGGACCTGGCAAGTACAATTTCCGAAGTAAATTTGATGGTCCGAAGTGGAAGCATGGTTTGAGACTCCCCTCTGATCGCATTGAAGGTAAGATAGTTTTCTTCGGCCCATAAAGAATGGTCGCAACAAATGTTATATCAATTTCACAGCCGTAACAAAATGGTCGCAACATAGGTAATATCAATTTCATCAGCCCTTAACAAATTAGAAGTGGTTCAAGTTTTGACCAAACAAATACAAACTAACTGAAAGCCCCGGACTGAGCTAAATTAACACATCATCCATTCACAACAATTGTGCGCAAAGATTCTATTCATGGACATCAGTATCTTACGGGGAATCCCATGGACTATCACAAACGTTTAAGTATGAAACCACTGAAGAGATCACCTGTGTATAGAGAGCCCATTGGTATGTATAATCAACTGGTATATGCAGTCCCCTGGTTTATACGACATTCCTTTAGTTTCACACAATCCCCTGGTATATACATTCCCTGGTAATAAGGGGGAGAGACTGCAATCAGGTTAGACAAAAAGGAAATGAGTGAAAGAAAGTATTTGGAAACCTACAACAAGGTACGCAACAAAACAACGAACATGTCGACCGGAAGTCTTCGTCAGCGAATAAACAACAGAAATAACAGAAAATTTTTTTTAAAAAGCATTTAGCTGAAAAGTAGTGTCCGAGAGGACAGCAAACGAATACAAACATTCCCCTATTATGTACAATCCCTGGTATCGACATTCCCCTGATGATACACATTTCCCAATTCACCAACTGCCGTCCACCATGTGATTCTGAGACCAATTGATCTGAATCTTTTGCCTAGATCTGCCGGGCCCAGCATCGTATGACAATAAGCCTTCTATTGGCGAAGGTCCCAAGTATCACATAGGAAAGGCGATACCCATAAGCCGAAATAAATGTAAGTGTAAATTATAGCTATGGCTTTTTAATGATCATAAACAATGATATCCCGCTATGGAATTAAAGATCTTGCTATCGGCGGATAAATATGTCATCAAATATATTTATTGTTAACATAGCATATATATTTTATATATATATATATATATATATTGTTAAAATATTATGTATGTTCCGTATTATACTGTTTTTATGTATAGTTTTCTGATTTGGAGTTCGAATGGATTTTTTTTTTTTAAACAAACATAAATGAAGAATAAATAAAGATGAACAGATATTTTCGGGCGGCTAATTGACCTATCGAGCTGAAACTTGGGTCATAGACTCGGTACCGATGACAACACATTCTATCAAATGTTTAGTCTCACTTCTAACTGCAGCACCCAACAATAAGTTGTTCCTCTTTTTCAAGGGGAATATGAAGGGAAATATGATAACACTGATTTCACGAAATAAAATTCCCGATAATTGCGCTAAATAAGAGTCTTTAGACAAATATCGCCAGTGCGTTCGGTGTGTGATACTTTCTTTTTTGTTTCTTAAATAGTTAGTTTATAAATATGCCGTGTAAGAACAAAGTGGATCATAAGAATATTAATAAAAAAATAATATAATAAAAAATGAATAAACAGCATTTATAGGAACAACTTTGTTGCTAAGGGTCGTTTAATTGTTTATTCCCCTTGAAAAAAAAAAGTATTTTAATCATTTAATTTATAATCAAGATATATATTTATATAATGTTTGTTAATTGATTGCATGATTTCAAACAAAATTCCATGAAAACAATCCATTCACTTTTTTGTTTCCCTTCCTTTTTAAACAATTTAATTTTTCGTTCCTATAGCAACGTTGTTAGAACCTGAAGGAGCAACTGTGTTTCTCTGGTAATGACTTTGTCGATTACTTAATATCCTCAGTTGTAAAACCAGAACTAGACGTTTGTCTCTCTGTTAATGACTTTGTCTATGGCTTTGTCTATGACTTAACTTCCTCAGTTGTCACACCGGGACCGGACATGTACAACAGAGCTGGGTTCAGGCTGGACGAGCCAGGTTACACACTGAAGTACAGGTGGTTTGACCAGGCCAAAAGTAAGTGGCCACAGGCGTTTGTGTGCGTTGGGGGATGGTGGGAGAAACAGAGATGGTAGATCAGTGCTAGGATGGGGGGCAGCTCCCCTTCCATATCCGTCATTGTGAAACCTCGTACACTTTCAAAAAGTCCCTTAAAACCCATCTGTTTCGGTCCGCCTATGACCTGTGATGCACCCTCCTTGCCCTGCCTCGTTTTCTGTCTCGGGTTGATCCTGTAGTATAGACCAAAACGTGCCAGTGTCCTCGTTTTATAGCCATTTTAATTGTTTCTATAGTATAGTAGTTACTATCCTAGTGTCTCATTTTTATTTTACTTAGTTTACATGTTTTTAATAATTGTAAAGCGTTTAGAGCTTTAAGGTAAGCGCTATATAAAAATGCCTAAATAAATAAATACATTTTAGGTCAGTACTAGGGTGGAAGGCAAGAGAGGATGCAAGAGGAGACGGTAAAGTTTAGGGTAAATCAAAATTTCTATAGTTTAGGTATCTCAACAAAGTTAACAAGATCCATGCAAATGAAAAAAAAAATGTTAAGGATAAAAAAATAAACCAAAAAAATATATTTTTGAGACTAAAATAAGGTCAAGTATCAGATTTCAAGGGCGGGCGGAATTGTTGTTACATATGTTTCAATACCAACTGATATATTGATATAAGAACTAAAACTAAGACCATCGGTGAACGCTCCTTCTGCTTCCATGGGCCCACGTTCTGGAACCAGCTCCCCTTCCATATACGTCATAGTGAAACCTCGTTCATTTTCAAAAAGTCCCTTAAAACTCATCTGTTTAGGTCCGCCTATGACCTGTGATGCACCCTCCTTGCCCTACCTCATTTTCTGTTTCGGGTTGATCCTGAAGTGTCAAAGTGTCCTCGTTTTATAGCCATTTTCATTGTTCCTATAGGATAGTAGTTACTATCCTAGTGTCTCATTTGTATTTACTTAGTTTACATGTTTTAATAATTGTATAGCGCTTAGAGCTTTATGATAAGCGCTATATAAAAATGCCTAGATAAATAAATAAATAAATATATTGTGTTATAATACTATTAAATTTCCCTTTCAACGATAATACTACCAATGATGTATTTTCACTATGTAGAGATCGTTTTCTTTGATACTGCCAAAAAAATGATTGGATGTTCAAAGACACATTTACAAAGTATGTTCGATAGGCTTTAGAAGCAACTTTCCATCACTTGTATTCATGAGCGCTGCTCTATTTACTTAGGTGGAATAATCAATCACTTGTATTTAGGAACTATACTCTATTAACCTTAGGTGCAACTATCGATCACTTGCATTCAGGAGCTGTACCAGAACCAAAACCAGAAAACTCAGTGCCGCTAGATAGAGTTCGAAAATGTATCCCAAAAAATCAGGGGCCCCGCACGTTGCCGTAGTATATTTATAATATATCTAAGCCTACTAATATTTCCTAATCGCGTCAACACAATATTCGGAGTTATTAGATAGTCACGTGGTCAGAAGGTCAGTCGGGCTCTCATACTATCCCTTTGAGATGAATCTCGGGAAGACCTCAGGGCGCATGTTAAGCAGACGAAAGGGAATTTTTTTACTGTATAATATAGACTATAACGTGTCTTGATATCCTATTGGCAGAATATATAAGGTCAACGGCCCAGTAAAATTCAATTAGCCCAAGGTCCCGCACCCTCCTAGCGCCGGCCCTGCAAAAATCATCAATTTCCTTTGCTACTGTCTGCCATTGGTGGGGCTGGATATGGCAAAAATATCTTGATCTCTTCTGTTAATGTCCCAGACCTCAACCAGGTCAACGTACGTTTTTTACCTTTATTTCAATTGGTTTGTTTCCCAGAGAAAACCCCTGGGCCCAGCAGCTACCATTGTCATACTGACGCCATCAAAGTCAAGAACCCTGCGTACAGCATAAAGCACAAATGCAAGACAACATACCCCAGCTACATCTACGCAGGAGGTGAGCCGACAAGACATTGGGTTTGAGAGATGTGTTGAAATGCCACGTGATAGTGCGAGAGTGGACGGATAACTGACCAGACATAGGATGGTGAAGGTTGTTGACAATGGATTGGATAGACGATTCACGTGTAGTGGATTGGATAGATAGAAGCACGTTTTCTGGATTGAATAGGTAGAGGCATATTTATTTTGGATAGATAGAGGCATCTTTAGCAGTAGTTGTACATTTGGGAACTCTCCAATCAGTACAGGTATCCTCAAAAGACATAGTCTTAGATCAATACAAAATTGTCTAGAAGCAAAACTTCTTCAAGAAGGGCGCGCGAAACGATGGGGTGTGGTCTGGGGCGTAAATGGCCTGACCGAAACACTGAGTAGAGGGGGGAGGGGGCTAGAAGCCCTCAAAACAATGCAATCGATAATGTGTACCCGAATGTTAACTTTAAAAGGACATGTACTTTAACACTGACATGGGGCAGAATAGGGCGCATAATCTATTGTCAATAGGCACAGTTCATAAACAGACAATCCAAACAAGTCAAAATATTAGTTGACTACCTAAACACTACCTAAACCCTATCAAACAGTTGAGCCATGAGAGAAGCATTGCTTAGGCATAGAACGTAAACACTCCCTAGACCCATGAGAGAAGGATTGCTTAGGCATAGAACGTAAACACTCCCAAGACCCATGAGAGAAGAATTGCTTAGGCATAGAACGTAAACACTCCCTAGACCCATGAGAGAAGGATTGCTTAGGCATAGAACGTAAAAACTCCCTAGACCCATGAGAGAAGGATTGCTTAGGCATAGAACGTAAACACTCCCAAGACCCATGAGAGAAGGATTGCTTAGGCATAGAACGTAAACACCCCCAAGACCCATGAGAGAAGGATTGCTTAGGCATAGAACGTAAACAAACACTCGCAAGTTGTTGTTTTCGTGATCAAATAATTTCACACAGATATCTGAACGTCAAAGATTGAAGCTTCTGGTCAACCAATTCGGCATTGTTCAAGAATACGTTAATTTGTGTATTGACTTATTGATTACCAGATGTTAACTTTCGTGGAACAGTATACGTATGTATCCAATATCTTAAGAACGCTACAGCGGTTCTTATTCATAAAACACGAAAACAAATTGTATATAGCTCTCGTATCGTGATTCGTGAAATATGGAAACATCACTTTCTCCGCCCAGATTATGATTCACTGAAACTGTAGCTTGGGATTACGGAATTCACCGTGGGTGCCAATTAAAAAAACCACAAATCACTTGGGAACATTGCCTACATTGCAAATTGTGAGTAAAACAGCTACGTTCGATGTCCTTGCTACGCAAGTCAAGGCGTCATGTGTATAGTTATCAGAGTCATATATACAATTTCAAAATCACTGACCACTTAGCTATCGATTTTTAAAAGTAGCATATCAATGTGTCCCATTAAAAATAAAAACACTTCATTTCCGACATGCGTTGTTGCAGAGTATGCCCTCAAAGGTCCCGGGCCAGCTGATTATGACATCTCAAGAAACGTTGAAAACAAAGGAAAGTCTTTTGGTGAATCTCATCGTACAGTTATGGAGGACCCAAGTAAGTAGGTCAGGCTATAGAGGACACAAGTAAGTAGATCAGGCTATAAAGGAGCTATGTAAGTATGTCAGGCTATAGAGGACGTAAGTAAGTAGGTCAGACTATAGATGACCCAAGTAAGTAGGTCATGTTATAAAGGACCTAAGTAAGTAGGTCAGAGTATAGAGGACGCAAGTAAGTGGGTCAGGCTATAGAGGAGCCAAGTAATTAGGTCAAGCTATGGAAGACCCATGTAATTAGATCAGTCTATAGGGAACCCAAGTAGGTAGGTCAGGCTAATCTACGTTCTGAATCGGGTCGAAATGAATATAAAAGCAACCAGGTCGGATTAATGAACGTTCTGAAGCAGGGACTAAGGATAGGGAAGCCAGTAGGTTAGATTAAAAAAGGCTCTGGTGTGGGTCGAATTGATAAGGAAGTAAGTAGGTCCGGTTAAACAAATGTCTGAATAGGGTCGAAAAGTTTTGGGAAGTAAGTAGGTCCGGTTAAACAAAGCTCTGAAGTGGGTCAAAATGATCGGGTTGTGTCTGCTTAAAGGAAATGACGTTGTTGAGAGGCGGGTGTTGCAGGGACTGACAATCCTGCACCGTGACGTCGCTCTTGGGGGCTGGGGGGGGGGCGCGAGTTACTCTAACGATTCGTGACGTAGCCAAGCAAAACACTTAAGACTCTACTGGTTACTTAATTCATGGAAACTTGTGCTCATCATTTTATTAGTTATTTTGTGTGACTAAGACATGTGAGAATGGTGGTTTCGGTAAAGGACAGGAAATGATTTTTTTTTTTGTAAAGGAAAGTTGGGTACGGACAAATCCAATGGTTCTTTAAGAAAACTTTCGGGGGAAACTTGTTTCCCCAACCCCCTCAAAAAACAAAAACACCCCCCCCCTCTGAAACCCATTATTTTCCTCCAATTTTTTTTTGTAAAGGAAAGTTGGGTACGGACAAATCCAATGGATCTTTAAGAAAACTTTCGGGGGAAACTTGTTTCCCCAACCCCCTCAAAAAACAAAAACACCCCCCCCCTCTGAAACCCATTATTTTCCTCCATGAAGTAACACCAACGCCCATTTTTGCACCCTCGCTAGTCTGATGACTGCGGGTATCTCTGCCTCCTCTGCCTCCTTTAGATACACCTCTGGTCACTGCCACTGCTCAATTGAAATAAGAATCTGAAATGCCCCTTTCCCCCCCCCCCTTCCCTCCCGTGGACATTGTTTGAAAGAATAACTGGACACAAGACATGCTTGATATGAAAATACTTACTACCAGAACAACAAGGTCACGTGGTTTGGTTGTACTGGAGTTTTTTTTTTTCCTCAAATGCAAAGCAAAGTCAGCAAGTGGGAGATGGAGAGAACGAGAGAGAGAGAGAGAGAGAGAGAGAGAGAGAGAGAGAGAGAGAGAGAGAGAGGGAGAGCGAAGGAGGGAGGGAGAGAGAGAGAGAAAAAAAAAAAAAACGGAGACGGAGAGAGGGAGAGAGATAGAGAGAGAAGAGAGAGAGAAAGAGAGAGAGAGAGAGAGAGAGAGAGAGAGAGAGAGAGAGAGAGAGAGAGAGAGGAAGAGCGAAGAAGGGAGGGAGAGAGAGAGAGAAAAGAAAACAAAACGGAGACTGAAAGAGGGAGAGTGATAGAGAGAGAATGAACGAAAGAGAAGGTAGGAGGAGATTAAGAGAGCGGCTGAGGATGAAGGAGGAATGTGGAGGATAATATCGATACCTAATTAGATGAATGAAAACTTTAGGTTTAGCTGCAAATGAGACCTGAACAAACAGAACTACAAATGAGACCAGCACAATTACAACTGCAAATGAGACCACAAGAAACAGAACTGCAAATGAGACCTTTACAAACAGAACTGCAAATGAGACCTGAACAAGCAGAACTGAAAATGAGACCTGATGAAACAAAACTGCAAATGAGACCTGAACAAACAGAACTGCAAATAAGAACTGAACAAGCAAAACTGAAAATGAGACCTGATGAAACAGAACTGCAAATGAGACCAGATCAAACAGAACTGCAAATGATATCTGAACAAACAGAACTGCTAATGAGACCTGAACAATCAGAACTATAAATGAGACCTGAACAAAACGAACTGCAAATGAGACATGAACAAATAGAACTGCAAATGAGACCTGAACAAACAGAACTGCAAATGACACCTGAACAAGCAGAACTGAAAATGAGACCTGATGAAAAAAAACTGCAAATGAGACCTGAACAAACAGAACTGCAAATGATACCTGAACAAGCAGAACTGAAAATGAGACCTAAACAAACAGAACTGCAAATGAGACTTGAACAAACAGAACTACAAATGAGACCAGAACAAATAGAACTGCAAATGAGACCACAAGAAACAGAACTGCAAATGAGACCTGAACAAACAGAACTACAAATGAGACCATAACAAATAGAACTGCAAATGAGACCAGAAGAAACAGAACTGCAAATGAGACCTGAACAAAGAGAACTGCAAATAAGACCTGAAAAAACAGAACTGCAAATGAGACTTGAACAAACAGAACTGCGAATGGGACTTGAACAAACAGAACTGCCAATAAGACCTGAAGAATCAGAACTGCAAATGAGACCTGAACAAACAGAACTGCAAATGAGACCTGAACAAACAGAACTGCAAATGAGACCAGAACGAAAAGAAATGCAAATGAGACCTTTACAAACAACGTCAAATAAGACATTTACAAACAGAACTGCTGATGAGAGTCGCATAAATAAAACTGCAAATGAGACCTGAACAAACAGTAGCAAATGAGACCGAAGCAAACAGAACTGCCAGAGGCATACCTGGCATAAAAACATCGTTAAAGCCTAATAGAATAATTCATTATGGCATAACACAACGGTTGCTTTAACAACCAGACAACAGTTTGTCAAAGAAAAAAAACCCAATCAACTCAGCACCAGCCCAGAACGAACCAAGTGCATTTGCGCTGCTGCCCCTCCGTAAAAAAAAATTACCTTCATACCTGACCCACATTTTAAACAAACTCCGCCACGATTTAAGCTTGCCGTATGTTACCTGGATGCCTGAAGCAGTAAGTAAGTTAGGATAAGTAATGTTTCAGCCATATGGACATAGATTAAACATGATTTGATTCAGCTCTCCTTGTCACACACGTCCGATGTAATTCTGCTGTGTGCAGTGCCAGAGTTCTGGAGCGCAGACCCGTATACGATCACCAGATCTACTTACTTTGATTTGATGAGAGACTTGGTTGTTTCGTAGGAGGGCGTAATTAACCAACATCTAGTGTATACCAAGGCTTCTTTACCGGTATATTTAAGATATTTGTACACTTACCTTTCGATTCATCTTGTTTCTCATTACTGGATACTTTTTTGCCATTGTGCTCATACATTCAATGAGGTTTACATCCAGTGAGTGAGGCTTACATCCAGTGAGTGAGGTTTACATCAAGTAAATGAGGTTTATATTGCAAGCTGAGGCTTTCTTCATATCCTATTTAATATAACTCTTCAACGCTTTAGTGAGCGATAACAGATGGCATTGGATCTAATGGGTGAATTACTGTTAGAATCACTGGAGCTACGAGTGCAGGAGAAATGCCAAGAGTTAAAGAGTTTAAATTAAGAATAAGAGATAAGTCATTAAGCTCCACACAAAAAGGGGGGGGGGGTGGTGGTGGACATTAAAGGACTGATAACTCAATTGATTTGTTTTGCTGACGTAAGCGGACAGTCGTATCTAGACATGACCTGCTATTTCAAGGATTCTCAAACGATTTGTAAAGTTAAACTTGGTGGGTTTTTTTTTGTTTTTTTTTTTTTAAATTATCTGGTATTTAATCTTGAAAAGTCAAAATGGTTTAGGTCATTGTGACAGACCCGTTCTTAGGCATACGCTGACTACGCATCTGCGAAGGGCCCCGAACGTGAGGGGGCCCCCGTGAGGCACCCTCGATCCCCCGTTTTTTTTTTTAAAACTGGCACTGAAGCCGTCTGTGTCACTCACGTTACCTTCCTCATCCTGAAATGTATCATTCTGAGTTGAATTCGGAGGCAGGGGAAGGGAAGCAGCAGGGGAAGCTTTGGGGGGGGGGGGGATGGTGGCAGACAGGAAATCGGGGGCTTGGCCGTGGGAATGGGAAAGAGGAAACATTGATGAAGGCAGAATGGAGGTGCCGCAGAGGTGGGTGGTGTTTTCTCCTCAGCTTAAGGGAGCTCCTCCCCCGACCCCCCTTCCGGGGCCCCCAACCTACGCTACATGCCCCCAAACTCCTAAGAATGGCTCTGATTGTGGCATTTAGTTGGCAAAGGACGTGAGGGCTTGGGATATGCTGCTGAATTGTTTCACAATTTGAATTTAGATCGATTGTTTTGGATATGCGATGATGCTTTAATATAACACACGTTATGCGAGTACGACTGCATCCAAAAGAAGTTGACTCATCAGTAAGATAGCATTACTGATGCCACTGGACCAACTTTTTCATCCCAGTCTGCAATGATTGAACGTAACAAATGTGTCATCCCAGTCTGCAATGATTGAATGTATCAAATGTGTTCTCCCAGTCTCCAATGATTAAATGTATCAAATGTGTCCTCCCAGTCTCCAATTATTAAATGTATCAAATGTGACATCCCGGTCTGCAATGATTGAACGTAACAAATGTGTCATCCCAGTCTGCAATGATTGAATGTATCAAATGTGTTCTCCCAGTCTCCAATGATTAAATGTATCAAATGTGTCCTCCCAGTCTCCAATTATTTAATGTATCAAATGTGACATCCCGGTCTGCAATGATTGAATGTATGAAATGTGTCATCCCAGTCTCCAATTATTAAATGTATCAAATGTGACATCCCGGTCTGCAATGATTGAATGTATGAAATGTGTTATCCCAGTCTGCAATGGTTGCTTGTATCAAATGTGTCCTCCCAGTATGCAACGATGGATTGTATCAAATGTGTCCTCCCAGTCTGCAATCATTGAATGCAATATCTAAGCTAAAGCTCCATTACATGGGAGTTATCATGAAATATAATATAGAATATTTTTTTTTTCAAACTTGTGCAAGTCTCACACAGTTTGAGAACAGCTCTTGCCCTGATAAAAGCTATTTATTTGACAGTGATGAAAGTGATGTGAAGGGAATGAAATCAGATATGACACTGTTGATGATCGGCTTGTAGATGTCTGGTGGGATGAGGTGGGGCATTGACACGACCAGTGCTGCACTTGGGACTTGGCTGGAGAGCTGAATGTCAGGGGAAGTTATAATTCGTGGCAAATCACTTGAGGAAGGGCACATCATGTCAACCCAGATCATAAGTGTAGTGAGGATAGCTAGAAACTATACTTAATGGAGGATTACTTAAACAAAATATGAAGTAGTTAGATGTGCAGAGGGGATTTCACCATTGTTCGACCAGTTCAGGAAATTCCCCCTAGCTCATCATTCAGTCAACTTATAGACACGGATCAAAGTAATAGAACTTGCTGCCCATCACGTGATCAACTTACAGAGATAAACTGGGAGATAACATGCGCTCACTAGTTAACACAGGTGATGGTTCACTAGAAAATACGAGTGATGGCTCACCAGTGAATACGAGTGATGGTGCACCAGTTAACAAGAGTGATGGTTCACTAGTGAACACAAGTGATAGCTCACTAGTGAATACGAGTGATGGTGCACTAGTTAACGTGTGTGATGGTTCACTAGTGAACACAAGTGATAGCTCACTAGTGAATACGAGTGATGGTGCACTAGTTAACGTGTGCGATGGTTCACTAGTGAGCACGAGTGATGATTCGCCAGAAACCAAAGAGTACTCCAGAATTTTCGCAGCTAGGAAGACAAGGAATTCCAAATCCCGCATTGCACTGTTCAAGATATTTCTTGCTAATTATTTGTCTTCTTCCTTCAAATCTTTTTTTCTTTCGTTCGACGCCTGAAGATAAATCACGAAGCGTGGGGCTAGAAATCACGCCGTCTCTGCACGCTGCGTGGCGTCACGTCTCTATATTTAGCTACTTTGTGTGATTGTAGAGAGTGGGGTGGTTTTTGTGGTCACGGCGCGTTGGACGCCAGTGTCTCGGCAGGACTAGTTTTCAATCAAGCGGCTCAACAGGAAGCCTTCGGAAAGGGTTCTACCTTGACTCATGCTTAACCTGTAGGCGTTTAGGATTAATACAATCATTTTGCTCGAGCTCGGTATCTGGAGTTTTTGTATGGAATTTCTTGACATGCGTAGAAGCTGGAGCAGGTTATAGTCAATATTCTGGTTTGATATTGTAAGATGGAGCAGGTTATTATCAATACCCTGGTTTCATATTGTAAGATGGAGCAGGTTATTATCAATACCCTGGTTTCATATTGTAAGATGGAGCAGGTTATTGTCAATACCCTGGTTTGATATTGTAAGATCGAGCAGGTTATTGTCAATACCCTGGTTTGATATTGTAAGATGGAGCAGGTTTTTTCAATATGTTGGTTTGATATTGTAATATATCGCAGGTTATTGTAATTATCCTTGTAATATAGTGTAATCTTATGTTTGTTATGCGTGTTATTTAGAGTAATTTATTCGAGAATCTCTTAAAATAATGAACTCAAACTCCTTGTCCCGCTACACAAAAAGCCCACTAACGGCTGTGCAAACTCTATAGCATTTGGGTCAAAAACCTTCTTTCTTATTTTAACTTTTCGAAATCTGCCACAGACTATGAGAATCAGACATCAGTGTATACTTTGACAGTTTCACAGCCATGGGGCTAGGCGACAACATTAGGTTTACAGAGCTCTTTTTTTTCTTTTTGTGATTTCACAAACAACATTAGGTTTAGAGAGTTCAGTTTGCTTCTGTGATTTCACAACCAACATTACATTTAGAGAGTTTCGTTTCTTTCTGTGATTTCTTTCACACACAACCTTAGATTTAGAGACTTCCTTTTATTTCTGTGCTTTCGGCGTAAGAATGTCAACATCAAAATCATACTCTTTGGTAAAATAACATAACGAATTATGTATGGTAAACATAACATCATTACATAATATACAGGCAACCATTTACATTAAATTTTAAATTTGAATAAAAAAAGATGGCACTGAGTTAGCTATAAGCTCTTTTCTGTTAGCTTTGATCTATAAGCTATAATCTGTAAGCTATAAACTATAATCTATAAGTTATAATCTATAAGGTATAATATATAATCTATACGCTATAATCTATAAGCTATAATATATAAGCTATAAACATACAATATAATCTATAAGCGTTTATCTATAATATATAAGCTACAATCTATTAGCTGTAATCTTTAATCTATAAGCTATAAACTATAATCTATAATCTAAAAGCTATGATCTATAAGCTATAAGCTGCAATCTATAAGATATAATATGTAAGCTACAATCTATAAGCTGTAATCTGTAAGCTGTACTCTATAAGCTATAATCTATAATCTATAAGCTGTAATCTACAAGCTATAATTTATAAGCTATAATCTATAAAATAAGCTGTAATCTATAAGCCATAATCTATAAGCTATAATGTTTAAGCTATAATCTAAAAGCTATAATATATAAGCTACAATCTATAAGCTATTATCTATAAGATATAATCTGTAAGCTACAATTTATAAGCTGCAATGTATAAGCTGTAATCAATAAGCTTTAATCTAAAATCTATGCGCTATAATATATACGCTATAATCTAATAAGCTATAATCTATACGCTATAATCTATAAGCTTAATCTATAAGATATAATCTATAAGCTGTATCTAAAAACTTTAAACTATAAGCTATAAGCTGTAATCAATAAGCTATAATATATACGCCATTATCAATAAGATATAATCTTTTAGCTACAATCTATAAGCTACAATCTATAATCTGTAATGTATAAGCTGTAATCTATAAGCTATAATTTATAAGCTATAATTTATAATATAAGCTGTAATCTATAATCTATAAGCCAAAATCTATAAGCTGTATTGTATAAGCTATAATCTATGAGCCATGATCTATCAGATATAATCTGTAAGCTACAATCTATAAACTGTAATCTATAAGCTGTAATCACTAATCTATAAGCTGTAACCTATAAGCTATAATCTATAATTTTGGAGAAAGTCGTTCTCCGCCAGCTCCTGAATCACCTCACTCGGTGCGACTTGTTTGAGCCTTTCCAGTCAGCATACAGGGCGCATCACTCTACCGAGACAGCCCTGTTGCGCGTAGTAAATGACCTTCTGTCATCTTGTTGCGAGGGCAAGATATCGCTTTTGTCGTTACTTGATCTATCGGCTGCTTTCGAGACGCTTGACCACGGCATACTTCTCCAACTTCTGGAAAATATGTTCGGTTTCATCGATGCCATCCTGAAATGGTTCCGTTCGTATCTGACAAATCGGGTCCAATCAGTTATCGCAAACGGCTTGACCTCGAAGCAATCTATCATCGAATTCGGAGAACCCCAGGGCTCGGTCCTAGGCCCGGTGCTTTTCACTATGGACGTTCAGACCCTGGGTGCAGTGATCAAGCAGAATATAGGCCTAGCTGGTGACCTTACATGTTATATCACATGTTCGCGGATGATACCTAACTTCAGATATCTGTGATCCCCTCTCAGTTCCCTCAGCTTCTTAGTATGAAACAGAAGACAGTGGAGTCAGTTAAGCACTGGATGACTATAAGTAAGCTTAAATTGAACGATGAAAAGACCGAGCTGATCCCCATTGCTACCACCCATAAGCTAAAATATATAAATAATACACAAACTCTTACTCTATCAGGTGTACAGATAGAGTTTGCCCAAACAGTGCGAAACCTGGGTGTCTGCTTAGTCAAAACACTGACTATGGAAAATCACATTAACGTGCTTTGCAAGGCAATTTTTCTAGACCTGCGTAGAATTAGTCATATCAGACCTTTCTTAACGCTAGATGCAACAAAGAGACTGATGTCTGCATTCGTGCTATCAAGCATGGACTACTGCAATGCTCTTATGATGGGTCTCCCAGCTACGCTCCTGAATAAAATGCAAAAAGCACAGAATAAAGTGGCTCGCATTGTTCTTCGAAAACGCAAATTCGACCATGCTAAAACACTTCTGAGAGAGTTGCATTGGTTGCCGGTTCGTGCTCGCATAGAGTAAAAAATTGCAACTCTGTGCTACCGCTACTTGCATGACCTTGGATCGTCCTATCTAAAAGTGCTCATAACGTCTTAAGTACCTACTAGACAACTCCGTTCATCTGATAGTGGCACACTCTCGACACGACGTGTTCGCCTTGAGACTTACGATGGGCGCACTTTTGCATTTGCTGGCCAACAATTTGGAACACCCTTCCTATCGCTCTCATAAACAGCCAGACACAGGAGTCTTTTAAAACTGATTGAAAGACTTATCTATTTTGCAAACTCCTGCTGGGGTGATGTTGTCTATCTAGCTATTATCTTGTAGATGCAAATTGGCCTGTGTTGTTTATGGTTGCAAGGTATGAAAGACTTAGAGTGGGTATTCTCATATGTAGTTTTTGTTATGTTGCATTTTGTACTTCAATCTAGTATGTACCGCACTTCGAGGCTCTGGGGATGAAGCGTGATTTTCAAATAATCTTTATTAATATTATCACCTATAATCTATAAGCTTAATCGAAAAGAAGGGGTAGAAGTGAAAGCCACAAAAAAATCTTTGTATCAAGTTTAAACAAGAACAACTTGGAAAAGTCAAAAATTGACACGTGCCTCCAACAACGATGATAACACGCGTCATCTGACATCTGATGACAAGACTTTGACTTAAAAATGTCATGCAGTCAAGACACAACAAAAAATGCAAGTTCCAGTCCCTGTCAAAAGAGGACAGTTGTCTGGCTACTGGTCCTTTATTTCTGGTTGTTTGCAGATAACAAAGTAGGCATTCTTTACATAGAGTTAATGTAATCATAATACAAATCGAAGATTTTGTTTTGCTGATCCCAAACATAGTGCTTATCCCAATATGACTGCTTATCCCAATATGACTGCTTATCCCAATATGACTGCTTATCCCAATATGACTGCTTATCCCAATATGACTGCTTATCCCAATATGACTGCTTATCCCAATATGACTGCTTATCCCAATATCACTGCTTATCCCAATATGAATGCTAATCCCAGTCTGACTGTTGATTCCATTCTGACTGATTGCTTATTTAGATCTCTGTTATTTTATATTAAATTATAACACAGAGGTCAATGTCATAGTGACATAACATCCATAGCATACTGAAAGACAAACAACAGACAAGTTGTCATGACAACAAAAAGTTACCCACAAAAATAATTTTTGACATTTTGGAGGTTTTTTTTAGTCAAGTTTGAGAAGCCCTGATTTTGCTGAATAAAAGCGAGCACCATAGAATTTTTAAAAAGAACGGTTCATGGAAAATGAAAGTTATGGTAATGTAAAAAAGTTATGGTAGTGAAAAAGAAGTTACAGGTAAATAGCTTTAAAGGGGAGTGTGGGGGAATGGTGTTATGTCAAGACCACGGGGATATCTTCAGAGTACATTTCTTTGGCTCGCACTTTAAATTGAAAGCTAAACCTGTCTCACCTAGTTAAGCCAACCAGTTTTAAAGATAATTAGTTGTTAGGTTGTCTATCACAACTCTTATCTCGAATGTACATTGACAACCCGTTTCCAGACTGATGCTAATGTATGTAAACCGTTGTCAGAAACAAGGACTTCTTTAAGAGGTCTGGGTGGGGTAGTTATTGGAAGTCTGGGTGGGACAGTTATTGGAAGTCTGGGTGGGACAGTTATTAAAGTCTGGGTGGGACAGTTATTGAAAGTTTGGGTGAGACAGTTATTGAAAGTCTAGGTGGGACAGTTATTGGAAGTCTGGGTGGGATGGTTATTGGAAGTCTGGGTGGGATGGTTATTGGAAGTCTGGGTGGGATGGTTATTGGAAGTCTGGGAGGGACATTTATTAGAAGTCTGGGTGGGGCAGCTAATGAACGTCTGGGTGGGACAGTTATTGAATGCCTGGGTGGGGTGGTTATTGGAGGTCTGGGTGGGACAGTTATTGGAAGTCTGGGTGGGACAGTTATTGGAAGTCTGGGTGGGGCAGTTATTGGAAGTCTGATCGGGACAGTTATTGGAAGTATGGGTTGTGCAGTTATTGGAAGTCTGGGTGGGACAGTTATTGGAAGTCTGGGTGGGACAGTTATTGCTCCCGTGATAACAGCTGTTACTGGAGTTTTGAATACAGAAAATACAGTTAGTAGTTCATTTTACTACTTGATGTCAATCAACTCTAAGTGAGAAGAATTCGTGAACGGGTGAAGGGAGACTCTGAGCTTTTGTAGTAATTATTTAGGCCTAAGTAAGCTAGACCTAATAAGCAACTCAACCAGGCCTGCACAACATACGGCCCGCCAGCATCTACTTTGTGGCCCGAGAAGTAACGAAATTTTCTTAATTATTATTATTTTCTTAATTGCTTTTCCCCCTGTCCTATTTTCTTTCGGCCCGCACAAGTTTTTCATAAAGTGTCATGGCCGTCTTACACTTTGAGTTGTGCAGGCCTGAACTAAACCACTAAAGAATGTATTCAGTTATTTACCTGTGTTCCTTTCCAAGGTATATCATATATTTTTTGTGTGTCTGGAGGTGGGGGGGGGGGGGGGGGGGGGGGGGGGGGGGTGGTGGCGGAAGCGTTGAGGGGAGGGGTGTGTGGTTATGGGTCAGATATCTCCCACGATGAAATATCGGCAAAACGTTCTTGTAGGAAATAGATTGTTGAGAATGTGTCATAACAAACAAACAAACAAACAAACAAACAAAAACCACCCAAAAAACCACCACCAACAACAACAACAACGACAACAACAACAACAACAACCAAAAAACCCACACAAATTTCAACAACCAGTAACACCATGGAAGAATGAGGACCACCTTAGAGTTGTGGCAGGTACTTCATGGGTAAGATCGCATTCGGTAGTTTCTTGCTTTCGAAGAACACCTCTGAATAGAAATAATATTATAACTTTGAATTGAGCAAGCAGGTAGGCTTGCATTTAAATATACAGTAAGGCATCGATAATCCGAACATGGATTATCTGGACATAGATTGTCCGCACATCAATTATCCGGACACCAGAAATCCAGATGTTGATATTCCGGAAATTAATAATTCGGACATTGATAATACGGACATGGACTATCCGTTATCGATTATCCGGACATCAGTAATCCGGACATCGATAATCCAGGCATTGATAATCCGGACATCAAACATCCTGGGCTTAGAAAATCCGTTTACCTAATAAAAATAAACAAACTGCGCGGACAGAACGGCATCGAGATTTGAAGTTAAACCACACTGTAAAAAATCTATCGTAAAAGGACCCCCAAAAAACTTGCAACTCAAAGCATGCCTGAAAACACATGGCAGTATTATTTCGAAAGCAGTCACGTGGCAGTTACACTTCACAAGTCACGTGGTGAGCCGTGACCTCACTATTTACAACCGATGCGAAAATCCGGATAAGAAGATATTCAGGAGGGGGGGTCAAACAACGATTAGTCCGGATAATCCACGTCTTGCAGTACCCGGTTGTCGTGGGGATGGGGGTACGGCGTAAGGAGGATAAGGTTGTGGGAGGGAGGGGATTGCTTCTCATGCCCGTGGCTTGGGGGAGACCTGAGGATGAATGATGTTTGCTGCTACACAGTTTTTCTACATTCCTTACTGCACTTTATCTCTCTACAGCCGATAGAAGGTGAACGGCAAGATCATCTACTTTGTACATACGGCTCGTAAAGATCAGACCCTGTAATCCCGTTACAAGCGCTAATTGCCCGCACCCAATAGCCGGCTAACTCTGGCACCTGTAGGAAACGCAAGCTCTCCCCCCAACTCTCCCCCCCACCCCCCCCCCCCCAACGTTTACCCATGAACGTCCCAACTGCCCCACGCCAAAAACAATATTTGGACGTGGTGCGGCGCGAAGCCAGATAAAAGCAACGATTTGTGGTTCGGTTTATTTATCTTATCAGCCAATGCCATGCTCAATTACATGGTATCACATGGAAGGTACACTTCTTAGAAGCACAATCACAAATTATTACAAGGGGGAGTATGGGATTGTGATAGAGGAGGTTGGGGGGTGGATCGTAAACCATATAAACTATATCAGGGGTCGGGAGCCTATATGGCTCGCGAGCCAGATGTGGCTCTATTGATAGCTGCATCTGGCTCGCAGACAAATGTTCGATTATACAAAAAATGTCGCATTAATGATAAGAAATGCTCATTTTTGATTAGCAACAGCATAACAATGTTATTAAAAAGAATTCAGAGACATAATTAATGCATTTTTAGTGTTGAAATTACACAAAATGCAAACATTTACTTGAATTTTTAGTTTTAAACATAATGTATGGCTCTCACATAATTACTTTTCAAAATATGTGGTGTCCATGGCTCTCTCAGACAAAAAGGTTCCTGACCCCTGAACTATATTATAGACGAAATGTAATTATTCTTTTTAATCTATATTTTTACTTAATAATTTTTTTTTATACTGGTTAAACAATAAGTGAGAAACGTTGCTTCTAGTATTGCTTCTAATATAGGCCTAGCTGGCGACCAGCTCTATAGCTTCTAATATAGGCCTAGCTGGTGTCTAGCTCTATAGCTTCTAATATAGGCCTAGCAGGCGACCAGCTCTATAGCTTCTAATATAGGCCTAGCTGGTGACCAGCTCTATAGCTTCTAATATAGGCTAGCTGGTGACCAGCTCTATAGCTTCTAATATAGGCCTAGCTGGTGTCCAGCTCTATAGCTTCTAATATAGGCCTAGCTGGTGTCCAGCTCTATAGCTTCTAATATAGGCCTAACTGGTGACCAGCTCCATGGCGTCTAATATAGGCCTAGCTGGTGTCCAGCTCTATAGCTTCTAATATAGGCCTAGCTGGTGTCCAGCTCTATAGCTTCTAATGTAGGCCTAGCTGGTGTCCAGCTCTATAGCTTCTAATATAGGCCTAACTGGTGACCAACTCTATGGCGTATAATATAGGCCTAGCTGGTGACTAGCTCTATAGCGTCTAATATAGGCCTAGCTGGGGACCAGCTCTATAGCTTCTAATATAGGCCTAGCTGGGGACCAGCTCCATAGCTTCTAACATATTGCTCATTCATGTTTGTTGATGCATACTTATTTTTTATAAGCTTAGTAACTTGTGTTTTGTGTTGTTGATGAAACAACTTTTTAGGGACTTAGTATTATGCTTGCTGCACTTGACAAAACGTATCTATGATGTCATACAACTGCCAAATATACCTTATGAAAATGGCTCATCCCACAAAGTGGGCTTCCGACGTCGCAGCTATATTTCGCAAAAAGGTTTTCTTAAGCCTGAGCCATATATCACAGAGAAGTTTGCCGACGATTAAGCCATATATCACAGAGAAGGTTGCCGACGATTAAGCCATATATCACAGAGAAGGTTGCCGACGATTAAGCCAAATTTTAAAAAAAAAAGACAAATCCGTTATAGATAAGAAGTTATCGTTGGTTTGCTAGTAAAGTCTATCGGCCAACCTATCTGGTCTACAACCCAGTGGGTCTAACGGCCACCCTACCGGTTTCGCCCCCCCCCCCCAAACACCTGAGTACACTATTCGCCGTAATAACTATACGTCCTGTAAAAGTATGAAAATTTTTTGGGCTAGTTATTTCGTCAGGGGCTAGTTACTTACCCAGTGGGTCTAACGGCCCCCCTACCGGTTTCGCCCCCCCCCCCCCAAACACCTGAGTACACTATTCGCCGTAATAACTATACGTCCTGTAAAAGTATGAAAATTTCTTGGGCTAGTTATTTCGTCAGGGGCTAGTTACTTTGTTAGGGGCTAGTTACTGTGTCAGGGGCTAGTTACTTTGTCAGGGGCTAGTTACTTTGTCAGGGGCTAGTTACTTTGTCAGCGGCTAGTTACTTTGTCAGTGCCGCCCCGTCGGCCCTGCACCACAGGCGGTGTCGGATATTTTTAAGGGGCGCAAAGTTGTGATGCGGAAATAAAATAACCTGTTAACCTTGAATGCGAGGGCCGCAAAACACTAAAAGTGGCATGGGCCTGAAAAGGTCACGTTACAACTCAGTATTTTGTAATGCATGAATGTCAATGTTAAAAAAAAAACAAAACAAAAAACTATTTGTGGCAATAAAACGAAAACAAGACCCACAACTAAAACAGAAGGTCAAGGTCTAATGTTTTAATTATCTGCTCATCGGGTCGGGGGAGGTAGTTGGGATTAGTAACGCACCCCCACCCCCACCCAACGGGGAGGGCACAGGTTTTCCCTCGCATCTTCCACACAAAAAAAAGACTGTATAAAGTTGAAAATGCCGTCCAGCATAGAAAGAAGAAAGTGCCGTCAGGGGCAGACCATACCCTCGGTAACCCCTGTCTACGCCACTGACCCTCACAAACAATGATAAACATAATATTATGTCATAGTGCCCATAGGCATATTCCATAGCCAATGACCATATTTGCAATGACAAGGCTTCAAGGCACACTTCTTCATCTTGTACGTCAGGTTAATGTAGAAAACGACCAAGCCGCCGAAGCCTAACAAATTAAATACGTCGATAGACTACTAAACCATTCAACTAATGAGATAAAGATATATCATGGAAACTGAAACTGTCTTTTGAAAGCATTATAAAACATTTGACTTACGTTAACAGACCATTCGATTAATTAATCAACTCTAATTAATTATTTTTTTTTAAAAAAGGCCTCTATCTTATGGCGGTCATTGAAAGGCCCTTGCCGTAAACAATTTCCCGTTATTTGGCGATAAGCGGTTCCATGGTGTAATGGTTAGCACTCTGGACTTTGAATCCAGCGATCCGAGTTCAAATCTCGGTGGAACCTTAGGCGTATCTTTTCTTTTTAAAACCAATCCGCTTATCTGTCCTGGTAAGAAGCCGTGGACGTTTTCGAATAATTAAAACATTAGACCTTGACCTTGGATTAGTTGCATTGCTTTGATAATCTATCATGTTGAAATAGAATTAAACTAGTGCTGAACAAGGCACAGCGAACAGGGTCCGGGTATGTCAAGAAAATGGTCGGTGCGTCCAAGTTTTACATATACAGAAATCATAAAAGTTAAGTTCACATTTTCTATAATGTGCAACGACATCTAATTCACTATGTCTGAGTGAGAATGCAACGCTATCATGAAAATGATTATTATTTTATTTTTTTTTGGAGGGGGGGGGTGGGTGGTGGGGGGGATCTTTTTGGTTAAGAAATAACCCACTGATAGGGACAGGCCGTTACCGGATCCCAGAATAAAGATGACGCTGTACGCATGAAGCTTGCCGTGAGGTAGAGGAGCACGGACAATATCAAAACCAAAATAAAAGTCGCCACCCACTAATGTCAAAAAAACAAAAAAAAACACCCAAAAAAATGAACCTAATTACTGGAGTTCAGATGTCACGCATGAAGAGCGCTGAGTGACAGGTCTTTTTTTAACCCAGTACTTGAAAAAAACAAACATGTGAAATTGAAAAGGTGGTGGGGGGGGGGGTTAAAAAAGAAGCAGGACACGCCAGAAGCAAAATATACATAAGAGATTTTACGTTATAATAACTGAAGTTGAAGTTAACACTTTAAGGTGATATACTTGTTAGAGGCGGAATACTACAGGTTGTCTCTCAGATGCAAAATTTACACAAAACTATTTATGCAATTTTTTTTTAATTGTATTTTTCCATTTCTATTGTATGTTGTGTACCACTTCTGTGAAAACCAAATAAAGAAGATATTAAGCTTCTGTGGGTGTGCTGCCCAATTTGTGTGCGTCCCATTTAAACTTAACCTGACTTACCTTAACTCCCTTCACAAACGTCTTCTCTTCCAGTGCCTGGTCCCGCCGACTACCAAGACATTGACCTCAAACTGCCCGGCCTGCCCGAGGCGCCGATGTACTCCTTTGGTGACAAGCCGCTTGTCTGTCCTGGTAAGTAGCCGTGGACGTTTTCGAATAAGTTATGGGCCCTTGTTCTGATGTGAGGAATCGCTGCCCCTGACCAATGCGCATAGTTAAGTTTCCGGACTTTTTCTCAGTGTTTCGGTCTGCAAACACTCAGCAAAAACCACGCGATCGAAGCTGATATCTGTTGCTCTCCTTGATTGACCGTGGTGGAAAAAAAAAGCTCTCCTTCTCTTATCCATAAAAATGTCCCCGACCTGGATAAGCCTTCTTAAATAAAGTTGATTGGATATAGTAGTCTGTTATGATCATCACGAAATGTCCATGAAGTAATTAAGAGAATTTCTAAAACATGCCAAGCGTTCACGGTTATGAAGAGACTCTAAACAACTAACAATAAACTCTACACAACTATCAAAGAGACTACATAACTATCAATAGACTCTGCATAACCATCAACAGACTCTACATAACTATCAATAGACTCTACATCCCTATCAATAGACTCCTCAAAACTATCAATAGACCTACATACATTTCAATATATTTTGGGACAAGACACTGAAAGTTTGGTAAAATAAAATTTCCCATCAACGAAACAATAAACTAACTACCTGGACCTATCAAAGAAATATATATATACAAAATTGTCGAATAAATTATCGATATTCGTTGTTTTTAACTTCATAAACCGATTTCACATGAATGTGTTGGAGATAAGTCAACGAGACTATTGCACGAGTCAACAAGATTATTGCACAAGTCAACAAGACTATGGCACGAGTCAACAAGACTATTGCACAAGTCAACAAGCCTTCTCAATGCCTCTTACGTGGTCAGTTCATGTCATATCATTTTAGAATTTTGAAATAATGCCCATACAACAATGATGTCCTATTCCACTTTTTAAGAGTCAAATGTCTTACACATGACACATTCGCTAATAGTTGAATTAAGCCGTACAGGTCAGCTTCTATCTTCCTTTCTTTGATACATTCCTCAGAATCAAATTAATATTAAATATGTGATTGATAACATTTTCCTTATATGTGGAATCAATACGTCAAGTACCACTAGCTACTGGCATAATTTTAAGATTCACAGCAAAAAAATAATGAGCGTGTATGAAGTAAAATGACGAGTCATGTCCCCCTTGTGAACGCTAGTATTGTCCCTTGAATCATCGAGCTCAAGAATGCCATCCACCCCTTACCTGAATATAGACACGGGGAGAACGCTTGGCCCCAGAACAAATTGACATTTAGACAAAAGCTATGGGGAGGGGGGGGGCTAATGAGGACATCTGAGTTGATGAATGACAGAGGGGTGTAAGAGCGGAGAGAATGGACTTGTGAGAGCTTGAGTCGTCGAGGCTAGGGTAGTACAACGCAGTCGGCTGCGTTTATGATGCTTCGGTGGTCCTTGTGGTCCCTTGAGTCATGCGGGCCATTGGACATGAGCTGACTCGCATACGAGTTGATCATATTCAATACCGTTAATCACAATAACGAGAAAATATACGAGACCTCGAGTGGTCACAACCGCATTGTTTGTTTTTTTTGTTAAAAGTAAATTTAGAAACAAAATAAAATTAAATTGGTCTGATGTGATTTCCAACTTTCGACCATTGCCTTCCCAGGCACGTGAACAATGCTGAGTGCGACATCAGTGGGTCAACCGGAAAGAATGCTATAGAGGGTTACGCTTCAAGCTTAAACCTGCAAGTCTTGGAGTATATAAATAATTATATAATGACGTATTTTGGGACCTATCAAATCAAAGTTATAATAATCAACCCTTAAAAACTAAGTTTTTGGTGATCAATCTTTTTATAAAATGTGATATCGAGCAATGTGGAGTGGGGCTGAACATTTGACAAAACATACTTACAAAATGTACTTACAAAACATACTTACAAGTAATGTACTTACAAGACATACTTACAAGTAATGTACTTGATAAGAATCCCCAACATTGCCTGCCCCCCGCCCACGCCTTGCAACCGCTCATTCTTTTCTCGCCCTCATCTGTATTAATATTCTAATGACCCACCCGCAGATTTATTTCACCACCCACCAAGAAAATATTACGGACCAAACGCACTTGCGATATTTTTGAGCTGCTGAGGAATCTCATTGAGCGCAGTAATCGGGAATTTTATTTCGTGAAACCTGTGTCATCCTATTTCTTTCATCTTCCCTTTGAAAGAACAGGAAAAACTGATTTTTTTTGGGGGGGGGGGTTTGGGGTTAAGGGGGTGGGCCTGACAATTTGAAAGCATGTATAGTCATGGGCAACGAGGATATGTGCCAAGTATCAGCTCGAGAGTTTGACGGGAAGTGGGTCAATGAGCCGTCCGAACATTTTTGCCTGCCACAAACAAAAGTGAAGATAATATAAAGAATTTTAAAAAAAATGAATTTTTGAAGCTAGTGTTCAACAAATGATACAACTAGGTTAATATCATGTCAGTCTCAAAGAAAAGACGATTACGTCACGATCTTTAAGTTAAAAATGTGTACAAGACAATTAGGTCACCCTGACCCTGAGTGCAGCCAACGTCGCGGTATCGCCTGCGTCACGGTCACGGTATTGCCTGCGTCACGGTCACGGTATTGCCTGTGTCAGGGTCACGGTATTGCCTGCGTCACGGTCACGGTATCGCCTGCGTCACGGTCGCGGTATTGCCTGCGTCACGGTCACGGTATCGCTTAAGTCATGGTATCGCCTGCGTCACGGTATCGCCTACGTCATGGTAGTGTCTACGTAACAGTATCGCCCTTGTTGCGGTATCGCCTACGTCACGGTATCGTCTGTGTCACGTCACCGCCTACGTCACGGTATCGCCTGATTCACGGTATCGCCTGCGTCACGGTATTGTCTACGTAACAGTATCGCCTACGTTACGGTATCGCCTACGTCACGGTATCGCCTGTGTCACGGTATCGCCTGCGTCACGGTATTGTCTACGTAACAGTATCGCCTGTGTCACGGTATCGCCTACGTCACGGTATCGCTCACAGTTTACCCACATCTTTTTACTAGCGCTAAAATAAAACAAAAAAACTTTAGATCTGTGAACGCAGACTCATATACATTAAGGAAGTTAACGCTTTTTTCTTTAAGCCGAGCCACATGAACGTCATAAGATCTGTCAGTAACATCATGGCACTAATGTTATCCAAACCTCTCTCTGTGGTAGAAGTTGTTTACTTCCTTACACAAAATAAAGGACAAAGTAAGAATCCTGTCCAACCCCCCCCCCAAAAAAAAACAAAAAAAAAAAAAAAAAAAAACCAAAAAAAAAAAAAGCCTTGAGCTCGTGGCATCCGTGAACAACAACTCGTGAACAAGGTTCAGGAAGGCATTTCAATTTGACCATCGGCTAGATGGTGTTTTCGTAGGTTTTTTGGTGGTGTTTTGGTGGTGTTTTGGTGGTGTTTTGATGGTGTTTGGTGGTGTTTTGGTGGTGTTTGGTGGTGTTTTGGTGGTGTTTTGGTGGTGTTTTGGTGGTGTTTGGTGGTGTTTTGGTGGTGGTGTGGTGTTTTTTGTGGTGTTGTGGTGGTGTTTTTGTGATCTTTTGGTTGTGGTTGGGTGGTATTTCCGTTGTGTTTTGGTGGCGTTTTGGTTGTCTGTTGGTTTTGTATAACGGTCTTTTGGTGGGGCTTTGGCGAGTGTTATGCTTGAATGTTATCACTTTGACCATCTCCCAATTCATATCTGTCGGTCTCCGGTGTCCAGTTCTTCCTACTCCATACCGGTGTAAGTAAACTCTCTCAAGACTACATGCTAAATAAAAGTTCAAGTAGGCTCGTGATAGCTACAAGTCTGCATTACCGCTTGTCCGTGCCCCCCCCCCCTTTTGCATTGGTCAGTGCTCCCGTGAGTGGTCAGCGACACACCATGCAGAGGTCAGTACCCTCTACCATGCAGTGGGCCGTGGCTACTACCATGATATGTTTGATTGAGCCAACCACGACCATAGTGATATGGGAAACAACCTCGACCATAGTGAAATGGGACATATAATGATATAAACAAATCTCGTTTTGCTATTTAATGATTTGGGAATATGTTAAGGCTAAAATAAAAAGAAAAAATAACAAATTAGTAAGGACGTTTCGGCGGGGCGCCTTCTTCGGCGGAAAAGACTAAACTGGAAACAACAAAGCTGTAAAAACCGTATTTGTTAGAAGTCTCACTCTGTAAACAAATCAGTGGTTTTGACACTCAATGCTGGAAACAAAGATCAAGTATGTTAGTGTTTTAACATCATTTTAACCCTTGAAGAAACATCCAGAGCTATGCGGCAGTGTGGCCGATTTTGCCGTCTTTTAAAAAACAATTATCGTATTTTCTTTTCTTTAAAAGTAGGAATCTGAATTTATAGTCCAGGATGACGGGATATCAAAGTACTGGATTAATAGAAACTAAAGTAATCCATTACTGAATAGCTTATTACTGAATTACTGTATAACAGATCAATGGAGCAAAATAAAGATCGACATTTTAGCCCCACCATAAAAAGCTGGCTTTAAGAATCCGTTGAATCTTTGCTGACACAGACGATGGCATTAATCAATTAAAGTCCAGAGTTAATTTTTCGTGCGTTAACCCCCCCCCTCCCCCACACACACACATTACAGAGAAATCGAAAGGCTCGAACAGATTAGAACCAAGGCGGATGGACACGGTTGACCTGTTACTTGTTCTGCTTTAGACAACGGTGAAATTAATCGGCGTAAAAAAAAAAAAAGTCGCATCAAAGTAACGAATTGTTTTTTTTTCTTTTTTAAACACAGACATTTTAAATGCACTACTTAATTTAACTCCTACCAAACTGTCCTCACTCGCACGTAGTAGATGAGAAAAAAAAACAAAATCACACCCAATAAATGGTTGGTGGTCTGGTCACAGTTGTGTGCGCCTCTGCTAATCACTGAGAAGAGGATCCTCACACGGGTGGGTCTACAGTGAACACATCTCTCACTGAGAACAGAGCAATGACAGAACACGCAGTCTCCAACGGAACAGACTCATCTAAGGTCCTCCCTCCAGGTATATTGGGTTTGTGCGCCCACCTCATAGCGTCTCTTGCATCCATGTTTTCCTCTCTCTCTCTCTCTCTCTCTTTAAAAAACAAACTTTCGGAAACGTGGCGGTTTGAGGTGGTATAGAGGGGAGGGATTGAGGGGAGGGGTGGATGGAGTAATCGTATTTAAAAAAAAAACTATTTTTGTTTGCTGAGGAAGAGCCGTAAGGGTTGGGGGGAGGGAGTGGGGGGGGGGCTAACGAAAATGTTCACATGCCACTGCACAATTTTTGTTCACAGACTATGGCTGTGGCAATGCCTGAGCTCCAGGATTGTCTAGCCCCATACCCCCCAAACCCCCCTCCCCCCCTTTTTCTCTTCACCGGCACCCCAATCAGGTTAATGAGTTGTTGCTGTCGAGTGGTGCTCGCGGTAAAATTCTATCATTTCTCAGGAAGATGGCAGAAATGTTTGGTGCGGTTTAGAGTAATTGTTGAGTTTACCTTCTCCTGAACATGGGTCGCAGCGGGTGGATTAGATTGGAGGAGGAAATATGTTACATAACTCAACAGTGAAAACAGTGGTGATAACAGGCAATATTTTACCCAATGGTGATGAAAGGCAATATTTTACCCAATGGTGATGAAAGGCAATATTTTACCCAATGGTGATGAAAGGCAATATTTTACCAAATGGTGATGAAAGGCAATATTTTACCCAATGGTGATAACAGGCAATATTTTACCCAATGGTGATGAAAGGCAATATTTTACCCAATGGTGATGAAAGGCAATATTTTTCCCAATGGTGATGAAAGGCTATATTTTACCAAATGGTGATGAAAGGCAATATTTTACCCAATGGTGATGAAAGGCAATATTTTACCCAATGGTGATGATAGGCTATATTTTACCCAATGGTGATGAAAGGCAATATTTTACCCAATGGTGATGAAAGGCAATATTTTACCCAATGGCAATGTAAGGCAATGTTTTACCCAATGGCAATGTAAGGCAATATTTTACCCAATGGCGATGTAAGGCAATATTTTACCCAATGGCGATGTAAGGCAATATTTTACCCAATGGCGATGTAAGGCAATATTTTACCCAATGGCGATGTAACGCAATATTTTACCCAATGGTGATGAAAGGCAATATTTTACCCAATGGTGATGAAAGGCAATATTTTACCCAATGGTGATAATATGCAATATTTTACCCAATGGTGATCATAGGCAAAATTTTATCCAATGGTGATGATAGGCGATATTTTACATAATTCAGCGGTGAAATCAGTGGTGATATTGGGCAATATTTTACTCAATGGTGATGATAGACAATATCTTGCATGATTCAGCGGTGAAATCAGTGGTGATATTGGGAAATATTTTACCCAGTAGTGATATCAGGCAATATTTAACCAAATGGTGATGACAGACATAATTTAGTCAATGGTCATGATAGTAATACTTTACCCAATGGTAATGATAGGAAATTCTTTAGGCAATGGTGATGATGAGCAAAACTTTACCAACGGTAATGAATGAAACGCTGGCGAGTAGCACGTATGTAGAACTTCGATCGCCTTAGTGAATATATCTGTGGCTCCACGTCACTCTGCGTCATCTATTGTCTGAGTCATCTATCACCTGTGTCATCTATCACCTGTTTCATCTATCACCTGTGTCATATATCGCCTGTGTCATCTATCACCTGTGTCATCTATCAACTGCGTCAGCTATTGTCTGAGTCATCTATCCTCTGCGTCATCTATCACCTGCGTCATCTATCACCTGCGTCATCTATCATAATTCAGCCACTAAGAAATAATAAATAATTTATTTAAAAGTGTTTGTTGTTATTTCAACATTAGGACAAGAGTTGTCTAGCTTTCAAGAATCGTTCATTACCCACTGGTCATTTATAAGGAATAGAATACAGCATAACAGTCAGGAACTTTGATGGCAACGTTTCTTGCATTTGTCGTCATATAAATTGTTTAGAAGGACCTATAAACACCAAGAAATTAAGCGAATCATTTTAATAGATCAATGCAGATAATTCCATAAAGTTCTACAGATTTTATGATCATATCTATAGATGCGATATTTGTAATCAAGTAAAATTGACATTTTTATTATCATTTTTTTTTTAAAATAAAAAATCCATAAGTTCTTTAACTTTTCAAATGATTCCAAATCTAATTATTCTATTTTTAACCCACCTTAATGTCATAGATATATCATTTCAAATTTTTGAATTATCGTCTTGTTAGAAATGCGTGCATATCTTCGAGCTCATTTCGTTTTAGCGTTTATTAAAATATCGCCTATTTTGGTTTGTTGACTACGTTTTATTTTAAGATGGCTATTTGTTAAAACTGTAACAACCTGGACCCGTCTAGACGGGTCTGAGTAATTTACAAGTTATTTTGTAACGGAATCGATTTTTCATTAACTTGCTAATAATAGATAGATTGTCGATTATCATAGTATCGTATTGTCATATTATTACAAGATGGCGCCTGTCTTTCACGGCTGCAAAGAATCAAGCCCCAAATGATGTTCTTTATTTTTCGATGTCGTCAAACGTTACACAATACTTTCCCCCTTACTTGACATTATATCTTATACCATACTTTAAACAATACTTTACATCATACTTTACACCATACTTTACATCATACTTTACACCATACTTTACACCATACTTTGCATCATACTTTACACCATATTTTACACCATACTTTACATCATACTTTAAACCATACTTTACACCATACTTTACATCATACTTTACATCATACTTTACATCATACTTTACACCATATTTTACACCATACTTTGCATCATACTTTACACCATATTTTACACCATACTTTACATCATACTTTAAACCATACTTTACACCATACTTTACATCATACTTTACATCATACTTTACACCATATTTTACACCATACTTTACATCATACTTTACACCATATTTTACACCATACTTTACATCATACTTTAAACCATACTTTACACCATACTTTACATCATACTTTACACCATACTTAACACCATTTTTACACCATACTTTACACCATACTTTAAACCATACTTTACAACATACTTTAAACCATACTTTACACCATACTTTAAACCATACTTAACACCATTTTTTACACCATACTTTACATCATACTTTACACCATACGTTACACCATACTTTACACCATACTTTACATCATACTTTACATCATAATTTAAACCATACTTTACACCATACTTTACATCATACTTTACACCATACTTTACACCATATTTTACACCATACTTTACATCATACTTTACGAAATACTTTACACCATACTTTACATCATACTTTACACCATACGTTACACCATACTTTACACCATACTTTACACCATACTTTACACCATACTTTACACCATATTTTACATCATACTTTACACCATACTTTACATCATACTTTACACCATACTTTACACCAAACTTTACACCATACTTTACACCATACTTTACATCATACTTTACGAAATACTTTACACCATAATTTACATCATACTTTGCATCATACTTTACACCATACGTTACACCATAATTTACACCATACTTTACACCATACTTTACACCATACTTAACACCATTTTTTACACCATACTTTACATCATACTTTAAACCATACGTTACACCATACTTTACACCATACTTTACATCATACTTTGCATCATAATTTAAACCATACTTTACACCATACTTTACATCATACTTTACACCATACTTTACACCATACTTAACACCATATTTTACACCATACTTTACATCATACTTTACAACATACGTTACACCATACTTTACACCATACTTTACATCATACTTTATATCATACTTTATATCATACTTTACATCATACTTTACATCATACTTGACACCAAAATTTACACCATACTATACATCATAATTTACACCATACTGTACACCATAATTTACACCATACTTTACATCATACTTTATATCATACTTTATACCATACTTTACATCATACTTTACACCATACTTTACACCAAACTTTACACCATACTTTACACCATACTTTACATCATACTTTACGAAATACTTTACACCATAATTTACATCATACTTTGCCTCATACGTTACACCATACTTTACACCATACTTTACATCATACTTTACATCATACTTTAAACCATACTTTACACCATACTTTACACCATAATTTACACCATAATTTACATCATACTTTACACCATACTTTACACCATCATTTACATCATACATTAAACCAAAATTTACACCATAATTTACATCATAATGTACACCATACTTTACACCATAATTTACATCATACTTTACACCAAAATTTACATCATACTTTACACCAAAATTTACACCATAATTTATACCAAATATTTACCATACTTTACACCATAATTTACATCATACTTGACACCAAAATTTACACCATACTATACATCATAATTTACACCATACTGTACACCATAATTTACATCATACTCGACACCAAAATTTACACCATAATTTGCATCATAATTTACACCATACTTTACACCATAATTTACATCATACTTTACACCAAAATTTACATCATACTTTACACCAAAATTTGCACCATAATTTACATCATAATTTACACCAAACTTTACACCATAATTTACATCATACTTTACACCATAATTTACATCATACTTTACACCAAAATTTACACCATAATTTACACCATAAGTTACACCATACTTTACACCATATTTTACATCATACTTTACACCTAAATTTACACCATAATTTACATCATTATTTACACCCTACTTTACACCATAATTTACATCATACTTTACACCAAAATTTACACCATAATTTACATCAAAATTTACATCATAATTTACACCATACTTTACACCATAATTTGCATCATAATTTACACCATACTTTACACCATACTTTACACCATAATTTACATCATAATTTACACCATACTTTACACCATAAGTTACACCATAATTTACATCATACTTTACACCATAATTTACATCATAATTTACACCATACTTTACACCATAATTTACACCATAATTTACATCATACTTTACACAGTTTCATCATGCCTGGACATTTTTCCGATTTCGACTACTTATGATAGTAACAGTTTTTAAATTGTTCTTTATTTTGGGTTTTCAAGCATTATGTGTTGTGTTGTGTTATGTTGTTGTGTTGTTATGTTTGTTGTCGTTTGTTTTGTATGATGTATCCTGCATCTGAACATCCAGGCATGTATTTTAGACAGGAGGTTAAGCGGTAATTTAATTAATAAGTAAAAATGTCCCTCTACGGCCCAACTACGTCATTTGACGTCATCTAAATAGGTTTGGTAGCACAGAAATGTATTGGATTTAAGGAAATGTCATTCAATAATAAAATAATAAAAATCAATTTCTCCTCTTTTATTTTCTATTTTTTTTTATTTCTGTGTAAATCTAACTTACAACTAAACCAAGATTTCGAAGCGAAACCGTGAGTTCCACTGACTTACCTTAGAGTTCCAATGACTTACCCAAGAGTTCCAATGACTTACCCAAGAGTTCCAATGACTTACCCAAGAATTCCAATGACTACCCAAGAGTTCAAATGACTTACCCAAGAGTTCCAATGACTTACCCAAGAGTTCCAATGACTTACCCATGAGTTCAAATGACCCATAAATTCGCATGAAGTACCCATGAGTTCAAATGACGTACCCATGAGTTCAAATGACGTACCCATTAGTTCAAATGACGTACCCATGAATTCATATGACGTACCCATGCCATGACTGTTTATCAGTCATTTCAAACCACTACAACTTCGTTCAGATAATGTACACCTTGCCTCCTCGATATCATTTAACACATTTTTAAAAACAAGTCCATAGCATTTATTTTTAATATTTACGATTTTAAAAGAATACCTTTTTCTACAATTATCTTTTCTCATGGAATGGTCATGATAGTCACAGTGGTTTAAAAAAAAAAAAAATGAAAAAACAAACAAAAAGAACAACAAAAATGTGTTTTCCCCCTTTTAAATGGACTCTTATCTTTTTTTTTTTTATAAAGTGCGTGGAAATAGGTTGAGGGCAGATTTTGTATTATTCCAATATTGGAAAGAGAAAATGATGAGAGAGTAATAAATATGGGCGGAGTATTTTTTTTTTTTTAAATAAAAATATAATATTATAAAACGAATCTGTCATTCAGTCAACTGTGTTACAAAAGTAACACATTTAAGGAAAACACAAACACTTTCGATTTAACAATTTATTAATGAAGCTTCAACTATTTGTATGCATTCATTAAATTGTTAATTTTTGTAAAAAAAAAAAAAAAAAAAAAAAAAAAAAAAAAAAACAACAAATTAATTATTTAAATAATTTTATACATTCATGGAATGGGAAACATTGAAAATTATGCTAATAACTATATTTTTTTCAAAGCATGAGGCCATCCTACATTTTAGAATTAATATATTTTCCTTTTTAAAGTGACGTTTTAGGACACCTTAGATCCTTAGCAAGAACTCTATGAAACGTGTAGACTTTTATATAAAGGTCAAGGTAGTTTGATACCATGTTTTTTTTTTTGAGGTCTTTAAACGTGTGAAGTTGCAAAAATAACATAATAATCATAATTAAAATACTGATAATTCGAACAACAATAAGTAAGTCTTCGGCATGTCATCAGAGGCTACCAATTTTCGGAACAGTACGATATTTAAAATCGAATACTGTAAGCCTCTAACAAGATAAGCCGTGAACACAGGGATCATCACATATATCGCGCATATCGATATTTTATAGGTTCCACTAATTGTCATCGGTTTTATAGGCACCAGTTACTTGTCGGTATACAAATGTTATAAAAAATGATGATGTATTTTTGCTAGTTTTTTTTTTTTGAAAAATAAAATGTATTTTCTCTTTAATTGTTGTACACATTTCATCTTGAGGGGTGGGGGGCACTTGACTTTCTTCGGGGGGGGGGGCACTTGACTTTCTTCAGGTGCCCCGCATTGAGATGCCTGAAAGAGACACTGGGTCACCTAATTTTCTAGACTCAAACAGCCCCCGGACAGTTGTCCGATAATCTCCGGGCGTACAAAGTCTTAAGTCACATGCAGACTTCAAAGTGGGATTATCTACGTCCCTAACCTACAACAACCGGATCTGGATGAGGTATGGATAATTAGGTGTGCGGGGGGGGGGGGAGGAAACGATGCTACCAACGGGCACTGGATGGCACTGGGGGGCACTGGCTGGGGTGTTGGGTACAGCAGAACCTTAGACCTGTTTCCTTTCACAGTGGGGCTTATTATTTTCTCAACATCTGAGCGGGGACGTGTAAGACGATGGATGTTGCGTCCTCCCCCACCACCACCCCTCACCCCCAACCCCGGGATTTTTCCCATACTTTGTTTCGCTTATTTCCTTAAGACGGTGGAGGTGGATAGTGTGGGCTTGTAGGATGGTCTGTGCGGTTCTGACGACAGGCAACATAAACACAACAATCAGATGATGGAGTTTCAGTTTATGGCTAAAACATAATTGTAATTACGCCTCAGGATATAACGGCAGACTCCAAATAAAAAAAAAGTTCTATTTTTAAACCTGTATTTCTTCCCAGTAGCCGTTCCTTGGCATGGACCCAAAAAAATTAAATAATTTCTTGTACATTTAAAAAAACTAATAATTTTTCGGGAATAAAGAACCTGAAATATTCTCATCCGATGTCCAGTGATCTTCTGATTTCCGGTTTGGATGTTTGAATTTGTATCTCGTAGGTTTCCTCCTCCTGTGCATTGCTTTATTTTACAAGATGTGATTTTCCTTTATATCTCCTGGCTATGAGACGGAAGTGATGCGATGACGTCACAGGCAATGTTGCGCATACAAGATTTCACCTTGGGTTTTTTTTTTTTTTTTTTTTTTTTTTTTTTTTTTTTTTGGGGGGGGGGGGGGTTTAGTTGCCACTGGCTTGACATTTTTCCCTTGTCTCCTTCTTGTCCTCTTGCGACATCAAGTCGATATAAGAATATGAACTGTGACGTCAATGTATGACACTAGAAGACCTTTGACCCCCACCGAACTTCTAAATGGTACTCACCACTCTCATTCTGCCTATCAACAACTACGCTACAACACCGGACATTGTTTTGCTGATGAACATGGTGAATATCGGTTATGTCCCTAGTGCCCTCTGGCGTCTCTGCGAACAAACTGTCTTACCTGTAGTCCGTCGAACTCCCACACCCCTTCTCCTACCCCCACACACTCACACGTACACTCTCACGGAGGTAAACATTTACCATTTTGATTACGCCAACATGCCCCAAGTTGTTGAGTTGGAATTATGCCCCCCCTCTTTTTTTTCACACTCCCCCGGGCCGTTGATCGCCTAGAGGGAACAAATCTGTACAACGTTGTGACACGGCCGTACAACAAACTATTTCCCCCAGCTCGGGAGCCGCTCCTGGGCCGCGGTGGTGGGCCATAACCGTTGTATCGCCCAGATCTAAAGCGGTTGTCTCCCAATCCCTGTTTACGCGTATATTTGGCAAGGCTCCTGCGGGTGCAAGGGATTACCACAAGACATTACGTCTTCTTAAGTCGTGTCGCTCTGTATTTTCATTACGTCTTCTTAAGTCGTGTCGCTCTGCATTTTCATTACGTCTTGCAAAGCTAAACCTTAGATTCTTTTTTTTTTTTTTTTTTAAAAGTATACACTAAAAAAAATATAAGTGGTAAATAAAAAAAAATTATTGCAATTTCATTACGTCTTCTTAAGTCGTGTCGCTCTTGTTTTTCATTACGTTTTGCAAAGCTTAACCTTAGATTCTTTTTTTTTTTTTTTAAAAGTATACACTAAACACAATATAAGTGGTAACTAAACAAAAATTATTGCTATAGAGAGATGTCATTTTGTTTTGGACTTTGCAAATACTAGCATTCACTAAATGATTGTGCAACTTTGTGACCGACTGACCCCTCAGAAGCCCCCAAAATGCTCATAGCGGATGTTAAACTGATCCTCGTCGATGTCGTCTGCCGAGGTAAATTGCTTGTAATGCAAGAACAGACGATTGTTCCTGTTGAGGGAGGCAATTTAACGTATGTCCATGGACGTAGTGACCCCTGTTCCAGCCAAGATTCTGTAGACAAAATGTTACTTTTCATTACATCACTCTATTGGCTATTCGTGTACACAAGATGGGCATTCGCGTACATCATATCATCACGGTATGCCCACGGGAAGGGCGTTGTCGTAGACGATTTAACAAATTATGGTGATGGTTATGTACACAAGTTAATAGATGGTGATAGTTACATACACTCATTTATAGTAAGTAAAAGTTAAAAACACAAGTTTATAGTTGGTGATAGTTACAAGCACAAGTTTATAGTTGGTGATAGTTACAAACACAAGTTTATAGTTGGTGATAGTAACAAACACAAGTTTATAGTTGGTGATAGTAACAAACACAAGTTTATAGTTGGTGATAGTTACAAACACAAGTTTATAGTTGGTGATAGTAACAAACACAAGTCTATAGTTGGTGATAGTAACAAACACAAGTTTATAGTTGGTGATAGTAACAAACACAGTCTATAGTTGGTGATAGTAACAAACACAAGTTTATAGTTGGTGATAGTAAAAAACACAAGTTTATAGTTGGTGATAGTAACAAACACAGTCTATAGTTGGTGATAGTAACTAACACAGTCTATAGTTGGTGATAGTAACAAACACAAGTTTATAGTTGGTGATAGTAACAAACACAAGTTTATAATTGGTGATAGTAACAAACACAAGTTTATAGTCGGTTATAGTTACAAACACAAGTTTATAGTTGGTGTTAGTAACAAACACACGTTTATAGTTGGTGATAGTTACAAATGCAAGTTTATAGTTGGTGATATTTACATAAAAATGTTTATAGTCGGTGATAGTAAGAAACACAAGTCTATAGTTGGTGATAGTAACAAACACAGTCTATAGTTGGTGACAGTAACAAACACAAGTCTATAGTTGGTGATAGTATCAAACACAGTCTATATTTGGTGACAATAACAAACACAAGTCTATATTTGATGATAGTAACAAACACAAGTCTATAGTTGGTGATGGTAACAAACACAGTCTATAGTTGGTGATAGTAACGAATAGAATCTATAGTTGGTGATAGTAACAAACACAAGTCTATAGTTGGTGATAGTAACGAATATAATCTATAGTTGGTGATAGTAACAAACACAAGTCTATAGTTGGTTATAGTAACAAACACAAGTCTATAGTTGGTGATAGTAACAAACACATTCTATAGTTGGTGATAGTAACAAACACAAGTCTATAGTTGGTGATAGTACCAAACACACGTCTATAGTTGGTGATAGTAACGAATAGAATCTATAGTTGGTGATAGTAACGAATAGAATCTATAGTTGGTGATAGTAACAAACACAGTCTATAGCTGGTATTAGTAACAAACACAAGTCTATTGTTGGTGATAGTAACAAACACAAGTCTATAGTTGGTGATAGTAACAAACACATTCTATAGTTGGTGATAGTAACAAACACAAGTCTATAGTTGGTGATAGTAACAAATACAAGTCTATAGTTGGTGATAGTAACGAATAGAATCTATAGTTGGTGATAGTAACAAACACAGTCTATAGCTGGTATTAGTAACAAACACAAGTCTATAGTTGGTGATAGTAACAAACACAAGTCTATAGTTGGTGATAGTAACAAACACATTCTATATTTGGTGATAGTAACAAACACAAGTCTATAGTTGGTGATAGTAACAAACATAAGTCTATAGTTGGTGATAGTAACGAATATAATCTATAGTTGGTGATAGTAACAAACACAGTCTATAGCTGGTATTAGTAACAAACACAAGTCTATTGTTGGTGATAGTAACAAACACAAGTCTATAGTTGGTGATAGTAACAAACACATTCTATATTTGGTGATAGTAACAAACACAAGTCTATAGTTGGTGATAGTAACAAACATAAGTCTATAGTTGGTGATAGTAACGAATATAATCTATAGTTGGTGATAGTAACAAACACAGTCTATAGCTGGTATTAGTAACAAACACAAGTCTATTGTTGGTGATAGTAACAAACACAAGTCTATAGTTGGTGATAGTAACAAACACATTCTATAGTTGGTGATAGTAACAAACACAAGTCTATAGTTGGTGATAGTAACAAATACAAGTCTATAGTTGGTGATAGTAACGAATAGAATCTATAGTTGGTGATAGTAACAAACACAGTCTATAGCTGGTATTAGTAACAAACACAAGTCTATAGTTGGTGATAGTAACAAACACAAGTCTATAGTTGGTGATAGTAACAAACACATTCTATAGTTGGTGATAGTAACAAACACAAGTCTATAGTTGGTGATAGTAACAAACATAAGTCTATAGTTGGTGATAGTAACGAATATAATCTATAGTTGGTGATAGTAACAAACACAGTCTATAGCTGGTATTAGTAACAAACACAAGTCTATAGTTGGTGATAGTAACAAACACAAGTCTATAGTTGGTGATAGTAACAAACACATTCTATAGTTGGTGATAGTAACAAACACAAGTCTATAGTTGGTTATAGTAACAAACACAAGTCTATAGTTGGTGATAGTAACGAATAGAATCTATAGTTGGTGATAGTAACAAACACAAGTCTATAGTTGGTGATAGTAACAAACACAAGTTTATAGTTGGTAAAAGTTACACCCATACGTTTTTAGTTGATGATAGATACACACAAGTTATAAGAAAAGTCATTTTAATTAAATTTTTTTTTGTAAGATCAGGTGTTTACACAATATATTGTTTTTAACGAACCACGTCATTTTGTGATCAGCAGTTCTGTGTGAGTGTTGATAGTGAAATAGTTGGAGTAAACGATTTTATTGTAGACATCTAGACCCTGGTTCATTATTATTGTATTACTATAACACCAGCCTTAAACTAAAACAGTGGAGTTTCACTTCACTGAGCCTGAAATATACATGGAACAATGGCTCATCTGACAGGGAACGAATGGGAACATACACGGAACCATGAGTTTATGTTTGGACACAAAACTTGATCCAGGAAAAAAATATACTCCATCCATTTATGAGTTGTAATCACCTTAAGAAAAAAGTGAGCCGCATCTGGCCAATAAGATGTACAGTGATATGTCAGTTTCATAAGATATGTCAGGTTTGATTATTCATACTTTGAGTAAACTATTTGCTACAATGTTATCTCCCCTAATTCATGCTGCATTTTTTTTTTCCCTCTGCACCTAAAACAACGGCAAAGACGATTTCCAGACATTCACCAGCAACTGGCTTATTCCCTCACTCCCCCATCACTCCCTTCCCCCGTACACACGAGCCTTGGTCATTAGAATAATTCCAGCAAGAGAACATCACAATTACTGCTGTTAGCCCTGTAGTAAAGCAATGGGTGTGTCTGTCATCATGGTACAATTAGGTGTCACTTGTGTTTACCATGTCGTAAACCAATTGGTGTGTTTGTCATCAGGGTACGTTTGGGTGTCACTTGTGTTTAACCTGTAGTGAATCAATTGGTGTGGTTTTCATCATGGTACACTTAGATGTCACATGTGTCTACACTGTAGTAAGCTAATTGGTGTGTTTGTCATCATGGTACATTTATTTTACCATGGACACATTTTGAGATCAAGCTATCAATCAACTAGTAGCCTTAAGTCATCACGTGTGTTACGGTCTCACCTCACTAACATCACCATCTAAGAGTAACACACATGCCAACCTCACATTAAAGATTGACAGTCTCGCATTAAACACATGACGGCCTCACATTAAACACATGGCAGCCTGACAATTAAAACATTAGAGCCTCACATTAAACACATAAAGATCAGACATTTAACACATGATAGCTGCACATTAAACACATGGTGGTCACAAATTAAACATATGACAGCAGCACCTTAAACACATGACAGCCGCACATTAAACACATGAAATAATTACATTAAACATATGACAGCCGTACATTAAACACACGAAAGCCTCATATTAAACACAATAAAATGATGACAGCCTCGTTACACACCTATAATATCCCTATCATATCTGATCATATAGGCTGTGTCAAGAACCATTGACCTCATAAAAGAGAAAGTGTAAAGGCACATGTAATCATAGGCTGGAAATGTAACAGTACGCATAATCATAGGAAGGAAGTGTAAAATTACAAATAATCATATGATAAAATTATTACATTAAACATAATCTTAGGGAGGAACTGCAACATTAGGCATAATGATAGGTAGGAAGTTTAAAGTACACATAATCATAGGATTTAGTGTAACAGTACCCATAATCAAAAAGAGGAAATGTAATAGTACGCATAACCATAGGGAGGAAGTGTAAAAGTATAAATAATCGTAGGGATGAAGTGTAACAGTACACATAATTAGGTGCGGAATGTAACAGTACACATACTTAGATGCGGAAATGTAACAGTACACATAATTAGGTGCGGAAATGTAACAGTACACATAAAAGTAGGGAGGAAATGTAACAGTACACATAATTAGGTGCGGAAATGTAACAGTACACATAATCAGAGAGAGGAAATGTAATAGTACGCATAACCATAGGGATGAAGTGTAACAGTACACATAATTAGGTGCGGAAATGTAACAGTACACATAATTAGGTGCGGAAATTTAACGGTACACATAATTAGGTGCGGAAATGTAACGGTACACATAATTAGGTGCGGAAATGTAACAGTACACATAATTAGGTGCGGAAATGTAACAGTACACATAATTATAGGGAGGAATGGAATCTCCAATTGGTCTGCATTTAAAAATTAAAAGGCCTTGGAATGTGTTCTCATGGCCGTTAAAATCGACCTATCTATCTACATTAAACCTACCGATTCATCATTAGATGTTCAGATTTAAACACGGTTCTCAAGTTACAATAATCAGGGGTAATTCACGTTTCAAGTAAATAAAGATTAACTTAATATATTCAACACTACTGATAACAACAGTCTCAATACTTGCAAGCCTTGCAAGCACAACTTTACACTCGAAGTAGAGATATTTCTTCTCTGACGTCCTCTTATAAAGTCTGCGCCTTTATGTGTCAGCAATTTACTACTATAAGTATAGAAACCTTGCCTCGTAATGACACAATCTTTTCCTTGGTCGATTTTAAAGAGCTTGTCTAAGACACAGAAAGATTGACAATGTACATCAGTGTGTCAACAAAACAATCCAGATGGCAAGATTAAAAAAAAAAAACTAAGTTTTTAATTGCTACCAAAGCCTGAAAATAAAAACGAATATCCCTGTATAAAATCTCTGTGTCTCCATTGTTCAGTGCAGCATGAGCTATTTCAAAGCTGCTCAGGCAAGAGTGGTTCTCAATTCGTTTACTGAAAGATCTTAGTTTTCAATCACATTTCTCGATAAAACGCAGCTTTTAATTATAATCATATGCGATCCAAGATGGAATCGCCCCAACTTCTTACACATGCTTTATTTAACATTCTCAAAACCTGTTGGTTAAAAATAGTTTCCGGCCAAACCCAAGACAAGCATGGAGTCGTAGAAATGAAAATGTTTTTAGAACTGATTACTATTTCCCTTTTCAACAAGCACCTACGGAGTTATCTTCTCCTTGCACGTGAATTCGGGAGTCCACCTTTATACCAGTGGTTCTCAACATTCCTAATGCCGCGACACTTTAATAAGTTCCTCATGTTGTGATGACCCCCTCCCCCCCCCCCACCCAAACCATAAAATTACTGTCGTTGCTACTTCACAAATATGTGTTTTCTAAAAGTCTTAGGCGAACCCTGTGTAAGGGTCATTCGACCCCAAAAGGAATCGCGACCCAAAGGTTGAGAATTGCTTCTTTAGACTTTATTTAGTTATTTAGAGAATGCCTACTCCTCATCAGTGGATCTTTTATTTTATACTTGACTCTTCAAGAAGTACGGTAACATTTCGCGCATAGCCAGGTAATCCACTCCAATCAAAACACCGGCCTAATGTGTGCACTTTTACTGGGGAAACTATGGCAGGCCAATCAAAACACCGGCTTAATGTGTGCACTTTTACTGGGGAAACTATGGCAGGCCAATCAAAACACCGGCCTAATGTGTGCACTTTTACTGGGGAAACTATGGTAGGCCAATCAAAACACGGCCTAATGTGTGCACTTTTACTGGGGAAACTATGGCAGGCCAATCAAAACACCGGCGTAATGTGTGCACTTTTACTGGGGGAACTATGGTAGGCCAATCAAAACACCGGCCTAATGTGTGAACTTTTACAGGGGGAACTATGGCAGGCCAATCAAAACAGGGCCTGATGTGTGCACTTTTACTGGGGGAAACTATGGCAGGCCAATCAAAACACCGGCCTAATGTGTGCACTTTTACTGGGGAAACTATGGCAGGCCAATCAAAACACTGGCCTAATGTGTGCACACTAACTGGGGTAACTATGGCAGGCCAATCAAAACACTGGCCTAATGTGTGCACTTTTACTGGGGAAACTATGGCAGGCCAATCAAAACACTGGCCTAATGTGTGCACTTTTACTGGGGAAACTATGGCAGGCCAATCAAAACACCGGCCTAATGTGTGCACTTTTACTGGGGAAACTATGGAGGCCAATCAAAACACCGGCCTAATGTGTGAACTTTTACTGGGGAAACTATGGCAGGCCAATCAAAACACTGGCCTAATGTGTGCACTTTTACTGGGGAAACTATGGTAGGCCAATCAAAACACCGGCCTAATGTGTGCACTTTTACTGGGGAAACTATGGCAGGCCAATCAAAACACCGGCCTAATGTGTGCACTTTTACTGGGGAAACTATGGCAGGCCAATCAAAACACCGGCCTGATGTGTGCACTTTTACTGGGGGAAACTATGGTAGGCCAATCAAAACACCGGCCTAATGTGTGCACTTTTACTGGGGGAAACTATGGCAGGCCAATCAAAACACCGGCCTAATGTGTGCACTTTTACTGGAGAAACTATGGCAGGCCAGGGAAAAGAACGGTTTGCTTTTCTGGAAGCTCAGGCGGAAAGAAAGGCCAGACAGTCGGCACTACAGATAGTCGGCAGTTCAGGCAGTCGGCAGTTTAGGCAGTCAGCATTTTAGACAGTCAGCAATTGAGACAGTCGGCAGTTTAGACAGTCGACAGTTTAGACAGTCAGCAGATCAGACATCGACAGTTTAGGCAGTCGGCACTCGAGACAGTCGGCAGTTCAAACGAAAACAAGTCGGCCTTCTTTTTTTCTTTTTTTTTTGAACAATGGTTCCCAAAATTCGAAAAAAAACTAAGTCACCAAAAGTCTTTTCATAGCTTATCGATGTCTATACGCTCTAACCCCAAGTCTGGGGCATGAACAGTCCAGTGTCAATGTTAACTAAATACTACACAACAATAAAACATTGGTGTCAGCGACAAACTAACGATGTACTCGGCCTTTTCAATGGACCCATTTCTATCACCTGTTGGTGCTCACCGTATTTTTCGGGACACTTGCCAATATTCTCTAAATTCCGTTTGGCTTATTTAGACGTTTTATTTTCTATAGGTCTGATGTCCATAGGTCAGGGGTTATCAACAAGTAATAAAGGGTTGGGGGGGGCGGAGGATTTGGGGAAGGCACAGACATTTTCTTTGCTGCCATTCTCATCTGTTGCCGCCAAATGAAATAAATCGGGTTTTGTTGCATTTTTTTTTAACGGCAGCAGATTTTGTTTTGGTCAACTTTGTTTGCTCTATATTTGTAGTGGTCAGTGGAGTAGCCAGAGCTAGTGCCACCAGGGGCGAGTCAAACTGTTTCCCCCACCCCCTTCCTACCACCCCCAAAAAAACAAAACAAGAACAACAAAACAACAACTCCAAGTGGCTGAAAATTCCGCCCCTCAAACAAACAAAACAACAACAGCGCCACATGGGGTGGAACGTTGGCTCCACGCCCCTTTCACATGCTACTGGAAGTACTTTTGGTTGCTTGTTTATAGCAGGTGATATAGAAATTACAAACGACCATAAAAGCACGTGGCATAGAGATGACAAACTACCATATAGCACGTGATATAAAGATGAAAAACTACCATATAGCACGTGACATAAAGATGGCGAACAACGATACAGCATGAGACTTAAAGAAGACCAACTATCAGAAGTAAATTATTTATTACATTATTACAATATTTTTGTATCGGGGCCTGGGAGAGGTAACAGTGAAGATCTTTCGACATCGAGGTAATGGGGACAGAGGGAAAGGCTTCCCATTCAATAGATCATGTGAGACCAAACGCTTGGAATTTGCAGAGGAATTGACCAATCTGGAGAACAGCAAGCAAACTGACGTGCTGGTGATGGACTTCTCAGGGGCATTTGGCCGTGTCAATCAGAGCTTGCTTCTACACAAACTGCAAAGATGATATGGGATCCAAGGCACTACTAAAACATGGGTCTCTAGCTTCCTCAGCAACCGATGCCAGGCAGTAGTGGTGGACAGCACAACCTCTTCCTTTGTATTTGTTAAGTCAGGGGTCCCACGGGGCTCGGTGCTAGGCCCCTGTACGCAGGCTGACCTCCCAAGCAAGACTGTTCGCAGACGATATGGGGGTGTATAGGACGATCGCCAACAGTTCTTACCAGCACCAGCTACAACAGGACTTCCATCAGTTAGCCGAGTGGGAGATAAGCTGGGACATGGAATTTCATCTCCTCAAGTGCCAGACCCTGTCAGTCTCCAGAAGCAGATCCCCTCTACACCATCTACACAGCCCTTACGAATTGCATTGCCATATTCTTGAGCCAACTTGCTCCGTAAGGTACCTCGATGTTGCTATTCAAAGAGAGGTCCACTGGGACGAGCACTTTAACAATGTGTGCAACCGGGCAAACAAGACCCTATGGTTCTCATGGCGAAATCTGAAGATTGGCAATTCAAGCGGGAAATAATTGCCTATAAAGCCTTTTTTCGGTCGCTTTTAGAGTACGCATCTTCAGTCTGGGACTCATTCACCAAGAAGAACATCGAAAGGTAGGAGGCGGTGCAGCGAAGGGCAGTACGCTTTGTCCTGAACTACATCAGAAACACATCAAGCGTTGGCAGAATTCTGAAAACACTAGGTTGGTCACCATTGAAAGAACGACGACGACTATCCAGGCTCTCCGTCATGTACAAGATCAAAAATGGTCTGGTCCACTGCTCCTGCATTAAACAGAAACACGCCCCTCTCCCCCCCCCCTCCTAGACAGTGACGAGGCCATGACAGGCAGTTCCGGCTAATAAAAACAAGAACTCAGAACAGAAGCTCCTCATTCCTGGCAAAGACAATCAGCGACTGGAATAAGCTTCCAAAAGCAACAGTTGAGGCGACTATACTTGACCCATTGTGTCTATTGCCTCCTGTCTCCCCCCCCCGTTCACATTACCATTTCTGAGTAGCCCTTGAAACCAGTGGAGCATCCCCTTCAAACATGAAAGGGTTTGTGATGTAACAGTTACATCGCAAACCCCTCTGAAACATAGGGGGCCAGATTCCTGGCAAAGACAATCAGCGACTGGAATAAGCTTCCAAAAGCAACAGTTGAGGCGACTATACTTGACCCCTTGTGTCTATTGCCTCCTGTCCCCCCCCCCCCCGTTCACATTACCATTTCTGAGTAGCCCTTGAAACCAGTGGAGCATCCCCTTCAAACATGAAAGGGTTTGTGATGTAACAGTTACATCGCAAACCCCTCTGAAACATAGGGGGCCAGAATGCTCAACACATTGATCTTGGGCCCTCAAAATATAGAAGAAGAAGAAGGGTTTGACGGGGGACAGGAGCTTCCGTGCTGAAACAACAGAACTAGATCATTTAATCTATTGAACTTCTTCATGTCACATTTGTCATTCTCAGATGAGGACAGCCCCGGCCCCCAGACCTATGACGTCAAATTCGACTTTCTGGGAAAACCCGTTGGAAAAACAATAGCGGGCAAGTCAACGCTAAAACCAGGTGGGCTATGTATTTGATCTGTTGTATTCTCTTTCTCTCTTTTTCTCTCTATGTCTCTCTCTTTCTCTCTCTTTCTCTCTATTTCCCTCTCTCTTTCTCTCTCCCTCTCTCTGTCTCTCTTTCTCTCTCTATCTCTCTCTCTCTATCTCTCTTTTCTCTCTCTCTCCCTCCCTTTCTCTCGCTCTCTCTCTCCCTCCCTTTCTCTCTCTTTGTCTTTCTCTATTTCTCCCTCCCTCTCTACCCTCTTTCTCTCTCTTTCTCTCTCTTTCTCTCTCTCTGTTTCTCTATCTCTCCCTCCCTCTCTCCCCCTCTCTTTCTCTCTCTCTCTATATATATATAAATATGTGTGTGTGTGTTTGTTTGTGTGTCTGTGTCCCTCTCTTGGCCTCTGTCTCTCATTCACTATGTTTCCAATAATCTGCCTCTCTCTCCCTATTTCTCTATGCCTCCCTCTATCTCCCCATTTCTCACTGTTTCTCCCTATTTCTGTCCCCTCTTTCTCTCGATCCGCCCATTTTTTTTCTTTCTCTCTCTATTTCTCTCTCTATCCCTATTTTCCACTCTCCCTATTTCGTTCTCTCTCCCCCTACCCCCCTCTCTCTCTTCTCCCACCCCCCTCTCTCTGTATCTCTATCTTATGATCAAACGAGTAAGGAAGGATTCAAAGAAACAAACCACGTGACGAGTCAATTTAAACAGCTGTGTGCCAAGTTAGATAATTCCGTTATTTCAAGGAACTCCTAGAAAACCTGAGTTACCGCCCTTCCTTCAACATTTGAGAATAATCTTTCGACTCCATTCAGTTTAAATCTCTTGAATTCAGTGCTGTCAGCACACAATTTATTAGGTATAAGTATGTTTCCTTTCTTCAATACTACGCCAGTCAATTATTGCACCCGCCTCATAGTGTCTCCATTTTCCTGTTTTTGTTTCAGAGATCTCCGACAGTCCTGGTCCGATGGCTTACGATGTGACCCAATTCCCCAGGAGGTGCGCCCATCCGATGGGTCCGTCTGTCAGCAGCCGACACACCCCTAATAAGTACCTGGGGATGAAGAACACGGCGCTCATCCCCAAACAGCCTAGAAATTTTCCAACAGCTCCTCTATTGGGGTGACCTGCTGAGCATCTCTCATCGGGTGAACAATGTTACCACGCTGAGAACCTCTATTGGGGTGAAAAATGTTACCACGCTGAGCACCTCTATTGGGGTGAACAATGTTACCACGCTGAGCACCTCTATTGGGGTGAACAATGTTACCACGCTGAGCACCTCTATTGGGGTGAACAATGTTCCCACGCTGAGCACCTCTATTCGGGGGAACAATCTTGCCCTATTTTTTCATTTAGCTTTTGATCAATATTTTAAAATTTTTGAATATCTAGCTTTGCGGTAAATTTACTGTTGGGATGGGAATGTGCACAAACGGTTCTCCACTCACGAAGTGATGAGGTACATTAAATGACGGTTCTCAAGTAGTAGAAAATAGATGGGCTATCTCAAGTTTGTTGAAGTCTCTAACATATCTTTTTACAATGTAAATTAACCCCTTGATCTTGACGAGAAAATCTTTCATTGGGTAACTTTTAATTAATAAAAAGACGCACACAGTCTTTGGTATGTTTCAACTCTACCAATGTAAAAGAACATTTTACAATGAAAAGATACTATTTGATTTGTAGATACTTATAAGTTTTGATACACATAATATATTCTACAAAATGTAATCGCTTACCTTATATGTGAGTTGTACAACTCATTTCGTTTTGATAAAAGTTGTACACAACAATAACTGAAATCGATTAAATAAAAATAAGACAACCGTGCTGATGTTGCTGCTGATGTTGCTGCTGATGTTGCTGCTGATGTTGCTGCTGATGTTGATGCTGATGTTGATGCTGATTTTGATGTTAATGCTGATGTTGCTGTTAATGCTGATTTGGATGTTGATGTTGATGCTGATATTGATGTTGATGTTGATGCTGATGCTGATGTTCATGCTGATTTTGATGTTGATGTTGATGCTGATTTTGATGTTGATGTTGATGCTTATGCTCATGTTGATGCCGATTTTGATGTTGATGTTGATGCTGATGTTGATACTGATGTTGATACTGATGTTAATGTTGATGTTGATGCTGATGTTGATACTGATGTTGATGTTGATGTTGTTGATAATGTTGAAGTCGATTCTTATGTTGATGCTGATTTTAATGTTAAGAAATCCACATCAAACTCACATCATATCCAAATCATATCCACATCGTACCCATATAACATCTACATCATACCATTTCATATCCACTACACATTAACATTATACCTACATGTAAAAACGATTTTATTACGTTTATTAAATTGCACATCACGACATTTTAGTTTTCTGTATTGTAATAATTACATTTCTAATGGAAGTGCTGAGTTTTCCTGTTACAATTCTTACATCTGATGACCTGATAGAAGTTGGTGATATTATCTACTCCTGGTTTTATCAGAGTGTGACGAAAGTTTCCTGAACTAGCAAACCCAGCTTCACGACGTAGCCACTTATGCTTCCTGACGTAGACATCTCTTCTTCCTGACGTAGCCATCTCTTATTTCTGACGTAGACATCTCTTCTTCCTGACGTAGCATTCTCTTCTTCATGACGTACCTATCTCAGTTTCCTGACGTAGAATCTATTCTTCCTGACGTAGACATCTCTTCTTCCTGACGTAGACATCTCTTCTTCCTGACGTAGCCATCTCTTCTTTCTGACGTAGACATCTCTTCTTCCTGACGTAGCATTCTCTTCTTCATGACGTACCTATCTCAGTTTCCTGACGTAGAATCTATTCTTTCTGACGTAGACATCTCTTCTTCCTGACGTAGACATCTCTTCTTCCTGACGTAGCCATCTCTTCTTCCTGACGTAGCATTCTCTTCTTCATGACGTACCTATCTCAGTTTTCTGACGTAGAATCTATTCTTCCTGACGTAGACATCTCTTCTTCCTGACGTAGACATCTCTTCTTCCTGACGTAGCCATCTCTTATTTCTGACGTAGACATCTCTTCTTCCTGACGTAGCATTCTCTTCTTCATGACGTACCTATCTCAGTTTCCTGACGTAGAATCTATTCTTCCTGACGTAGACATCTCTTCTTCCTGACGTAGCCATCTCTTCTTCCTGACATAGCATTCTGTTCTTCCTGACGTAGCCACCTCTTCTTCCTGACGTAGCATTCTCTTCTTCCTGACGTAGCCACCTCTTCTTCCTGACGTAGCATTTTCTTCTTCCTGACGTAGCCACCTCTTCCTTATGGCGTAGCCATCTCTTCTTCCTGACGTAGCATTCTCTTCTTCCTGACGTACCTATCTCTGTTTCCTGACGTAGACATCTCTTCTTCATGACGTAGCCATCTCTTCTTTCTGATGTAGCCATCTCTGCTTCCTGATGTAGCTTAATAACATGAACAAATTTCTCAACCAACATGCTGATTTCCATTTCCCCAATCAGGACTTTCATTAAATTATCTTTGTGATCAATCGAAACTCTAAATATTTGTTAGGTTTTTTGGGGTCTATTTTGTTTAATAGTCAATTTATCTTTCATTTGAGAAGAACAAGAATATTTCCTTGCATAAATTTTAATTGATCATTTATCAATTTTTTTTAATTTTTTTTTTTTTTTTTTCGAGTGGGGTTGGGATGCGGCCCTGGGTTTCCCATAAAAAGAAGTACTTGGTAAGAGCAGCCACTTGTTATAGACTGGACCTCCTGGAAATCTCGTCCATTCTATCGGATCTGACCAATGAACAGACCAAGTGTGATATGAATTAGACCGTGTGTCAGATAGAAAGCTGAAAAAGAAAGAAACTAAACTTTGATCTGAGCCAAAAAGAGCTCTAGTGCGTATTTTTCTTTAGCGACACAGTCAACAAAACCTTGTTAGTCTAACAAATATATTTATTTTTTTAAATTTTACGAATAACTGCAATGATGGCACATAACACTCTTTCATATATCAGAATATTTTTACAAAATATTTACATTTTACAGAAGTCATTATTTGTTGTATAGAAATGCATTCTTTTATTACTAATAAATAAATATCTTGCTATCAATAGAAATGTTTAACCGATTGATCAAATATTGGAAGACTTGTAAACGATTCCAGGTCTCAGAAAATAACGAACACAACACTAAGGGTAGGTAACTGGGCGCACACTCCAGCTTGACTTTTTTGTCAACCGAAGCATGCATAGAAAAAAATGTGTGTAAGATTATTCTCTAACTTTAAATTGATGTTTTTTGGGTTTTTTTGTTGTTGTTTTTTTTTTTTTTTTTTTGCAATCTGTTACTCATTATTGTCATTTATTAACTCAAGACTGGTTTCTCTGAGATTGTCTTCTAAGTCAATGGAAGACGTCAACAAAAATAATATTAAAATACTCGACCCAATTTGAGGGACTAGTCCTTGATATGTAAACATTGGTTCAGCAACATGGCCATCGACAGGAAATAACTATGAAGTGTATGGGGCAGGGGAGGGGCCATTGGCCGATACTTTATGGGCCGAGGACCGATGATCAGACCACTGACCACTATCACTTTTTCAGGGCAAGGATATCCCACTGAATGCAAGTTCTCTCTCTGACATTACCTACATTAAATTATCGCCTCGGGAACTCGTCACGTGTTTGTTACTTGAAACTAACTAACGATTACTTTTGTCGGAGGTCTTTGTTTCACCTGGTCACGTGTTTGTAACATTGAACTAACTAACGATTGCATTTGGCAGAAGTCTTTTTTTCATGAAGTTAGTGGCTCTTCATAGTTACTGAACTGCCAACCCATCCAACCCCTACGCCTTTTACTTAGCACTGGTCATCCCCATACACAGACGAACATACGTCTGCCAGGCGCTACTTGTGTTCAAACAATCTGTAACACTGTCCAAAGCTTCCCGTATTCGTTCTGTCAGTGGACTGTGAGTCTGAATCAAAGCGACTTTGATTTCATTGCGCTGTGTTACGTCACGATAACTTTTTCATTCTCTATACAATTCAAACTCTGGTCGTAAACAACGACGCGATTCCTAAGACGGTCGTAGAGTCTCTGGAAACCGACGTTCAGCGCCCACATCATCAGGTGCACCACGGGGATAAAGATGAAATTGCTCAAGGAGGATATCGCCAGCGTGCGGCCAGGCTTTGACCAATCCAGAATGGAATAGATGAAGCTGTCTCCGTTTTGATTGGTCCCGTCCAGGCAGTAGTACACGGCGCTGAAGATGGTGTAGATAACTCCAAAGGCCACCGGGTACAGGAGGTGCAGGAGTCGCAAGGGGACTTTGGTGATCACCATGTTCAGGACGATGTAAAGGGCCGTCACCGCGTGCGTGTTGAATCTTATTGCAGTTAGCTCCCTGCCTGTAATTTTTACAAAAATAATTATGTTTCAGTAACAGTTATTGTACCAGAACTAATCTTTTATTGAGTTATGAAACTTACTCGGGATTAAAATAATTTTTAAATTATAATTTTTAAAAAATGATATATGATAATGAAGACGATACAATCCTACACTGTTTGATATACAGGAAGGGTCAAGTTTCTCCCCGGAATATTAAACAAATTAGACTAGTTCGGTTGAAGTATACAACCAATGCTCAAACATAGTTGCCACAAAAGCATAAAGATGGCACATTTAAAATGTCACAAAAATCTGATTATATTCCAATAACAGACAATAACTAGATACAAAGAGTCATGAAGGCCATCATCTCCATCACAGATCTTTAAAACTAAAAGAAAATCCTAATTCAGTTGTACTTTATTTTTTTAACTTAATGTTCACAAAATAAGAGTTGATCAATCAACAAATAACAAAAGAGTTGATCAATCAACAAACAACAAAAGAGTTGATCAATCAACAAACAACAAAAGAGTTGATCAATCAACAAATAACAAAAGAGTTGATCAAACAACAAACAACAAAAGAGTTGATCAATCAACAAACAACAAAAGAGTTGATCAATCAACAAACAACAAAAAATTTGATCAATCAACAAACAACAAAAGAGTTGATCAATCAACAAACAACAAAAGAGTTGATCAATCAACAAACAACAAAAGAGTTGATCAATCAAAAAACAACAAAAGAGTTGATCAATCAAAAAACAACAAAAGAGTTGATCAATCAACAAATAACAAAAGAGTTGATCAATCAACAAACAACAAAAGAGTTGATCAATCAACAAACAACAAAAGAGTTGATCAATCAACAAATAACAAAAGAGTTGATCAATCAACAAACAACAAAAGAGTTGATCAATCAACAAACAACAAAAGAGTTGATCAATCAACAAACAACAAAAGAGTTGATCAAACAACAAACAACAAAAGAGTTGATCAATAAAAAAACAACAAAAAATTTGATCAATCAACAAACAACAAAAGAGTTGATCAATCAACAAACAACAAAAGAATTGATCAATCAACAAACAACAAAAGAGTTGATCAATCAACAAACAACAAAAAATTTGATAAATCAACAAACAACAAAAGAGTTGATCAATCAACAAACAACAAAAGAGTTGATCAATCAACAAACAACAAAAGAGTTGATCAATCAAAAAACAACAAAAGAGTTGATCAATCAACAAATAACAAAAGAGTTGATCAATCAACAAACAACAAAAGAGTTGATCAATCAACAAACAACAAAAGAGTTGATCAATCAACAAACAACAAAAGAGTTGATCAAACAACAAACAACAAAAGAGTTGATCATTTAAAAAACAACAAAAAATTTGATCAATCAGCAAACAACT